AAAGAGAGAGAGAGAGAGAGAGTGTGTGACGGGCGTTGTGCTTGCAGCAGTCGGGCGACTGAGAGCGAGAGACGAGAGCCGCGCAGCGCAGCGATTGCCCGAGCCGCCGATGTCCCAAGCGCTGGTCAGCTGGTCGGCGGACGCGGCGCTGCTCGAGGAGGCCCAACATCGTCATCGTCATCAACAGCAGCCGAAGAGCGCGCAGGAAGCGGTGGCTGGCTCTTGGCGGGCCCCCCAAGCCCGAGCGCCAGCTCTGAATGTCTTCGCACATCCGCCAGTCGTGTGTGGTGAGGACAAGCCCTCTCAAGCATCCGAGCTGCCGAGCTTATCATGTTGACACAAGTTAATGTTTTTCCGTTTATTTCTTTGATTTGTCCGCCCCTCCGGTACCTTGCTCACCTCGTTCCCCGTGGCTGTCGCCTCCCGGTTATCTTTTCTGTTCCGAGCGCGCTCACCTCACTTCCATTTGTAACTCTCGGTCGAGGCGACTCATAACTGATTGCTCGTTGCAGACATTTGAAGCGATCCTGAGCGACAGCAGCAAAAAGTACCAGGACAAGGTGAACGCATTATTGGCCGCCTGGGAGCATGTGGCGAACGACATAACGCGCGCCAGGCACCCGCAGCAGCAGGCGCAGCAACAAACACAGCCGCCGCAGCAGCAGCAGCAGCAACAGCAGCAACAGCATCACGATACGCCCGAGGCGCTCGTAGAATGGGCCAACGAGCACACGCTCAAGCTGGTACTGAGCGGCGAGTGGCCAAAACTGGCCAACGCCACCAAGACTCACCTTACTCACACCCTCGAGCGCTGCGCTCGCGAGTTAGCCCAGCAGAAGCTCGACTTCGCCGCGCGCCGTTGCAGCGATCTCGTCGACCTTGTGCGCAACCCTTGGGGCAAGCCCACCCTCGACAAGATCATCCACGGCCAGCTCAGCCAGGAGCATGAGGAGGAAGAATTCTGCTGTCAGGAGAAAGGCGAGCTGCTGAAGATGCGACTGCGAATACTCTGCGAGGATCGCTGCGAGGATTTGGCCATGCACCTTGCGGCGGCCTGCGTGCGCTCGCTGCGGCGCAGCAACCGGCTCCGCGATCTATCCGAGCCGTCGCACGTGCAATACATGATGGACGTGTATATGGTGCTGCTGGCCAAGCTCAAGCGCACCCAAGAGATCGTCGCCCAGCTGAAGCTCATGGAGCTGCAGGACTCGCTGGAGTTAATGCAGCGGTTGAGTGGCGAGCGCCCTACCAAATACGGCACCGCACGTGTATGGCGTAGCGCGACCAAGGCTGCGCACATCGTCGCCCAGTACCTCGTCACCACGGGCATGCTCCGGCCGATGGCCGATCCGCACTCCTCCGAGACCTTCACGCACGTACTCAACTCCTGGGCACTGTTGCACGCCAAGGGCAAGCACGCCCTGGATACGCTGCCCGACCTCATCCGCAAGCTCATCGAGCCCGCCGAGAGCGCCCAGCACATCTATCTCTTCTGCCACGTGCTTGTTCAGAACTTCGGTGACGGGCTCAAGTCACTCGTCATTGAGCTTTACATCCGCGCGCTCACCACCGACATGAATGAGCTGGAGGACCACCGTATCAACAACGAAAAGGAGAAGATTCAGGAGACCTCCCAGCGACTTAGCCGGGGCTTTCTCCACCTTGCCGATTACGTTGATCTCATGGGCGTTGCACGCGAGTGCGTGCTCACGGCCTTCTCACTACACCCCACCCGGCCCTGCTACGATCGCATCAGGGAGATGGCTTGGAGGTGTGGTAAGATCGGCTCGTTGGAGAAGGAAGCGTTCGATGCTGTGGCTGCTGCTGACAACGACGACGATGACGATACCACCCCTGTCGTGAAACTCGAAGTCGCGGATAAGGCAGACGACTCAATTTCGAGTGCAGAACATGAAAGTTCAATGAGGAGCCTGAACGAGAGCTCGGTCTCGCTGACGAGAGAGGCGATAGAGAGGATAGTCGGTGCTTCGTTGAACAAGCAGCCGCAGAGCCAAGCGAATGACAGCAAAAGCCAGCAGCTGAGGATAAAGGATGAGCCTCGAGATGTTTGTCCGAACCAGGAGTCGAAAAGTCCGGCTGAGCAAGAGCCGCAGCCGTCACTTGACGATCGGCCGGAGCCGAAAGTTGAAACGCCAAAACTCTCTAGCAACTTGGATGCGTTGATTCGTATTACGGGTGACGTGATTACTGGCTCGGCCAACTATGACGAGAAGGCTGTGCCCAGTCTGCTTCTCGATGGTGACAAACTCGGCATCAGTCCGCAGTTGATCGACGATCTCTCCGTTATACTCAGTAGTCCAAGGTTTCAACTGATCAATTGGACTCTAGAATGGAAGGAGCTCAGTCAAATCTGCCAAAGCTACCTTCAGGACGCGGATAAGATGCGTAACACCGACAAGCAACTCAAGTACCTGAATATCGATTACTCCCAGTTTCTCAATCAGCCTTACAACAATTCCTGGCGGGATGATCCGCATTACGGTATCGAGAAAGGCTACGAGCAGTGGTATTACACAGACTCCTCCGAGTCCGACTATTACCAGGGACCTTCCAAGACAACTGCTGCTCGGCGTAGTCTCGATGACAGTTCGGACAGCGACAGCGAACACTTTGTGCGTAGCACTAAGCGTAGAACTAAAAAAGTGCCGAGGCTAGACTCGTCGGAAAGCGAGATGGAACGAAAAAGCCGAAAGCCAAGACAGAAATTCAGGAAAGTCCGGACAACCAGCTCCGAGAGCGATTATACGCAGGACAGTCAAACGAGCAGCTTAGGTAGCGATGGTTGTAAAAAGAATTCCAAAAAAATAGTTAAAAAAACATGCAATGGGACTAAGAAAGTAAGTGTTTTAAACACAGTTTTAAGTAAGTGCTGTAATTTAACTAATTTAATGTATTCGCAGATTATCAATGGTCGATCAAAGAAATCGAAATCTATCATCGATCCTTTTCATATCTTCGACGAGAATTTCCAACCTTCTGATGCCAGTGATGATGGCACAATGACCCTTTTCTCCGCGGACGAGAGCAAGCACGAGACCATTACGGGATCAGCGGCCTTTAATGCAGCACAAATTATCATCAACAAACGAAGTGATCCCGAAGTTATCAAATCTCTGCGTATGTTTAGGCCGTCCAACAAAAAAGTATCATCATTCAATCAAAAAGCAATCAACAATGGTATCAAGAAGAAAGAACACAACGCCGACGAGAAAAATACCAACGATAACTTGCCCAAGAAATTTGCACCGATGCTCAGTACCATCAATTTGAGTCCTAAAATCCCACTTAGGCGAGTCGACGAGGTTGAGAAGCATTTGCTCAATAAGAAAACGATTAGCACCTCGATTAACACTCTGGACTTGAGCAATGAACTAAGGCACATTCAGGAGAATATGCCTTTTTCTTCAACTAAGAGTTCTTTGACCAATTATCAAAAGCAGAAGGTATAAATTTGATAATTTCATTATTAAACATTTTTATAATTCAACTGAACTTTAATCATTTGATTCGAACAGTCGAGATCGCGGAAAAAATCTAGCAAGCCGAATCTGCAAGAGTTAGTACAGTCGATGGAATTCTCCGAAGCGCCACGCGTACAACATACAGTACATGTGGTTCAAGTTACGCGTAACATTCCGCAAAGTCCCAACTCAACTGCCTCGGGTAATACACCCCCGCGCAATCGAAGTAACATTCAATTGCCAGGCACACCATCGTCTGGAGGTCATGACAGTGGAGTAGGAATGAGCCCAGCTGGTCAAACTCCACCTCCGCCCACGAGGTCGAGTTCCCTTCAGGACGTCGGCGAGGAAGCCAATCAGCCACCCGACAACTCTCCCGGACTCGGTAAGTTTTACACTTTGACTCAATACATACGTAAACTTTGTAATGTGAAAGATAATTCACGCGCTAATTTTTTTCTCAGCAGATTCAACCAACACATCAACGATGGATTCAATGGATGGTACGAGAACAGTTGCACTTACGGTTTTATCTAATCAGAGGATCGCATCGAATCAATCGCCTAAGAAATCGCCGTCTCCGTTGACAAATAACTCGCAAGAACAACAGCAGCAACACGTCGTTGTTCGCAAGCCTGACGGTACGTTACACCTGGTCAGTCCGAATGTGGTTGCAGGCCAGAGAAGTATTCTGTCGCTGCAGAACTTTGAGGATGGCAATATTAGTTTCGCACGGCAAGTCTCAGTTGCATCGGTCGCCGGGGCAGAAACGAAAACTACGCAAGCTCAGGCAACGAGAAACGCTGCTTTGCCTAAATTCCAACAAGCTTTTGGTAAAACGATTTGCACCCTATCCACCGAATCTACGACAGTTCCATCGACTTCTGCAACCGAGACTCGTGGTAAGTTTATCATTATACATTTCATTGAGTGTTTCAATTATTCTCGAACTGAAGTACTTGAACGTGACAGAATCATCAGCGGTACCTGCTTCAGCAATAACAAACGTCCATCAGCGCATTAATGCCAAATCAACGGCCAATAACTCGAAAAGCATACAAACTTCGGTACAAAACGCAAGTATCGTCAGCATTCCAAGCCTCCAGCAGGCGGCAGCGGGTACACGACAAATCCTCAACATTGTGCAAAGTGCCAATTCTAACGCAACGACCGTCAGTGGACCAACGCTACAGGTTGTTCAGAATTCCACACCTGGTAACGTCATTTACTCGATCCCGTCAACGCCCAAAATTGCTGGACAAAACGCCACACAACTCATATCAATACCTGCCACGGCAATCGCCAATAGCCGTGCGCCCGTTCAAGTCAAACTCAATATCATCAGAACGCCCTATAGACCAGGTCAGCCAATTCAAGCTGTGGTCCATACTCACAGAGTACAACCTCCAGTTCAGCAAACCCAAACGAATCAACCGCAACAGCAACAGCAGCAACAACAGCCACAGCAGATCAATTCTACAATGGAAATTCCAAATCAAGCGAGCTCGTCGACGCTTCGCGAACAACTTCGTGAGTTTGACAGTGTATTAGAGCAAGTAAAGCAGCGCAGCACGGGTCAGTCGTCGTCCACCGACACGACGACCATTCAAACACAGACGCAAACGCAGACGGCGCAGACGGCACAGATCGCGGCCACTGGTGTTAAGCAGACACAGCAAGTGTCAGTCGGCGCACTGACTCAGCAACTGCTTATGTCGTCGCAGTCACCGAGTAGCGCGGTCGAGTTTCCCAGTAATGGTAGCACGCTCACGTTTCAACAGCAAGATGTCTACCAACAGAAAGTGGCCCTCATGTACACCAACAAGAGCAGCAGCTCATCAACGCCCAATTCGACGCCCGTGGTCGTTGTTACGTCTTACTGTCAGCCGGCTGCCTCGCCCGCGTTGAGTGTCACATCGCAGAGCTCGTCCAGTCCATGTGTTACACCTGCCCCCACGCCGGTCTTGTCCACCGGCAAAACGCCGCCACAATCTTCTTCGAAGAGCTCGAAAAAATCCACTACTCCAAAGAGTGTCAAAGTAAATACTACTATAAAAGTAAGTAACGATAAGAAAACTTTCTAAAGGTTCGCGTTGTTGCATTTCAGGTCAGCGCACAGACTGCCGCCAAACAAGCACCCATCCCCAAACCCCAGCAGAAGCCACAAGAGGATCCCGAAACTACTCAAAGGATATATGCAATCCTGGGCCAATACGCTGAACAACTACGTAACTCGCCAGATTTGAACAACAAACCAGCGCCTCGTCGGCGTTCCAATCCACCAACGAACCCGAATCAGTCGTCCAAACGAAAGAAGTCGGGTTCCAGTAAATCGAAAGGTGGTACCTCAGGTCAGCAGACGTCAGAGCCCAGCCCTAGTGCTGATGATATGAACAGGACGATGGGCAGTAGCGAGGATTCAAGTGGAGGAGGTGGTGGCGCGGGTAGCATTAGTGGCAACGGCAGTTCTCTTATGCATATACAGGACAGTCCTGCTGGATATTCGGCCTCCGAGGAGACTTTGGTTAGCAGTAACAACAATAGTCAAAGTGGCAACAACGATAGCGCATCGCTTAGTAATATCACGGAGACGAAACCAACTACCGTGACTAGTGACTCAAATGACAGCCTTGAGGGAAATGTGAAAAGAAGAAATCTCATTTTCACAGAACCCAACTCAGGTACGTACATAATTTATAACTATGAAAGTTATAAATTAAATTGAAAGTTAATCGTCAAGTGATAATTATTGATGATTACAGGCCAAGCTCGAGCTGTAATCGTGCAAGAAGCACCAAACGTTGGAGAGACCATCTCCTCGGTAACCGGCGGCAAAGTGACCACGGGTACGGCAGTGCTGGTGTCAGGTACGAATTTCATGCTCCCGATGAATTTTGTTAAGAGCGGCCAGCAGATCACCGTCGTATCGGGCGGTTCGAAACTACTCGCGGCAGTGCCAGCGGTGCGTACCACCGGCAACGCCTCGGGCGTATCCAATGCTTTCGTCCTGCAGTCATTACTCAGCCAAGCCAACAAAGTCATACAGCAGCAGCAAAATCAACCGAAACTCAAGCTCGCGCATCAGAGTCAAATCGTCATACCTCAAACAGGTGGCGTCGTCAGGTTCGCTAACGATGATAGCAGCAGCGACAAGAGCGACAGCAAGCCCGATTCCAATAAACCGCCGCCCAGCACCACCACGATAGGACTGTTTCAACACTCGGGAGTCATCACGAGTAATCCGACAATTGGCCAACGAATCCTCAACTCTTCCACTGTAAAGTTGCCCGCCGTCAAAGCTGATAGTGCACAGAAGGTTGTGTGTTTGACTACGCCGGCAAAAATGAAGGAAATTGATGCGCAAAATACCACAACAATTGCGTTAGCATTTACTCCAAGTACTGATGGAGCTGGTGCTGCTGCCAATGCTACGGCTATTAAGGAGATGAAAGACCTCGAGACGTCATCCAAAGTCGAGACACTCACGGCCACTACATCGACCAAGGGACTTAAACGGAAAGAGGAACAGATCGACGATACTTTTCATTTGAATGCTACAGCGGGTAAGGGCGAGCTGGTCAATTGGAAATTTGTTCTACAGCACTTTTCGTCTTCGTTTCGTATTGTAGGCATCGTCATGCATCTCTCGTTCTCTCAATTCTTTTATAATGTGTCATTTTCCATTTCATTTTCTTTAACTCATCTTTTTCACAGCTATGTTTTCTGCTAGTGGTTCAATTACTTTTACAGTTTGCATTGTATACGCGTACTTTGTATTGCAGTAAATAACCTTAAAAGGTTATTATTACTTTGTTTTTATGATACATTTCTAAGATTGCACTAGTATTAGCCATTTCATTTAACTTTACATTTCTATTCATTTATTTACTTGCATTTCACGATGTTTTTTCATTCCGCTATGATCACGTGTGAATTATTGTTAGGAAACATTGCGGCTTTATTGCATTATGTTACAGTACAGTTTATTTGTTGACTATACTAAATTTTTCTTAGTATCGTGTTGTTACACTTGTTTTGCATTGTGTCCGATTATAAATGTATTGTAACCGAGAAGCGACCGACAAACCCGAAGGGTTATACTCACGGCCATCCGTACAAATTATTTAAAGGGTGGTTTCGGGTGTCGCGAACACTTCTACGATTAAATATTGTACCGGACGTGTACACTAATCGTGCGCGAAGCTAACATCAGGAGAAGGGTCAGTTACAGGCGAAACACAGTGACACTCGCTTAAATTGAGCCCACTTCATTTACAAAGAACATCAAGAACATCTGTACACATGAGTGCGCTCGATGACGTCACTCTACCACGATATAAATTAGTGGCGAGAGAGAAAGAGAGAGAAAGAGGACACGGTACCGATGTTTCCATGCCTCGCTCATCGCTTCTCCTCGTTACCTCTGCTGCTGCTCGCTGATGTTGCTGCTGCTGTCGTATTGCTGCTGGCCGTGCATGCTACCACTGGGTGACCGCATGAAAATGCGCGCGCCGTCAGCACGGATCCTCGCCGGGATCCCCACACACATCGGTATCGATATATGAGACTGGCTGGGCGCGATTTAGCCACCAAATACAAAATCGAACTGACACCCGCGCACTGGACGTCTATCCTCGAAAAACAAAACGAAAATTCTCAAACAAGACAAAAAATCGGCTGCGCGCAACCTTACTTCTCTCACCTTCGCGCTCCTCGCGGTCGTCGTCCTTATTCCTCTTCAGCCGTCGGTCGCTCCTGGCTTTACCAATCAGCTCGTCCGACGCACAACTAAAAAAACAGGCATGAGAGTTACATACATATACCTGAAGACGGCGAACGGGCGATTGTGAGAGCCAACCCAAGAATCGGCTAAGCCGTATTCTCCGTTACTCTGTGTGTGTGTATGTATGTGTGTACGTATGTGCGCGTGTGTGTGTGCGTGTGTGTATACATGTACACACACGACAAAACTAAGTGTTTAATATTATAACGCAATGGAAAAATAATGAGATATTTGTAAATAATTGCAGATGCAACACAGTCGCTGAACAAAAAGAGTAAGCAACAGGCATCGCAAGCATCAGCCATGACTTCAACGACAATAACGTCAACCATGGATAACTCTTCACAATTCTTAGTTAGCGTTGGAACCACGAGTTCGGATAGCCAAGAATCAGCCTCGTCAACTATTCCAAGCTCGGCGATTGAAAGTAGTAGTATGGATGGGACAAAAGTTGAAAACGGAGTTCTCTGTGGAAACGCTAGACTTCAAGAAGCCTGGGAACCCGAAAGAAAAGGATCGCCCGACACGCCTTGGAGGTATCCCCCGACTACTAACGCACTAGGAATGGAGCCGCTAAAAGCTTATTCCCGTGACAGTGAGAGCTCCGAAGTGACCCAAAATAGCGTTCTTCAAACGATAAATAAGGGTCAAGCTATCGAGATGTCAAGTGGAGGTATCTTTCAAACGAAGAAATTCTTTCCTTCGATGAACAACGCCAAAAGCTTGGTAAAGAGTGGACAGGCGAATAATGCTAGACCAACTGCTGAACAAGAAAATCAGCAAAGGAAACAGCTTGCGATGGAACACGCGTTAAGGCTACAGAAAAGTTTGAGCGAAGAGTGCGAGGATTTAGGAGTTGATGAGCCTAGTACGAGTGATCTCTTCCCCGAGGCCGATTTGCTTTTTGACACAAATAATTCGCCGGCCTTTGATCATTCGTCTCAGGAAGCCAGCTGCAGCCAAACTTTGAGGTATCTAATATTTTCCTAATATTCTTAACAACTAGCTCAACGTTTTCAATTTATTTCAGTGGGGGTATGAGTTTGAGCAACAACAAAACTTATGCGGGTGCAAACAGTACTTTGTCATTCTTCAAAACCATCGACTCCGTCTCTTCTGGCAGCCGAGATGCAAGCCCTGTAGTCACGCCAAAAAACTCTGCGTCCGTTTCGATTAAGAAGAAAGCACCGGTGCAAAGAAGAGTAACAAAGCCTAAAGAGTCTCCTGCTAAAAAGGTCAAGAGATTATCCGACGGCCTACTGCCTGCAGATGGCACTCCGCAAGCCAAGCACATTAGGTTGAGCCTAGTTGAGAATCTTAGCCAAGACGAGGTCTCCAACAGTAACACGGATGTGTCCAGGCTATCACCTATCATTGGGAACGGGTCTTCGAAAGAGCCGGAAAAGCCAAAGGTACATAACACAGTGAAACTCTGCTTATAGGACAATTGAATAACCCGTTGCTTCTCTAGATTGTTCATAAAAGCGCCAAGCCTCATGACAGTACTTCGCACGAGGTTCCGGATACAGCAACGGGAGAGCACATTGACCAGCACACTGCTAATCACGCATCTTCGAGCCTGAGTTCAGAAGGAGATGTAAATTTGGCGTTACTCGAGGATGGTGCTGCCAATGTGACCGTACCATCACCAATCCCTTCCATTACTGGTTCTCTACTCAATATGAACAATCGATTTACATACGCAAACAAAAAACGCCCGGCTGCTAACAGTACTGCTGCTATGAAAAGTCAACGGTCAAGCGATTTTTTTAGGTAAATACCTAAACTTGACAACAAATTAATTGGTACAAAAATAAACTGTACTTTGACTTTAGTACAGAAGGCCTGGTATCGGAGAGAACGAAATCAAGCACAGATAATGACGAGGACGAGGAAGACGAAGAAGATCAAGAGGACGACGAATCTTCGAGCGTGAGCGAATCTTTTGGCCCGACTGAAATTAGCGGTATTGGGAATGGGCTGCAAGACATAATCAGAAATGTGTCCACAGTTAAAGTTACGCCGGTAGATCATCCAACGTTATCTGCCAAGAGAAAAGCGACGATTACTCGGAAAACCTCAATTAACCATAAAGGTCAGTGCTCTGACACATTTGTGAATCGCCGTTAATGACGACGGCACTGACTTGTAATGCGTTTTCCAGATTCAACTAGTGGTTCGTTCGCGTTAAACAAATTGGCGGATGCAAAAGTCACCGTTGCCAAAAAGCCAAAAATAGTCGCGGCGACCACGCCAACGTTATCGGTAATGAGCGAAAACGAGTCATCCAGTCCAGTCCCATCAGGGGACAGAGTATACGATATCAGTCCGTCGGACGACGAGACGAGTAGCGCTACAGTGATGAGCAACAGTACGCTGGATGTGGGTATTGAGCACTGCTCGGCAGCAGCCGGGCGTAGATCGAGCTTACGCGGTCACGTTAAGAAAGAAAATTGTGGTTGTTGCAACGGTTCTCCCGAGCGGCCCAAGGTAAAGAAGATCGGTCCTTCCAAGCCCCAGCCATGCAGCGATCAAGTGACCGCCAAGCTGAAAAAGCCAAAGCAACAACAGCAGCCAGCGAAGCAACTCGCAAAGAAGAGGTAGTCCTAGCTCCCACGCATCTGTACATTCTTCATTGAGGCTGAGAGAAACGCTAACTCATCCTCCACCCGCTCTTGTTAAATTTCGGCGAAAGCTTTGCGATGATTTTTTATAAACGTCTTGAAGACAGGTTTGCCGACGATACCTCAGTTTATCCGCAGTTTATTGATTGGTTGATTGTTTTTAGATGTAGCTCGATGGCGATCCCGTTGTATGTCTAGCGCTTGCCAAACTCGAACAATTTCATTCAAAATGTTCATGGATAACGCCAAGACCTTCCCTTAACATATTACATACGCGCAGACAATTTTCCAATGTACATAATCGCGTCGTAATAATCATTTTCAGATGAGGGAAAGAGAAAGAAAGCTAGGCAAATCTTTAGGTGAAAATTTTTAGGTTATACATATTAAAAAAATATAGACTTACATTATGTGTATACAGTTATATATTATTATATAAATATATAAATATAAATATATATATATATATATATATATATATAAATATATGCCAGAAGACTCCTTTGAGTTGGTAGCACGATATCCTTTTAAATTGTAGATGTTTCTGATTATCTCTAGACAGTGATGAGAATTAAAGCGGAATTTTCAAAGAGATAGCAATGACTTGATATGTACACACACACATACACACCATATATAAACAAATACAAACAGTCTAGAAGCGTTACTTTTGAGCAAATATCCGCTAAGGCGATTATTATTGACAGGTTCTGAAGTAAATTATCTGTTGTGAAAGAATTGCAAGTGTCAGTAAAATTACGTACTAAGCTTTGAAATGAGACAGGTTTAAATGAGAGAATAGAGAGAAGTAATATTCAATCTAGTCATGGGTGAGTGCGAAACTATTCGTGTGTACTCGTGCATATGAAAACGAGTAAGAGAAAACAAATAGTGACTAATTCAAAGGTAGTTAGGTAGCATTTTCCTTGCTGAGTTAAGTCAGGATTTATACGTGTAATTCTTACCTATACAGTATCTCGCTGTAATAACCGTTGAAATACGCCTAGCAAACCTCGTAGCTATACAAAACACGGGCGATCTCTAACAGAGCTGCACGCCAGTCAACGAAAAACCATGCTACGAGAACAAAACAAAGAACGGGTCGTGCTTAAATGAGAAAACAAGTTTACCTCTTTATTTTTTTTACATTGCCAAGTACAGTTTCTTTCTCGTTTTTTCCCCTGCGTTTCTGTTACTACTGGATACCACTTTAGCCAAAAGAGCTAGATTCATTGATTCCAATTTTTCATTTCGTTAGATTTTATTATTGTCATGAGATTATTATTTATTTGTTTATTATATTACATTTCGTAAAGGTCATATTGACTCTTAATATTTTGTACTTTCCTTCGATCATATGTATATAGTAACTCGTTCAAATCTTGCAGCTCTTGTTTTTTTTTCAACGACTTTTGTAATTGCAATCTGTACTTTGTGTTTTAAAAGAACGTGATCATTACTGTACAAATAAATGAAATGAAAAAAGCATTGTATGTTATTTGAATTAAACCAAGAACATTTTTGTTGCGTAAAAAGTAGTGCTTCTCTTATTTAAATTTTCATCGATTTTCAGCGTGAAAAATAATGAAAAAGTGAGGATATACGAGAGATATACCGGCTCCAAACAATCTTCCTGTACATTGTCAATGTATAAATTTCCGCGTTAAAGTCATAAGCACCAATCGAAAGAAAAAAAGTAAAAACAATGGTAAATTAACAGATTAGTAGATGCGTATTTTTGAAAATAAAAAAAAACGATTTACGGACAAAATAGAAAATAATTAGCTTCTACGGAAGAAAAATTTTTTGCAAAATTAGTGCGGCCTTTTGTCGCTACTTAGTCGTACCAAGCGCATTTAAAATATAGCAAACAAAAACTAAACCGAGGAAAAATAATGGTTTCGATGTTAGAGCCGAGATGCATTTCTTATAAGGGAAGAATTCTATGTATATCAATAAGAAAATTAGTAAAAAAGTTTTACAAAGTTAGCTTCAGGTACTTAAGCTGCTTAAAGGCCGTTATAAAAAAATAACTTAAGAAGTTTTTGTAACGTATGTTTGTTAAGGCTAAAGTTTGTCATTCAAAACTATTTAAATATTATGAGAAAATTTAAAAAAATAATGAAACTTTACCAGTATTCGAAAGCGCTATACGTTGTACCGTAGATACTTTGAACATCTTTAAAAAAACGAAAAAAAAGAATTAAAAAAACTACGTTATCGTGAAAGGTTGTTCTTCGAGCGCTATGTATTTGTCGTTAGCACAAAAAATGAATAGTGAACAAGAGAGAAAGTAAGCGATACAAATCTAACAGAAATTTCAATAATTGATATTGTAAATAAACGAGACCTATTTTCTATATGAGAAAAACGTCACTCGAACAAAACAATTTCCATCGACAGCTCGATGAATATTGCAATATTATATGATAATTCTTTCAGCGATAGATTTAATGTTTAATCGTTTTATGTACTGTAACAATAGAAAAACAAGAGGGTATTGGCAGAATAAAAACGAAAAATTCTGTATTAAAAAATAACAAGTTTATTTAATTTTCAAGTCAATTACAGTTACAGTTTTCCTCCTTTCTTTGTTCCTCGACCTCCTGAAAAATAAAAAAACACTATGATGCACAACAAATCAAATTACAATTTTTATATGTGTATCTGTTGATGATCAACTACAACAAACTTTTCTGATTGCGTCCATTATAGATATTCCTCCTTGAAAAAATTCATTAATTTCTGTAGGTACACAAACATGATTGGTCATTTTTGGTTGTATTCCCATATCTTCGCTTATAAATCTAAATTCTCCTTCTTTTTGTCTAACAAATTCACTATGTAATTCTTCATATGTAAAGAGAGAATTTTTTGTCACTGCTTCATTGAGTGGACCAAAATCAACAATTTTTACTTTATCTTTTTTGTATCTGATGACATCAAATGAATCTAAAATATAAGAAAATTTAAAAGTTAATGAAAATAATTTTTCAATATTACAGTAAATACATTTGTTTATAATTACAATCATCAGGACCAAATTTGCTTTGGATACTTTCAGTGAACATACTTTTAATATCTTTTTGAATGTTATATTTGTCATTTTCAATGTGTTTATAATATTGTGAAACATCTCTCTGAGAAATCCCTGTATTGTAAATTAAAAGTTGATTCCTTTGTAAAAAATTATTATTAATGACTACCTACCAACAAGTTCCTTATTAACTACAAAGCAACGGAATTCTGTGCATGGGTCAATATCTCGCCATTTCTTTAATACTAGACATGGATAAATCTGACAATGTTTATCATTAATAGATCTAAGCATACTCAAATCCTGTGATATTCTATCCGAACTCTTTAATAGTAAGTACACATCTTCGAGAGCATTACATTTTAATGACTTTGTTGCTGCAACCCAGGTAGCATCCTAGAAGGATTGATTTAAAAATTAAATAGTACTTAAAATATAATTATTGAATATTATTAGAATTTTAAATTACAGCAGGAGTACTCCAATTTAATTTCAAAAAGACAGATCCAAATTTTTCAATCACTTGTTGCACCTGTTTACTAAACTCTGGAAAAGTTGGTTGTTCTTCAGAGTCCTATTATTTGTCACCAATCAAAAATTACTCTTTAGTTACTACTCGAGATTTAAATTAAAGCAATTTTCTTTACCTCTTCTTCCTCGTCTTTAATGGCTGAACCATCAGACCATTCTGAATTGCACGAATTACCTTTGTTTATTGCTTCAAGGGGTAATAGAAAGGCATCGTGTTCTAAATATTTACAAACATCTTGAGGTAATGGCAGCATCACGGCTTCCAGGACATTTTTACTGAAAAGTGGATACCACTGACAGAAAGAATAATCCACATATGAAATATTACTTTTCATTTCGACCAAAACTGCTCCTGTCATTTAAAACATAACCTTATATCTAACCAGTACTAAACGTGTACACTGCCATTGATGTAGGTATAACATTTGGTTCTCGATGGCAGGATGAAAGCCCCGCATCACGCACACACACACACACACACAGCCACCCGTTGGCGGTTACAGTAGCAGCAGCGCATGCACATTATTGTGTACGTGCATAAAATTTTGTTTTTCTTTTATAAAATCTAATACAGATTTTCAACACTACTAACGTTATAATTAATATAAACATAAAATAAAACTAGTTGTTTGAATATCAAATAAGATCTTTGTATTTATAAATTTCTCTAAATCTTGAAACTGTAATTTGCTTGTAAATATCATAAGCATTGCTTTTATATGCACTTGGGAATGGAATGTAAGGAAGAGAGAAAATGCGAGTGGTGTGCGAGCGTAACTTGCAAGAAATTTAAATGATCAAAGATGTGTATAAATACATGTAAGATATTTGGTTGGTAATAAAATGTCGACGGGGCCGACGGGGCGTCAAATCAAAGCAAACAGATAGCAGCACCGTCCACATATGAACGCGGTCGGCGGTGAACGTGGACGAACAGTGTGGCAGAGAAGGGAACAGAAGGGAAGGGCGGGTTCGCACACAGCTGCCAGCGCAGCCTGCGCAGCTATGCGTATGTAGGTACAGCACATCGCGGCCAGTGTCAGACACACTCGGATCAGATATCTTTCGGTCCTTGTTCGAGCCAGTGAGAGTGTGTTGTCGGCAAGTCATTCGGTTGGTATGTTCAGTTGAGTTTTCCTCGCAGGCAAGTGGTGCAGTGACGAGCAACAAGAATCGCCAAGTGCGCGTGCGTATGTGTGTAAGTTCCATAACGCGCACGTTTACGGTGTCGATCAGAGGGATGCCCGCAACGGCTCCTGGTGCATAGTAGCCTCGTGATTCATTGCCTCGGCATTCGACTTTCTCTCTCTCTCCCTCTCACTCCTTCTTTTTTGTCTCTTGACGAATCAAGGCATAACCTCAACGAATTGTGCTGCTGGCGAGAGTGCAGGCCAGTGCGTCCTGGTATGCCTGGTTATTCGTTACAGACGAGATGCCGTGCCGCCGCAGCAGTATCAATAACAGCAGCAGTCGAGCAAGAGCAAACGAGGTGAGTGGTAACTCGCCGCAATCGCGTCTCTGTTACTCACTCGCTCTCGTTACACGTTCTCTCTCTCCTCTCTCTCTTTCTCTCCGCTTGCTTGACTTGCTCGAGCGACTGCCTTATTCGGATAACGGAGCTTATTAGGGTACGAGATGTGGTAGTTGGAAGAAGTGGCAATAAGTCCAAGTTGGTATGAACGGTGCAACAAGTGTCCTCTCTCTCTCGTTCTCTTTCTCTCTCTCTCTCTTTCTCTCTCTCTCTCTCTTGTTCAACGTGCGAAATCAAACTCGCAGCTCTCACGAGTTCAACAGCACGTCCTTCGCGACCGCGAGGAGTGAGAGAGCACGCTATTAAATTTTAATCAACGCGAGAAAAGCTGGTGAGTGCAGGCGTCGGGGCAATGTACTCGCGCGCGCTGCGTTTCGAGAGCTACCTGTAAACAAATCGCGTCCGCCGCGTTCGCGGAACGACATGTAGGCGTTCACGCCGCGACGTCCGACGGAGCCCGAAATAACTCGCTCGCGTCTGTCTCCGAGGGGGTCCCCGTACCAGGGCAGCTCTTCACTCGGCGCGCCCTTTGTGCGCAAAGAGCGCCGGATGCGCCCGACCGGGCCGCAAGCGCAGATGTTTTTCATTTTTTTTCCCTTTTTCTCTTCCCTTTCGGACAACAGGTGCTCGATACTGGCGCGCGCGCGCGCGGGTATCTGGCGGGGACCGCCGAGCGCGCAGATGCTCGCGCGGCGGCGCCGGCTGCCTCGGGCGCGCCTCTCCCCGCGCGGTGACACGGATGTTGTCGGCGGCCGGGAAAGCGGCTTTCTACCGGGGCTCCCTTTTCCCACGCGACCGCTTCCGCAGCGCGCTAGAAAGTCGCGGCGCTCGCACTGGCAGCGGCTTGAACGGGGCGACCCCTCGATGCTTGCAGCGATGAGCGATGAGCCGCTACGCGGCAGCAGGCGAGGACGACGGCATGGCGAAGGAGAGCGCCGAGGACTCGGACAGCACGAGCAGAGAGCTGGCGGAGATGGCGGGCCCGGAGCAGCAGCAGCAGCAGCAGCAGCAGCAGCAGCAGCAGCAGACGCAACGACTGCCACCGACCTACGTGTACGCGCAGGAGCAGCAGCAGGAGGACGGCGCGGCCGAGGCTAGGCGCCAGCGAGCCTGCGTGAGCGAGGAGCAGCTGGGCGCGCTGCCGGCCAACTGGGAGAAGGCGCTAACCGACGGCGGCGAGGTCTACTTCATCGAGTAGGTAGTCGCGGCGCGGCCGCCGCGGGCCCGGCCGCAGGCGCTCACCCTCGCTCTCGGCTTGCAGCCACAACACCGGCACCTCGCACTGGCTCGACCCGCGCCTCTCCAAGTTCCAGAAGCGCTCGCTCGAGGAGTGCCACGACGACGAGCTGCCCTACGGCTGGGAGAAGATCGACGACCAGCTCTACGGCACGTACTTCATCGACCACGTGAACCGGCGCACGCAGTACGAGAACCCGGTGCTGCAGGCGAAGCGCGCGCGCCGTCCCGAGCCCGCGGCGCTCGAGGGCCGCCGGCTGCGCACCAGTCTGCTCAAGAGCTCGCGCGGCCTGGGCTTCACCATCGTGGGCGGCGCGGAGGAGGCCGCCGGCGAGGCGGGCGCGCCGCGCGCCCCCGACTTCCTGCAGATCAAGAGCATCGTGCCCAACAGCCCCGCCTGGCTGGACGCCCAGCTGCGCACCGGCGACGTGCTCGTGCGCGTCAACGACACCTGCGTGCTGGGCTTCAGCCACAACGACATGGTGGACGTGTTCAAGGCCATCGCGGTGGGCGACACCGTCGAGCTCGAGGTCTGCCGCGGCTACGCGCTGCCCTTCGACCCCGACGACCCCAACACCGAGGTGGTCAGCACGCTGGCGCTCAGCGCGCCTGACGTGCTGGGCGCCGAGACAGCCCCGGGCCCCGGCGGCTCCGTGCCCGACCTCTGCGCCGGCGAGCCCGAGGCGGCTGCCGCGCGGCCCGCCAGCGCCGACCTGCTGCGCGGCCCCGAGCTGCTCGGCATCCCCGTGGTCAAGGGCCTCGCGGGCTTCGGCTTCACCATCGCCGACTCGGCCCACGGCCAGAAGGTCAAAAAGATCCTGGATCGCGAGCGTTGCAAGAACCTGCTCGAGGGCGACATCCTCGTCAGCATCAACGACGTGGGCGTGCGCGACATGTGCCACGCTGAGGTGGTGCAGGTGCTGAAGGACTGCTGCCGCGATCAGGAGGCGCTGATCTGCGTGCAGCGCACGCCCACCGCGGTCGGCAGGCTGCAGCCGTGCCCGCGGGACGCCGATGACTGCTTCAAGGAGATCAAGGACGGCCTGTTCCGCAGCAAAACGCCCACTGCCGACGCCTACAGCACCCAGGCCAAAACCGTGGTGCCCCAGCGCGCCAAGACGCCGCTCATCGACACGCGCCTCAAGACCGGCTCGCCCCCTCCGCCACCGCCCCCGCCGCCGCCGCAGCAACAGCACCAGCAGCACCAGCAGCAGCAGCAGCAGCAGCAGTCGTCCCTCGACCATCACGAACAGGTCCTGGACGCTGGTTACAAGTTCGACTACGACCACGGGCTCTACGCCTACGGCGAGCTACCCTACAAGCCGAGCCTGGCCCACCTGTCCGACGACTTCGCTGCAATGAATCTCTCGGGTGAGTGCGCCTCTCTCGTTTTCGCCTTGGCGCGGCGAGGCTCATTGCGCAGTTGGTCCGCAGAAGCCGAGGAGTCTCTGCGGGAGGCAATGAAGCGCGAGGAGTGGCTGGCGGCGAACGGCGACAAGTTCAACTACGACAGCGATGTCTATGCCATCGACGTGTCGCAGCAGCACGTGGATCATTACCCGATGCACATGGCAAAACAGAACGGCATGCACCACCCAGCTACGACGGCCGCTACGGACTACTACAAGGACATCTATGCCGTGCAATCGCCGCTGCACTACGATCCGGAGCACGCGGACTATAGCTCCTATGCGGCCATGATCGGCCAAGAGCAAAACGTCGATACCGGTGAAATCTGGGACAAGAGGAAGGAGACCACAAGCTTCGAGCACGAGCAACCTCATTCCAGTTCCATTATGCCGAGGTAAGCAGCTCTATAGCAAATTGTCTGCTTCAAACTTCGGACAAAACAAAACTCTGCTCCGTAGATACGGGCAGTACGGAAATAGCGTTGGAAACGACTTGGTCTGCCCTTCCTATCCTGACATTGAGTGGATCGAGACCCTGGTGACTCTCGTCAGACAAGACACCGGCTTCGGGTTTCGAATAGTCGGCGGCACCGAGGAAGGATCTCAGGTTGGTGTCTCACACTATCGCTTATGTTCTCATCTATCAGTCGGTCGAGATCTCAAATTGGCGGCGTGCGCTCTTACTTGGCCAGCAGGTATCCGTAGGGCATATAGTCCCGGGAGGTGCGGCCGACCTTGACAACCGCCTTAACACTGGCGACCTTATCATGTCGGTCGACGGCGAGAGCGTCATGAACTCGTCACACCATCGTGTCGTGCAACTGATGATCGCCGCAGCCGAGAACGGCCGCGTCACGCTTGGCATTCGCAGACGCATCGCCACTCAAGACCATCAGCATCTTATGCGTGATAACGTCCAATCGTCGTCTTCCTCGTCCTACGGATGTCGACCCGTTGCCCATGTGCAGTATCCATATGACGTTAGTGTTTATCGTCTTATTTTCATTTGGTTTGGAGAAAGGAAATAAATAATACTTTCATTATGTCCTTTAATCTTTGTAGGTGACTGTGACTAGAATGGAAAACGAAGGCTTCGGTTTTGTTATCATTTCGTCAGTTAACAAAGCCGGTTCGACAATTGGTAGAATTATCGAAGGCTCGCCAGCTGAACGATGTGGCAGATTGAATGTTGGCGATCATATTTTAGCCGTCAACCGAGTCGATATAACGAATGCCTGCCATAAGGACATCGTCAATCTTATCAAAGACTCTGGTTATTCAGTCACTTTAACTATTGGATATCCACTGGATGATTGCTGCAGCAATACCTCACTATCTCAAAAGGTATACGTCATTCAGGCATTTAACTTCTTTTTACTGGCGTTATTTTAATTATTAATTTTTTTCAGGATGAAATAGCAAGCGATGCTGATGGAGGACAATATCATGCCGTGGAATTAACCAGAGGTACTCGTGGATTCGGCTTTAGTATTAGAGGCGGCCGAGAATTTCAAAACATGCCGCTCTTTGTCTTGCAAATCGCAGAAAATGGACCAGCTGCAATCGACAATAGATTAAGGGTATGCATTAACTTTAACGTAAAACCTATGAAATTTTACGATGAACGTTTGTTAAGCAAAAATATTGTCTTCTAGGTTAGTGATCAAATAATAGAAATTAATGGCATCAATACCAAAAACATGACTCACACGGAAGCCATTGAAATAATACGGAATGGGGGACCAACAGTTCGTTTATTGGTGCGACGAGGCGGTTGCCAAATGCCTTTAGTGGTAGGTGCTCCTTCACATCTCTACGACATGAATATTTAAAGAGAACTTTTTTAGAAAAACCAAGCTAACACAAATAACAATCATCGACTCAATCTCATCGTACTTTGTATGTATGTATCATGAATTTTATGAAGGGGTGATCTAATGTGCATCGATTTTTTTATGATGATAGTCTTATCGTTCGACATCGTAACATTCTGTATATAATATGTTTACTATTGTTTTGTCTTTTATTTTTACATTTAATTGTTGTTTATATGAAATCATTGAGATACTGAATATTATCAGTATACCGAGGTTTTCTACATGTTTTTTTACGAACGCAGACAATAAAAATAGTATCATGCGAATTGATGTTTACAGTTAAGTAATAGTGGAACACAATTGTTATTTCGATACATCATAAAAAAATTTAGGAACACTTTCAGTGCGATATCTAGCAAAATTTATTATTAATTCGTAAATGAAAGAACACCGAAAGTGTTTGAACTCTAGGATGGTCTGAAAAAATAGTTTCCATCTCATAGCAATCATTCTAGCAGCTACATTAGCTACTTTATTCAACAGTTCATTTGGCAATCAATTCCACGATACATTTGCGTATAACTCAATAAATCTTGTGTGACGAATCACTGCATTTTAGTTTTTAACTTAGAAAGATTGCTATCGGAATTGACCTTTTTTAGTACATTTTACATCCACCGGCTTTATGCAACTAATGTATTTAACGATTTATGTATCTGACTAACACGTGTGATAAAATGAAAAAAAAGTGTGCCTTGCGCGTGTTCTGTAACATTAACTACAATATTTGCGTCTCATTTAATGTCACTGTCTTTTTTTTGGGGAATATGCAAATTTTATATATTGGCTCATTTAGCGAAAAAGTTTCTTGGATTATAAAGAAACTATTTTTTGATATTTTAATACCTCTATTTTTAATACCTGAAAATGATCTGATGAATGAGGAAATAGAGTCTTGGAAACTTTTTCTGATTAATAATATCTTCAGTATAAAGTTCCATTGTTGAAGCTTGATAAAATTCACGTTGTAGAATTCTGTCAGGCTCGACCAAATGAGCAATCGTGCAGACGATACGAATCATATGCCCAGGATTGAGCTGAACGAGAGGCGATCGATAAAAAATCGACTCTCTTTATCGCTAGATTGTTGCTGCTCGTCAAGGAGTGGCCCAACGTGAATCTCAAAACAATGCCAACTTTAGTCGCCTTATACAATTTTTACGACACAATTTACAAATTCTAGAAGAAATTAAAAGACTTTGCGTATTATTGAGTGAAACTTATATCATTATTAAAACAATTTGTTGTTGCATTTATTCGGGAGAGCTACATCCTTTGTAAGCGAATGAACGAGCTTGATACTTGTTACAGAGAGCGCTTCTCTGTTATGTAAACGTAATGGCAAACTCCAAGGAGAACTGAACGATAATTAATTGTTTCCAGTATTTGCGTAATCGTGCATTGCTGTAGATAATAATCATTTGATTTTGAAAACACTGCAAGTCTCACTTCCTAATCATTTATTTTCTTGTTTTTTTTTATAATGCAATTTGCATCGTTTACCTTGTCGATAAGAATCTCGTATTATTGAGTGCACAGGCCATCTTTTTAAAACGCATTCAGTGCTCACGTCACCAAAGAATGCACTCAAATGACGTATTTAGATTTTTTATGTTAATAAGTAATACGACTGTTTTTATAATAATAACGATAAGAGCTTATAATCATAAACTTTTTGAAAATCAATTTACTGGCATAGGAAGTAAGAAAATATTGTTATTCTTCCCTTGAAAATGCTATAGAATTTATATTTTTAAACGACGAAGAAGAGCTTACAAGGAAGAAACAAATTCATTGAGCAAACGTTGTACTTTAGATCTCGAATATTATTCTAGGACACGCATAAGCAAAATCGGTACATTGTTTTTAATATTTTCAATGAGCCTAGCTACTATGTAAGCTGACGGATGCCGAAATGTTTTCAATTAAACTAAATCTGTAATAAAAACTGTGAATAACTTATCTATGTAAACATATGTAAAGTTCTTTGTACTATCAATCATTGAAATTTGTGAGCAATAAAAAATATACAAGTTTATAATAATTTGATTGTTTTGTTTTTGTGTAACGCCGCTGTCTTAGAAAATATTTAATCATTCAATTTCTTCATTTTAATGTCGGCTTAGAAGTTTAGAGGGCTTTTTATAAAATCCAAACCCTGCCTGGGTTCGAAAGAAAACAACCAGCGGGACAAAGCGGATCTTTTCCATTTTTAAATATAAAATTGTTGCTTGTTTCCAACGTAGGATCAAGTAATTGTTAATTAAGTTATTGATGGTATAGTGATCAATGAATTTGTCGGTGAAATATTTTAGTACTTACGTTGGGAATGTTATCGATATTATCGATTGAGGTTTTATTTTTGAATTTACTTAAAATTGTTTTAAAGTGCCTTTTGCAGTAAAAAGATTTCGGTCTTATTCGGATATAAGTAGGTGGATCATAGTGCCGCATTCTTATCATTAACTGAGTTATTTATACTGAATTTATTTACGGAAAAAAGGTGTTAAAATCTCTATAGTTAATGCTCGATTTTCTTCAAGACGTCGATTTTTTGATTAGTTAGATTATAATCTTAGCTGGAATAATCAATGTTTTACTAGCGTTTAAACAGTGGCAGAATTTGTTCCAGTATTTTTGTAGTTTATTTTTCTGATGGCTAGATGGCAGAATGTTCCAGCGAAATAGTAACCGAGTGAAAATTTATGTAAAATTGAATGGCATTGCGATCACCGGGGTCATCGAGAGCAGCGACTTTGTTTTTGTTTAAGTTAGAGAAGATATCTAGTCGAGCGTCAGCTATACATAAATCTAAATAAGAATTGGCTGTATCTTCAAGGTCGGTGCGCTAGGGGTGTATAGTCTAGCTCTGAAAGTTAATGCTTTTGTTTGTATCTAGTTGTACATGTAATCTCCACGTGGGTTAGCTTTACTGTCTCCTAAGATTTATATTTGGCGTTAAGGTCGCCAGCTATTATGAAGCAGGAATTATCGTTGGTAATTACACGTAATATAGATGTTAAGTTCGTAAATAAATAAAATACGGTTGTGACTAGCAGCCTAAACGCTTATAACTATGGGTGAGAGATGGTTACGATATTTCATGTTAACTGTAATTGTCTCGAGTGTTTTGACTGTATGCGAGTTTCTTTAATGAAGAGCATTTAACGATTATTCTATTTTTTATTAAGGACATTGTACATCCACCTTGAGTTAGTGGCGTTAGATAGGTTTGTCCACTGTCGAATTATTTTGTAATCTTGAAAAGATAAACGATGATTCAAATTAACTTTTGTTTGACTCATTTAAATTACGTTTGCGTGCTTCAAACATCTGCCATAAAGCCTCTGGTGAACTTGGTTTGGGTTGCCGACCGGCGACTAGACAAACCAAAAGAAAGAGTGTAACCAGCAACCAGATGGCGCTAGTAACCTGCAAGCGGTAAGAAATACATTTGTTTCGAATATGAACCCGTATAACTGCTTATGTATACTCCAAACGTATAAAGCAAATATTACCAACCGTGAGCGCAGTCGGCAACATCGGAACGAATCGGAGCGTCTTTTACCACAACTTTCTCGTTTTTCTTTGACTCCAGTCTCACAAGCCTGGCAACACCCTTGCGAAGATAGCCCGACAAACATGTAATGTAAAAAAAGAAAATCATATCTTATTTATTTTTAATTGTACATGATAGAAAACTAGTTATTTTTAATTGTACCATTTTAATTTTGCCAAAAATTAGCAACAAAGGGTATTGAATATTTGCCTTCAATATATTGCCTTTGGAAGGAAAATATTTAAAAAATGAAATGGCAGAAAAATTGTACCTTCTGTAAATTAAATTGTACCATCCGTAAAATAGCATAAATTTACTTAGAAAATAAATAATATGAAAACAACCAATTGACTGCATGCGCACAGTGTACTTCCGGATACGTTACTCATAATAAATGTCAATTGGTTGTTTTCATATTATTTATTTTCTAAGTAAATTTATGCTATTTTACGGATGGTACAATTTAATTTACAGAAGGTACAATTTTTCTGCCATTTCATTTTTTAAATATTTTCCTTCCAAAGGCAATATATTAAAGGCAAATATTCAATACCCTTTGTTGCTAATTTTTGGCAAAATTAAAATGGTACAATTAAAAATAACTAGTTTTTTATCATGTACAATTAAAAATAAATAAGATATGATGATTTTCTTTTTTTACATTATATGTTTGTCGGGCTGTCTTCGCGAGGGTCTGGCAACGCGGTTCTCTTTCTAGCATATGCTATAGCCTATATAGCCAGATGATACTAATCGGGTCTCAGCGCCCTCAGAAAATTTAAATTTGTTGTATTTTTCTCCGAACAATCGGTGACGCACGAAAAAGTGCCAATTGAACTAAAAATTAATGAATTGATCTGATTGTGTTAATTAATTTAGATTCTGTAAAAAGTGTGAAGTAAAACCTTTGTTTGACTTTTATTATTAAAAATGTCATTGTCAAGAATCAGAAAACTTATTGCTGACTTTAAACAAGAAGATGAAGATTGGCTAAAGGAAACTAAAAAAGACTTCGAAAATCAACATATTATATATGAAAAAATGTTTAAAAGAATAAAACACATTGAAGGTATTAAATTGCTAAATAGATATAAGATTATTTAAATTTTATGAAATTATTTGTAAATAGATGAAGTTATAAAACGAAAGGATGATATCACAAAAATGTTGGATTATTTAATTTCCAATCATGATATTATCGAAAATGCTTTAAAAAAAATAAATAGTCTTGATAGTGTTGATAGTCTTCCATTACCTCCAGAACAACATGAGTAAGCTATATCATTTTATTAAAATATTAAAACAATGTAAACAATTTATTATAGCTAATTTATTTATGTTACAGAAATGCCATAGACTTAGTGAATAAAATAATTCAGTTCATGAACAACATTGAACTTATCACTGACCCAAATAAAGTTTCTCCTGAACAAATTAAAGAAGATGTTGTAAGTACCAAATCTTCTGTAACAACGATACAGTTCATTAAATAATCATGCAATATCTCTTATAGGTATCTTATGCAGCTAATGTGGCACAAGAATTACAAGAGTATAAGACTGATTTAAACATAGTTAAGGCATTACCCAATCGCGTATATTTACTACATTCTTTGAGTACAAAATTGACCGGTAATTGGTCTTGAATATAATTTTTAGAAAAAGTACAGATTATTAGTGAAAATCAAATATTTTTTCAGGTAAAACCGAATCTCTAGAAAGAGAGAACTCTCAAAAGTATAAACTTTCCACGATTACTGAGCAAGAATGAATGATAATAATGTTATGAAAAAATATTGATAGCTTTTGTACTTGACTGTAGTATTGATGAAAATTTTTAAACCAAGAAAAATTGTTTTCTACCTAAATATAAATGTAAATGTAAATAAAAAAAAATATTTTAAATAAACTGACTATACTGAATGTATTTATTTGAATCTTTACAATATATTTATAAAATATTTATATACAATATATTTATTTGAATCGTTATAATTGATCATATGTTTAGGTTACTTTAAAGCTAGATATTAGGTTATGTATTTGTTTTAATCAATAACGAATTTTTCGAATATATAACCTCTACGGCAGTGATTTCCATGAACTTTTATAAAATAAATTAAACATTGCTTGAAAATGTCTAATTTATCAAAAGATAAATTTTTTGAGCAAAGTAGAGATGAGTATGTTCCTGAAATTGATAAAACAAATTATTTCCAGGAACAAGACGAGAAATTTGAAGAACTGCATAAAAATTTACAAAAATTAAAGGGTAAATTCAGTAACTATTGTTCATGTTATTGTGTTAGTGATGGTTCATCACCAATAAACTGCTAAACTTTTAACTTTTGCAGAAGATAATAAAAAACAGATTGATGCTATAATTGATAGTTTAGATGATTTAATGGCCAGCAAATGTGTAATTGAACAAACTCTTGATAAAATTATATCTGATGATTTACCCATTGAAATACCTAAAGAAAACTTGTGTGTATAATTACATTTTCTAGCGTTTTTTTAAATTTTGTTATTGTCACTAACTTTTAATATATATATTATTCAGGAGTGTAGTAGACCTTTTAGCCAAAGTCACAGGAATTGTCAATGATCCAAATGATAGTTTATTCAAAGTAAGCAAGAACAAAATGAATACAGTTTTAAAATATATTTGTACATTATTAAATGTTTAACTGATAAATACTTTTTTTTGAGGAATGTGAAAGGAAAAATGATAGTGCTGTGGAAGTCAACAAAGAAGAACTTAAGACTCAAACGTCAAACAAAATGAATTGCACTAATGATATGCCAAAAAAGTCTAAATTAACAAAACAGACAGAAGAAAATTCCTTGATCAACTTAGAAGATTGTGTTTTGCAAGACTGCAAGAATGAATATCAAAATGAAACATCAGACAAAGTGAACTTGACTGATAATACTGATAATACACATAAGGTCTTAAAAAAAGACAAAGAATAGTCCAATGGTTAACTAAGTAGGTTAGCTAGGGAAAATATATTAAGGTAACTAACTCTTTTAATTTCTTTTGTGTTGCATATTATGTATTTGTATCATGTAAATATTTCTTGATTTTCTCATTTGCTGATCATATAAATAAACTAATGTTTTTACAAAATTTACACAATAGAGTATCCACTGTTTAAAAATAGCAATAAAATGAATTTGTTTTAACGACAATGCAATACTCACAAGTTATTGATTAGTATCAAAAAGTAGTTTGTAAAAAACCTAAATTGTTTTCCAAATCCCACTTCAAAGTGATCAAATGTGGATCCACAATGTCCTAGAAAAAAAATGATTCACAACATGAATTTTTGTCAAATTTTTAATTTTATTGGATTACCTTAAAGTATGTTGTATATTCACTTGTAGTTGTTGGCACATCTGAATGATTCAAAACTTGTTTATTTCGACAAATTTTATTGTTATCATCTATATCTTTCTCTGGTTTTTCAATTTCATTTACGTATAGTGATAGTCTTGTTCTAATAGAAATGAAACCATTGTAATTGTAGCAATGCAGAAATGATTCAATTGTAGTAGAAAAGTACTTATACTTACTTAGCTAATTCTAATTTTTCAGTAGCAAGTTTACTTTCTTTTTCTATCAAAATTTCTTGTTGAGAGTGCAATTGATTAAATTTTTCTTTGTAGCGTTGTTCAATAAAACGAGCTTCTTTCAAAGCCTTCAGTCCTTCCTCTCTTTTAGATATTGCTGACTGTTTAATTAAATTTCATGTAGATAAAGTAGGATATTAAAAAATCAGTATTAATGAATATTAATACTTCCAAACCTGTGTGAATTCTTGCAGTTCTTTGGCTTTTTGAACAAGTAGATGCTCTTCTTCTTTCAGAATATGTTTTTTCTTATCTAATTCTTGTATTTTTTGTTGCCACTTTACTCTCTCTTGATTAGCATTGAAAGCTGCCTCTTGAGCAGTTTTTATAGCTGCTTCCAACTAGAAATCATTATTATTCACCATACATACATATTAAGAATTTAGTAAGCAAATTATAAAAATAAAGCTTACTTCAATTTTGGATGATTCATCAACTTGATGGTTCAATCTATTGAAAATTTGCAATTTTGCTCTTTCAGATGCAACAGCTTGTCTTTCTTGAGCAAGCCATTCCAACTGTTTATCTTCTTCTTTAGCCCAAGCATCCATCATAGACTAAAAATTATTCAAGCCATAAACATCAATAAGAAATATTGGATTGCCATCTAATAAATACCTTTAGCCTTTCCCGTTCCCAGTTCATCTGGTCTGCAAATATTTCTCTATCTCTGAGCAAAGCCTGCTCTTTAGTTTTAAGAATTTCTTCGCTGATTTGTAAGCTAGCATTTTGCTTGCTGAATTCTTTGGTCAAGTCTGCTATATTTGATTCGAGTTTTTGCGTTGTCGCTATGAATGTTTGCTTTTCTTTATTAAATGCTTCTTTCTGGCTTTCTAGTAGATTTTTCATATCTGAAAGTCATCGTCAAAGCACATCATCGCGAAAGAGTATACTCATAAATTCGGAAGTCTTACATTCGATATTTTTTTGTTGAATACTAAAATGATTCTCCTGTACGTCGCCGAAATGCTTATCTTTATTTTCGAATTTTTGCTGTAAATTTTCAAGATTCTCCATCAACAATTGTGATTTACTCAGTATACTCTGGACGTTCGTCCCATCCGTCCTCATGATTTCCATCGCCTGACGTTCCGACTCTCTCGACTTGGTCAGCTTGTCGATGATCTCGGTGTGCTCCCTCTGCAACATTTCTAAATTGTCGCGATGGCGCACCTGAATGTCCCGCAGCAGTATCGAGCTCTCCTCCTGGAAATTGCGAGCCGCGACTCTTTAGCTCCTCGCCGAACGCGGACGGGCGACGAGCGCGCGTCCTTGATTTACCGCGAGAAGCGCCTTCTCTTCCTTGCGGACCCTCTCGCAGTCGGACAGCTCCTCCTTCAGCCTCTGGATCTTGGAGCTGTACTCGGCGTCCAAGGCCTCGACGCGGTCTTGCGCCCACTTGTCCGCCTGGAGCACGGCCTCCTGCAAGCGAGCGACCTGCTGCCTGAAAGCGACGCGACCGGTGAGACGATCGGCGCACAGCGAGGGAAAGCGAGAGGTTACTTGAAGGACTGCTCGAGCACGGCCACTTCCCGGTCGTGCTTCTCCCTCAGGCTCGTCAGGGTGGCCTCCGTCGATTCGGCATTGGCGCTGTCGGGATCGTTGGCCGGCGCCGCGGGGCAGACGAGCGGCAGTGCGGTCGGCTGTGCCGCGAGGCTCTGAAACAGCGGTCGCGTTTTCAGAGAGAGAGCTGATCGGCGCGGCTGCCGCGACGCCTCAGCTCACTCGCAGGTGGCCGTCTATGCGATCCTGCTGCGCCCTTATCTGCGCCTCTATGAGCGCTTGCCTCTCCAGCTGTTTGGCCATCAGCGCGTCGAAGCGCCTCTCTTGCTCGTCGAGCTTGGCCTTCTGCGCGTCCAGCAGGCGGTTCAGCTGGTCGGTCTGCCGGCGGAGCGCCGCCGCGGTGCGCAGCTCGTGCTCCTGGCGCTGCACGTCCATCGCCGCGGCTCGGCGCTCGAGCTCCATGCCGAGCAGCGTCGTCGTCAGGTCGGGCCCGGCGCCGGGCGTAGCTGCGGTCGACGGGGGGGCCGCCGGGGGCGCCGGCGGCGACTTGGGCTCGGGCCGGGTCGGGGCCGTCAGCCAGTCGGGCAGGGCGTCGCCGAACTGCTGGGCGGAGGCCGACAGGTAGCCGAACGGGTCGCTGCTCTGCGGCGCCGCGGCCGAGGCGCGCCGTCCTCGCCGGGGCTCCCTCGGCGCGCTCGGCGAGTAGCCCGCGCTCGCGCCCTCGCTGCGCCCCGGCCTCGCGTCCGCCTCGCGGCCGAACAGTTCCTCCATCAGCGACTTCCTCGACTGGTCGCTCGGGAGCATCGGCCTCGCCGCTGCGCTCTGCAATCAGATGCGCGGTTGCGCGCGCTTGCGGAGGGCCGGTAGAGGGCCGACGGAGGGCGAGCTCGCGTCGTCGTTACCACTGGCTCGGCGGTCTCGCCGTCGTCGCGACGCCCGAGCCCGAACGGATCGCCGAGCCGCCCGCTGTCCACCGCAGTTGGCTTGTCGGGCGCGTCGTCGCCGAGCGGGTCCAGGCCGCCCGCAGGCTCGCTCCCATCTGCAACGCGAGGCGCACGTGCATCGACCGCGCCTCCGAAGCGCTGCGTTCGCCTACCTTCGAGTGTCACCCTTCTCCGCTCGCTCGCGCTACTCTTGGGCTGCGCTCTCTTACCGGGCAAGTCGTCCATCACTCTTGTCCCTTCGACGAAGAACAGTCCTGGCGGAGGGTCCCGCGGTAAGTATCGCAACTTTGGTGCATCGTTGTGCCGTTGTCGTTCTGTTCAAGCCATCTCCGAACGTCTCGCTAGAAGTCCCTTTAAATCAGGATAAGCACGCTTTGTTTTGAAACGCTCGCGAGGCCGCTCAGCTGTGGGTCGCCTTGGCGACAGCCGAACGGCGCGACGTTATTGGTCGCCGCGGCATCGCGTTGAGCGCGCGCAGCAACCGCTGCCGCCACAACAATGACGTGGCAATAGCCGTGGCGCTGCCAATTGCCTGCTGGGCTAAGCTGGCTTGTAAATAAATTAACCTAGAAAGGGGCGTCGACGCCATCGCTCCACCGACAAATCATCGTGAGCAGTTCGCGCTCGTGCGTAAACAGTCATGACGGACCTGTCGTTTTCGGCACGAGCCTACGCCAAGATAGTCCTTCACGCGGCCAAGTATCCACACTGCGCGATCAACGGACTGTTACTCGGCAAACTTCGTTCCAACGAGCTGCAGATCGTCGATGCGGTGCCGCTTTTTCACGTGTGCTTACACGTCTCGCCCATGTCCGAGCTCGCTCTCACCATGGTTAGTACACTTTTTTATTCCACACCATTCGCTGCTGCCTTGATTTTACATAGTTCCTTCAGCCTCGTCGATGCTAGCTCAAATGACATTGGTACTTTTTAGGTAGAGCAAGTGGCTATCAATAAAGGCTTAGTCATTGTGGGCTACTATTTGGCCAATGAAAATATCAATGACATTAGGTAATTTGTTCGCTGTTTTACTTAGATATTGGCTACTGCTTGTTTTACTCCCCTTTGTTTTGATTTTAGTTCCGACAAACCAGCTCATCGAGCCATTTCAGAAAAAATTGCCGAAAACTTCAATCATGCTGTCTTGACAGTTGTTTCGAATAAAGACATGACCATTGGCATGAACACAAATCCTTTAAGAATTTCACAGTATTCAGATGGCAAATGGAAATACAGAGATAAGTCAAGGTCAATATTACAAATACTCTTTTGTGTTACAATTTGCTTTTGTCTTCAATATCTTCATGGACCATTTTCCTTGTTCATTTCAGTATAAACTTTGAAGCTGGAGCTGATCTCTTAGAAGCTATGTATCATTTAATGAGAAATGAAGAATATAGAAATCTAGTCGACTTTGATAACCATTTGGATAATATATCGTTAGATTGGCAGAACTATAATCTAAATCATATCATAGATAAAGCGCTGAAGAATCAAAGATAGATTGAATTTGTAAATAAACCAAAGTTTGTTTTCATACTTTGAATTGTTTGTGCAAGGGTACCTATGTATTATATTTAATTTATACAACACTAATAAATATTCACAAGAAATTTATGCAAATGTCACGATTGTTCTGTATTTTTACTGTTTCTTATTTACAATAATTTTCATACACATTTAATAATAGTAGCGATTGTTCTATAAAAGCTATATAAACAAACATGTTTAAAAAATATCCAACAATTTTTATTAAATAGTACATTTTTGTTTTCTAATTTTTGTTCAGTTATATTCACTATAGATTACAATAATTAGAAATGAATAACATGGAGTTTTTTACAGTTTTTTTAAAAGATAGAAGCAAGTTAGATTGATTTTCACTTATAGAAACATCATATTCATGAGAAAAATCTGAAAATCATTAAATAGTATTTTTATATTTAAAATATGAAAACAATCAATTATTATAGGTTTGACTCCAATTTACTAGTATTCGCATTTGCCCCCTTATTGACACGCATGCGTATCTCGTGTGAGTAATCCAAATATAACCTTATTTTCAATTACAATTGTATGTTGTATGACTACATATATGATGAAATTATAGTAGTAATAGTGTATACGACATGGAGACTTCTCCATGGACAGGGGCCTTATTGCGGTGTTGGTCATGCGTGCTTAGACGTTGCGCAGTGTATTATGCGTCGATCGTGTTCGTCTCAAAACAAATTGATGGGTCATTCTTGGCTTTGTTTATTATATATATATATAAAATATATAAAATTTTTTATCATTTTTCTTTAATTGTTAATAACTTTTGATATAATTAATGTATCGTCATTAAAATTTGGGAAAAATCTCACTTTCATGTGTACAACAGTTGTGCCAAATTAAAAAAAATCCGAAACCTAAAGGTTATAAGTAAATCGAAATAGCCAAAAATAACTCTGATATTGATTATAATTACTCCATTAATAATATTGACATTATCCTTGTGACAGGCAGATCTGTGTACATAATATTGCGCAGTCTCCAAGTGCGAATGACCAACACCACAATAAGGCCCTAGGAGGCTCGGTAAGGCTCTCTCCAGATAAGATCCGAGGGTCACCAAACCGCGCGGTATTTTGCCACAGTCCGTTGTTTCGCTCTTTGTCCAATTCTGTGCTAATAATAGTTAAATGCAATCTAGCAATAGCGTTGTGATATGTCGGGGTCGGAACATGTCAACACAGTCGATTACAAGAAAAAATATATATAAATAAAAATAATGTTAGCCGAAAAAATCAATCGATAATGAAGAAATCGCTCGATCGTGCATTCGAAAAAACAAATCGACCTCCTCACCGATCATCTATTCCTGGTAATCTCGCTGGTCCCGAACTCGACGCTGACAAACGTTTTCATTAATTTTTTTTTCGTTGTGTTACGATATTAGATCACGTTAGCAACAAATTATTGCAAAATAAGTGCACGCGACAGTTTCAAATTCGCTAGACATCAGAACTCTCAAGTTTTATCATTTCTCTTCGTTAATCTAATAAAAACAAATTTTTTTTCCATCACATTCGCTGTTGGAAACGTCGTTTATACGGGACAGTAGGTTTCTAAACAAATGTTTTTGTTTATACGTATAATAAAGTAGAACGAGAGGTCGATTCGGCAAGTACAATTAGTATATACTATAAGTATTTTGTTAACTGGACACGGAAAAAAAGTAAGCCAAGAGCAAGTGCCTAATTTCGCATCCAACGACAAGCAAAGAAGCCAAGACCTCAGGTAGGTAATAGTTATTTACGTACCTCGGGCTGTATCACGTCGTATTACGTCGAGGGACTTTTTGGGAAGGAGAGGGGGGCAGTGGAGCGTCCGATGCCGCGCAGTGCCCATCTCCTTCAAAAAATCCCGAGACGTAATACGACGTGAAATAGCCCGAAGTGCGTTAACAATTTTTCAATTTTGGCGCCCGTAAACTGATTTTTACCGTTAGCCGGTTGTAATATAAATAAATATTTTTCGAGTTTGCCGGTATCACACTTGACTTCGCTTTTTCAACGAGCTCTTCCAGTATATTTCCACTATTGTCATCTTCTTCAGAACTGCTAGAGTCACTTGCTGCATCAGCATTTTGTTTATTTGACATAAACATTTCTGATAAATTCATTTTTAACAATTTTCACTAATACCGGCACTTTTTACTTTTCTCGATTTTCAAGTTCGGACACGTTTGACATATCCCCTCTCACTTGCTTAGGCGCCCGTAAGCAGCATTTTACGTGCAGAGCATGCTCAGCGTAGAAAGTTGTTCAGTACAGCGGAGGGGCATCCTGGGCTGCATTGACTTAATACAGCCTAGGACACTGGGCTGTATTGAGTCAATACAGCCCAGGACCCTGGCTCCCTCTACGTGACAGCACTTAATACGTCGGAGGACTAGTACGATAAACTTCCATGTAGAGGGCTCTGCATGGAAGTTTTTCCGTGCTGCGGAAAAGTATAGTCTCCGCCTTTAAAAAGTGAGAGGGGATATGTCAAACGTGTCCGAACTTGAAAATCGAGAAAAGTAAAAAGTGCCGGTATTAGTGAAAATTGTTAAAAATGAATTTATCAGAAATGTTTATGTCAAATAAACAAAATGCTGATGCAGCAAGTGACTCTAGCAGTTCTGAAGAAGATGACAATAGTGGAAATATACTGGAAGAGCTCGTTGAAAAAGCGAAGTCAAGTGTGATACCGGCAAACTCGAAAAATATTTATTTATATTACAACCGGCTAACGGTAAAAATCAGTTTACGGGCGCCAAAATTGAAAAATTGTTAACGCACTTCGGGCTATTTCACGTCGTATTACGTCTCGGGATTTTTTGAAGGAGATGGGCACTGCGCGGCCTCGGACGCTCCACTGCCCCCCTCTCCTTCCCAAAAAGTCCCTCGACGTAATACGACGTGATACAGCCCGAGGTACGTAAATAACTAATAAACAAAAACATTTGTTTAGAAACCTACTGTCCCGTATAAACGACGTTTCCAACAGCGAATGTGATGGAAAAAAAATTTGTTTTTATTAGATTAACGAAGAGAAATGATAAAACTTGAGAGTTCTGATGTCTAGCGAATTTGAAACTGTCGCGTGCACTTATTTTGCAATAATTTGTTGCTAATGTGATCTAATACCGTAACACAACGAAAAAAACATTAATGAAAACGTTTGTCAGCGTCGAGTTCGGGACCAGCGAGATTACCAGGAATAGATGATCGATGAGGAGGTCGATTTGTTTTTTCGAATGCACGATCGAGCGATTTCTTCATTATCGATTGATTTTTTGTTGTCCACCCATTTCTCACTAGATGATGTTGATCATCCGCGAGTGGTAAGAATACTCGCTCGTTGCTTATATATAATCCCGCATAATAATTCGACCTCTTGAAACGTATGAGGCAGTTGTTATTGACCGTCGAGACCATGGAGACTACATACAGGAGACGAAGCGGCCTATCCCGGCCTGGATAGAGTTTAGGAACTCGAAGTCCCCCAAGGTGCCTTAGTAGAGGGCTACCGCCATCTAGTGGTAACAGCCGGCGCGTCGAGTTGTTGAAGCGCGCTATCATGCATTAGCGCGCGTCGATAACTCGAGTCACCACTAGATGGCGGTAGCCCTCTAAGGCACTGAGGGACTTAGGCTGGAAAATTCTTATACATTACGCTTCGTCTCCTGTATGTAGCCTCCGTGGTATACGAGCTGTAAAAGAATTACAAGTTATTTTTTCTGAAAGTACTCCAATAAAGTTCGTTAAATTTGCTATTGAGACATCAAAATAAAGTAAAGTTGCTAAATATGATAGAGTCTTGCTCCAAAAAACGTATGCTATTGGGCATAACTTTATTAGGAGGGTAAGTTGAATTTTAGTTTAAAGCAATTCAAGTCAATCTGCATTCATTTGAGAGATTGAACAGCATGTAACTTGTATTGTTAGGTTGACCATTTTGGTTTTGATAGTTGAAAGTCATTGGACAGACGCCAAAAGTGGTAATGTGATTGTTGAGACTATTGAGGCTAACAGCACATGTTTATCTGGTGAAGATTTCAAAGTGATTTGGGAGTGCCATCCATGTTCTGCCTTTGAAATTGCCAGCCAAAGTATTGGAGTTTGTTCCAAAGCACGGTACAAAGAAGTAGTTGAATGCAAATCTGGAGAAAAAATTACCAGAAGGTAAGGTTGTTCAAGGCAGTGTGATGAAATTATCTGCTTTTTGTCATAATACAAATCATGATATATTATTTTGTTGTAGTTGTGATAAAGTTGCATGGTTGGAGGAGAGAGCTTTTTGGAAATTTGAAAGTTTTATGTTTGCTGGAACAATTTTATCTTGTTTAATATTGTTTTGGAGAGAAAGTATCCTCAGAAAGCGAATCATAAAAAATGTGGCTAGACAGTTGAGAGGTAGCGTTTAATTTGTTAAGTTGTAATAATGGGAACAGTTTATTTGAAGGTATTTGCAACTACAGCACTGTGTCAGGTGCCTATCGAGACATTGATTTCACTGTTTACCATCAAATATTGTAATTCAAGTGTACGAATAATGCTAGTTAAAGACAGTAACTCTTCAGGAGAAAACTCATTTTTAGTAAATGTTTCTATATTTGAGTGTGAATTTATAGAGTACAGTGAAATGTCAGAAATAGCAAGTGGTTGTGAACTTCCCAATTTAGAAGAAAGTGATAGTAATTGCATAGCAGGACTATGTGCAACGTTGAGAGGTATAATTAAAAAAGTTTTAATAGAAAACCCAGAACATTATTGCAGAGACCTTTTAGGTTTCAAAGAATCCTGTTTGTTGGCTTGTTCCGAAGCAAGTGTTTGGACCAGATTTTGCGAGATAGATATCATATCAATGCTCAGAACAATAGTTCAAGACAGCATCTTGCCTGTGGCATTAGTCAGATTTGAACATCACATGACACAACCAATGAGAGTACACAATATATACAAGTATACAATGTCGAAAAAAATTGCTGGCAATGTAGTGACACAAAATCGAGCTGATCTTCCTGAACATACATTTGCAGAAGGCATGATTCTTTCTTTAGCAGATATTATTGTATTTGTGTGTATTCATATGCTATTCAACTTTATTGACAAGAAACAAGTTCATGAATTGATTCCATTAACACTCAAATGGTATAATAACTTGCTTACTAAAGAACATATTTTGAGGAGCTTAAATGTGTTTTGCATTGAAGAACTGACCAGCAGAAATGTGATATGCAACTACAGCCTTCCTGTAGTCGAAAATCAAAGTTTATATAAGAGTGATCCAAAGAGATATAAGCCTAGAAATCGAATTTATACTCGTCAAGAGGATATAGATAGTTCTCTAGACAAAGTCAAAAGTATCGAGTTGAAAGTGATGTTGGATAAGCCATTTGTTGATGAGGAAGATTTTGACTGGGATAGTGTACCTCAAGATGCTACTCCAGTTAAAGATTTGCCGAGCAATAGACTTCAAAGAAAATTCCAACAATTAGAAAGTCTATGCAAACCAATCTTAAAATTAGCCAAAACTGGGGATACAATTGTTGATTTTTGTTCTGGGGGTGGTCATTTAGGAATTCTCTTGGCTTATCTACTGCCCAAGTGTAATTTAATTTTGTTAGAAAATAAAGCTGAATCAATGAATAGAGCAAAAACGAGAGTAGCCAGATTATCCTTGAGAAATGTTAAATTTTATCAAAGTAATTTGGATTATTTCAAAGGGCATTTCGACATAGGTACGTGTTTGCATGCTTGTGGCGTGGCTACCGACTTGGTACTTCAGCAGTGCATCGACAAAAATGCTGCCTTTGTTTGCTGTCCGTGTTGTTATGGATCAGTTCAAGATTGCCACCGCATTGTTTATCCGCGAAGTCGAGTGCTGACAGAAGTGTTAGATAAAAGGAGTTATCTGGTATTGGGACATGCAGCTGATCAAACCCACGATGTGGAGAACGTTAAAACGAAACAAGGCTACGAGTGCATGACAATCATTGACACTGACAGGAAAATGCAAGCTGCCGAGCACGGCTATCAGGTTTATTTGAATAAACTTACACCAGACTCTTGCTCTCCAAAAAATCACCTGCTCATTGGCTTGCCTACAGTAATGAAATCTTCATAATGATTTTATTAAATAGCTTGTAATAATTGTTTTTAAAATAAAAAATATTTCTAATAAAACTTACCATTACTTAATTTACTACGTCACAATGCAAAATTTTTTTTATGGTTAAAACATTATATGTAAATGAAAAATTAACAGATTCTCAAGATATAACGATATATTTATTAATAAACTGTAGCAGAAACAAGAAAACATTCGAAAATGTAAAGATAAGATTTCTTTTTAAGAGAATAATTTATTGAATACGTTGTGTAATATAAATTTCGCAATTAGTTAATTTTATATTTTGGGTGTCAATACTAAAGTACGATTTTCTTTTTCAATTCGACTAAATCACATATAATAAATTATAAGGCGAGCGTGGTAGTAAATTGTAATCTTTTAGTAATTATTGTTGAGAATTACTGCCCGAGATAAGAGAATTTGTTTGTAAACATGAAGTAATTAAAGAAGTTACGGTATATTTACAGTCAAGTTATACAAATCATACTAAATAACTCATCGATCAGTGCCTTTCGTTGAGAATGTTTCATTATACTTTTTTCATCGATTATAACAATATGAAAGGGCCCGTTTCAGCGAATGCACGTTATTCGATGTTGGGATAGAGAGATCTTACTTTTTGTTCTTTTTTTTGGAAAATTACGAGCTACAACTACGCTTCCAACGTAAATTATAGTAATATTTGGAGGCGCTATAAAGTAGACGTGATGAGCAAATATCAACGCGGAAGATTGAGAGTTGATACGGTGAGAGGTAAATAGAAGTAGGTAGCCAGGATTTGCACGAGAACAGAGGCTGATTAATTAAATTATCTAAAGTGTAATGCTCGAGATAACCATGGCCGGAGACCCGCCGCCGCACAGTAGAGCATGGTTGTCCCGTCGGCCAGGCTAACTCTCCCGCAAGCAGCAGTATCACAAAATATCGAAATGAAGAAAAGCTTATTGGCGCGCTCGCGATGTCCGTATCTGTCTCTTCGATCAACGGCGGATCCGGCTCTCGCAATGCTACGCGCGTCGCGCTGAACCGAAAGCGTCGGCGTTGGCCGACTGTCGACTCGCAAAGTAACCCTTACCCGCAACTATATGCCCACACGCGCCGCTCCTCGTTTGTCTCGCTAGCTGATCGATGAGCTTCTCGTACGTAGCATACAAGTAGATACCTATGGAGACAAAGAAAGAGAGAGAGAGAGAGAGAAGGAGAAGGGAGTCGGAACGAGCGAGGAGAGCAATCCGACAGAGAAGCTCAACAATCAATCGCAGGTGCGGGATATACGAGAAAGAGAGAGCGGAGGAGTAAGAGTACTCGGCGACGACGGCGGCAGCGATGGTAGTGGTGGCGGTGGTGGTGGTGGTGGTTGTCGTGGTGTTGGTGGTGGTGGTGGACGTTGTGGCATATCGCAGGTGTCGTCGAGGCGCACGCTTACGAGATGGATCACGACTCGCCGTTGCCGCTGTCGTCGCCATCCTCGTACTCGCTGCCGCTGGCGTGCTCCTCCTCGTCGTCGTCGTCGTCGAGCTCGTACTCGTCGTCGTAGAAGTCGGTGAGGTCGAGCTGCTGCTCTTGCGGCCTGGCGCGCGTCTTGATGCAGTAGTCCTCGAGGGTCAGCGGCACCACTATGCCCTCCTTCTCCGCCTCGACTTTGGCCGCTTGCGCCTGCTTCCTGCCGAGCGCGCGAACGCAGACACAAACAAAGGAGGTTCAAACGTGGTTGGATCGTGTCGCGCGGCGGCGCTTCGTCATGCCGCTTGTCTTTGTCGCGCGTCTAACCTGATGATATTCTCGTACTCCTTGTCTCGACCCTTGGAGTCGCGCCAACGTCGGTACATCACAGATGCGTCCACGTTGGCTGGGCTGTAGGTGTTGGGCTCGTTCAGCAGCGAGATCACCGACAGCAAAATCGTTCTGCGGGCCAAACCCACGCGGATGAGACAACGGTCGAGCGCGAACAATGGAATTGGACGGAAGTGCTTACCTGACGTTTTGCGTGGGGTTCCACCTCTCGCAGGGCAACTCGCCGCTCTGAGGGTCGTCGACGGGCGGATGCAGGATGGATATACACAGGTCGCCGTTCTGCAAAAAAGCGACAACGGGGAGTGAGTAGCGAAACAAAGGAGCTGCGAGCGCCGCGTCCCGGGCTCGCTCTGCCCACTTACCTCGTAGACATTGGGGTGCCAGACTTTGGTCATGAAGCGAATGCTCGGCGGGCTGTAGGGGTAGTCCGGTGGGAACTTCATGTGTGCCTGCAACGAGAAGAGGAGAGCGGGAATCAGTGTCCGTGCCGGGGATGCGGGCGAGGGTGCGCGCAATTGGAGCGATCGATCGCCCTCGCGGCGACTCGGCTGACCTGGTCATGGCCTAAATATCCTCCTTCTCCTCCTCGGGGATAGTAACCTACTTTCTTCTCCGTCTCGCGCACGCACACGCCAGCGCGTGCACGTGACTCCTTCGATTTTCCGCCTCTCGCGCGTATAGATCTTTCTCTCTCTCTTAAGACCGTCCGCGCGGCCCCGTTCACCGAAGCCGCGAACGAGCGTCCCTTGATCTCCCCGTCAGCTGATCGCCAGCGTCGTCTACGTACTCGAAGCGAGCACCGACGGATCGTTTATCCGCGCACGACCATCGGCAGCGATCGCGGCCCCCGGGCCTTTAAACGCGGCCCTTTAAACGGACGCGGTTCCACCGGCCGAATCCAAACAAAACAGTCTAGTCGGCCGAACATCGAGCACGCTGAGAGCGGCAGCGTAGAGAAAGAGAAAGCGACGCTGCGTCGAGGAACGCGGCGGTGGGGATGCCTCGACGCAAATCCACGCCACGCACACAAACGCGCGCGCGTGCACACGCACGCACGCACACGCACGCGCGCTCGTGCGACTCGCCTATTCATCGCGAGAAAGTGTGCGTGCGCAAAGGGACTAACCTTAAAATAGCCGCCTTGATAGAGGGTGTCGGGAGGCCCAAAGATCGCCACCTCCCACTCAAACATGTTGTCCTCGTTGACGAGCTTCACGCGGAAGCCCTCGACTGGCTCCTCCTGCAGGCTCTTGTATTCCAGGGCGAGAGCCCTGATTGCGCTGCTCGTCGGCTGCGCCATCACTCTCTGACTGACTCGCGACGCGTGCTCTCTATCTCTCTCTCACTCTCTCTCTCTCTTTCTCTCTCTCTTTCTTTCTCTGACACTTTACTCCACACAACTTCACTCTCTGTTTCTACACTCGTCTTTTTGTCTCTCTCGTTGGCTGCTGCTGGCTCCGACGATTCCAACTGACTGGTCGACCGGTTGATTACTGGTTGGATGGCTGGCCACACACAAAACACTGTCTGCGAGAACTGCCGAGAAACCGATCAAGGCTGCATTTCCAGCTCTTTTGTTTGCTGGCGCGCACTCTTTATGGCCACTGTTATTTTGCCTTGTTGTTCTTTGCCAGCAGCTGTGCACTACTGCGCGTTCACTACACTGCACATATCCTATCTCGTTTCGCGCTCGTTGAGTGTTCTGTTCTCTTCTCTTCTCGCGCTCTCTCTTTTTCTATCTCTCTCGCTCTCCCTTCTCTCTCTCTTTCTCACTCTGCCTCTCTGCGAGCCTGCCAAGTGCCAGATTCCCCCGCTAAACGACGAAAGCTTCGCACTACACGCAGCTAGAGACCAGAGAAGGCCTTCTCACTCGTTCCGCGTTCGGACAAGATCGGTCAAGCTCGGCTCGAGGACACAACACAACACGAAGTACGCGAGAAAAAGCGAGAGAGCTGCTTCCGTGATCGACTCCTGCAAAGCGCAGTCTATAGACCACAGTTCATACTCGCCGTTGAGGCCGCCACACACTGCGGACCAGTGCGGACTGCACTTTCCGATGCGCTGTTTTCGCTATATGCTTTCTCGTTGTTACGACATCTAATCGATTACTATTTTCCTTTTTTAGTCACCTCGTCGTACCGATCGCTGTACTACTTTGTAACTTCACACTGCCGAAGCTCGACGCAAATTATTCGGTTGTCTTGCGATGGCTCCACGATACTGTTGACGAGCGTAGATAAAACATTTTGTAATAACGATTGTATTTGAACAATTTTATTGAGCAAAGGTAATATATATATAATACATACGCAGTCCAGTACTTACCGACAAACGATAATATAGAAAAGCTTGTTTTTAAATTATTTTGTTAATCGGCGCATTTTCAACTTACCAGCAATGGAGGACGTAGATAACTTCAGTTTTCAGCTTCGCAAATTTTTTTAATAATCCTCAAATTTATAGTTTGTAATAATGAACATTTGACGACAAACAATCGAGCTGATCAATATGATTTTTCAATTGAGTCAATTTTCATAGATAATTTATCATGAAAAGAACATAGCTCTGAAAATAAAAATATGCAACTCATGATGATTGGGATTTTGAATAGTCGGACGACAGGAGTGTTCACTCACGTCATCACGCCACGATATCTGCATGTGTGTGTCGTACGTATAAGTGGTGCGTGTGGCGGCTTGAATTACCGGCAAAGCATCTCTTCCACAAAGCCACGACATCAAGCGTTCTTCCCTCTTACTTTAGGTAAATTTGTCGAATTACAATAAAACGACATTATTTTGTTAATTAGTTTTCTTACGTCTTCTTTTCGAAAAATTTCTACCAGTAGTTTTACGCATTTTTGTGTTTTTCGACAGATAAGACAAAGGTTCGAACACTTGGCTGTCCAAACGACGCTGTAATCATGGCTCCAGCTTACAATCCCGAAATAATGGGAGTGTTTGGATTCTGGACTGGGATCCTTACACTCAAACTTTTGTCTATGTCTCTTTTGACTGCGAGAACTCGATTTCGTAAGAAGGTGAGGATTGATTAAAATTTTTTTTAACATATTATCACTGCAGTTTGAGTATTTAAGTTACATAAATGAAGGTCAACCTTCACAAAATGTTAGTTTATACTCTCAATCAAATTTGAAGTGTATCATTTAAATGAAACAAGTATCATGGTAATGAATACGTGTTTGGAAACGTTTTACGCTTTATTTTCTTGTTTTTTTTTTTGCAAAATATATGCTTCAATTATAGATAATCTTATTTTCTTATCTGATGTACTTGCTTGCGTAAGAAATATAATGAGTGCTTGATTACGTAGCCAGTTGTTGATTGTAGATCATATTAAAACAACTATTCAAATTGCAATTGTCTAGAAACAAAGCATAGAATTCAGAGCAATTATGTCTTGCAGGTAGTTGCCAATCACGAAGATGCTATGATGCTGGGAAAGGTTCGTGTGGCATACGATGATGTGGATGTGGAGCGAGTTCGCAGATCACACCTAAACGACTTGGAGAACATTTTGCCATGGGTAGCCATAACGTACATTTATCTGGGAACTGCTCCAGCCAACTGGTTTGCTGCCCTGTTGATCAGAGGCTTCGTGCTATCTAGAATTGGACATACTCTGTCTTACGCTATTTTTCCTAAGCAACCCTTCCGTGCCATTACATTCTTCATTGGATTTTCTCTGACAGCCTTCGAAGCAGCTGCCACAATCTACTACTACTTGTAATTCTGACCGAAAGAAGTCAGATTGGCTAATTCATGACAATTGTAGGAGGCACCTGTGCAGAAACTAAAAACTTTCGCGAGGCTATTCATATATATATTTTTCGACACTCCGTGTGCAAAGTACGTAATGTACTATTTACAAATAACTACATCCTTTTCAAAGAAAGACTGTCATGGTTCATCTATTTTCTAGAATGTATACTGTATAATGGGAGTTTCAAGAGAGAGAGGAAGAGCGAGAAATGCATTGTAAAGGGTTGATGATTTCTTATTCTATTTACAAATAAAATAAGCGAAAGCAGAACAACCGAGTTTTAGTTAGATAGGCACGCGACAACAATTGTGAATTAGCGGTCGTCATAACGACGGAGTTGGAGTCGGCGCAGTGGACGGGCAGCGGGTGAGTAGCGCGGGAACGGAATTGGGCGCGATGGCAGTTGTCGGCCCAACGTCCCAGCCGACAACTGGCATCTGGCAGTCGACGTCCGGCCGCGAGCAGCGGCTCGGGAGCAGGCGGCGAGATGCGCGAGCAAGGAAGAGGCTGGCGAGGCGGCGGCGGCAGCGAGAGCTGATCGATCGGCGATGTTCACTGGGTCAGCGCATCGATCGCGTCCGAGTAAGTGTCAGGCCGTTTGTTCGTCGTCCCTCGGCACGCCATAGTCCTGGGCACGCTTCGCTTCGACGTTGCGTGCGCGCGGTGCCGCTCGTCAACGTCTCGATCTTGGCATGTGGCAGAGTCGGAGGCGCCCGACGCCGAAAAACTTGACGCAACGCGCGCGCGCGCGTACGACCAGCGCGAGCGCGCCGCAAGCTCGCTTCCAACTCGGGCGCTCGCGGTTAAAGTGTCAGGGTCTCCGCGCGAGCGGAGAGTCATTACACCCGCACTTGTTTTCGACGCGCGGCCTGCGCTATTTTTAGCCGCTCGCGTCAGTTTCGTCGATGCTCGAACGCGCTGTCTGACCGCCGCGAGTCACCCGAACTTTTAATTTATTGCACGCTCGCGGTGATGCATGATGCATGCGCGTACACACGCACACACGCATACGTATGCAAATACATATATATAAGCGTGACATCAGCTGCCCGCGCGAGCGTATCGCGTCATTTTATTTTTCATTTCCGAAAAAATCGTCGCCGTCGTCGCGCCGATCTCATCGCTCTCGATCCGGACGCATGCCCAATTACGACGCGCTGCGCTTGCACCATGCGCCGAGAACCACTTTTTCTTCTTTTTTCGCTCTCTTTTCTCTTGTCTCTCTCTCTTTTTTTCTTCTTCTGCTCTCTCTCTCGCGCGCGCGCGCGCGCCCTTCGCACATACGCTTAACCCGATTCGCCGTTAAGGCCCGGCGACTTCTTGGGAGTTTCGCAAATCGCTGACGCGGCACGTATCTCCGCGCGTGCACTTCGTCCGGAAACCCGCGGACGGTCGCGTCGGCAATCGCCGAAAATAGCCCGTCGTTGTGGACCGGCTCGGCGCCGCGACGAATCGGCCCGGAATCGGTCGGCCACTGCAGGTCGCGGCCTCTCGCTTGCGCGCGCGCGCCTGCCCATAAAAATCGCCCACCGCGCGGAGGCGCTCCCGCGATAACGTTCCGCCGCGGCCTCGGCCGGCGGCAGATAACGGCCGCGAGTTGCGCGACAGTCGGCGAGCAGGTCGATGGATCGATCGATCGATCGCCGCGCAGCCCACGACCAGAGGCGGACCCCGTTGCTGTCGGAAGCCGGCGACGTCGAGCCCCGATGGCTCACGGGCGGGCGTCGCGCCGATCGTGCCAATTCGATTTCGACCCGCGACTGTAACGGGATCGCCGCTCGGCCGCTCGACAGCGTCTTGCGACAACGACTCGATCGAAGCGCGCGTACTCTGCGCGCGCGACACCGAGCTAAAATCGGCGGCGACGTCGGAAACGCAACTTTGGCGAACGACGCGAAGTGACACGATCGTTGCAGCCGGGGCGACGTAGCGGAGCGGGAAACCAGGCCTCCGCGAGCTCGAGACTCGCGGCTTCGCGAGATGGCTCGGGGCGTGTACGCGAGTCGATTAGAGCGTCTCGGTAAGACCGCCGAAGAAGTTGCGCCACCGTTCTTGCGGCTGTTGACTTTTAGTCAGTGCTAGATGTGTCGTCATTCCGACCAATACGATAACGAAGCAAAACATGTGGCTCCGATCAACACGAGCCCATCGGCAGATCAGCAGCCGATCAGTGCGTCATAATACTGCCGCGGCGAGGATCGACGCTCTGCACTCGTTATCGCCGGGTAACGCGGCAATCAAAGATCGTTACCGCGGCAGCGTGACCGCGAGAGCGAGACGCGGATCCGGCGCTCGTTAGCAATTCCGCGGCGTCGCGTTAGCGCGGCGCGGCTAATTGGAAGTGAAAGAGGCGCGGTCTCGGTCGGGCAACCGAAAAAAAAAAAAAAAAAAAAAATAACTCGTACCTCGCGTGGGACGTGACCGGCGATAGATCCTCGCGGGAAAACGCGCGGCAAGACGCGAGCACGGAACCGCGCGAGATCGGTTTGGCACTTTTCCCGCGGCGAGGTTTCCGGAGGACGACGCGCGCGCGCTCGCGCGAGAGAGAGAGAGAGAGAGAGAGAAAGAGAAGAAAGGCGAGAAGGCTGCGGAGTCCGTATTTGGCGGATTGGAAGGCTGGCCGGCGGCGAGTGGGCGAACGGGAATAGCGAGTCATCGGGGCGCTCGACCGCCTGTTGCACCACGCTGGCCTCCGAATCCTGCGCCTGCTCTCGCTCTCGCGCTCTCTCATTTTTCCCCTTTTTCGCCGATGCTCGCAAATGGCAATCGGCCGTGTCGGCTTAATTTATTCGCCACGGCGCGGTCGGCTCTCGCGCGTGCCCTCGGCGGACGGGCGGTCGGGCCCCGCTCGGCGCGAGGTCCTCAGCGGGTCAAGGCCCGGCCGCGCACTCGGTGCAGCCGCGGCGAATCCGGCCGAGGAGCACAGTCGGGCCTGAAAGACGGCGGTTACGTCAGCGCGCGGCGGCGTCTCGGCACGCGCGCCGCGGCCTCGCTCGGCTTCGCCTTCGCGCGCGCGCTCGCTCGGCGCGCGTCCCACGCCGCTCGGCCGCTCGGCCGCTCGCTCGCGCGCCCGGAGGTAGGGATGCTCGCCGGATCGCTAGATCTGCCGGATCGCGCGCGCCTCCAGCCGCCAGTCCGCTACCGGCGTTCGCACCGCGAGCAAGCGCCAGCCGCACGAGCACCCACGCCCACCCACCGAACCGCCGCGCCTGCCGCACCAGCCAGACTCACCCGCGTCGACTGCCAGCCGCTCCGCCAGGACCAGCCAGCAGCGCCCGACATGAGCGGCTCGAGCCGCGAGGCCAGCGCGGAGCTGGTCCATAGCCACAGCGAGACGGTGAGCACGAGCAGGTTCGCGCGCGAGGCCGAGAGCCGGCGGACCGCGGGCGCCGGGCCCAGCCCCGGCCTCGCCCAGCTGGACCTGCTGGCGGAGAAGCTGCGCAGCGAGGGCGACGCGCTGACCGGCGGCGAGCCGCGCGCCCAGAGGAGCCGGCTGGCCGAGCGCGCCGAGGACCGCTTCGACTACTCGGCCAGCTTCTACGTGGAGCGCAACGAGAGCTACGAGGCCGCGGCCGACGACTCGGGCGTCTGCCTGGAGCGCAGCGCGGACTCCCGGGACGGCCACTCGCGCAGCCCCAGCGTGGAGCGCTACCGGGAGATCCGCGTGGTCCGCGAGCCGGAGGCCGACAAGGACCGCTACACGGTCACGCGGAAGAGCGTGCTGATCGAGACGAGCGACGACGCGGCGGGCGGCGCGCCGCTGGACGACGCCGCCGCCGCCGCCGCCGCCGCCGAGAGCTACACCGTCACGAAGAACCTACGGCTGCGCGAGGTCGGCTCGACGGCGCGCCAGCAGCGCGTCGACAAGGACCTCGTCACCGTCACGGAGAAGAGCGTGGTGATCGAGAGCGGCGGCGGCGGCGGCGACCAGACCGACGGCCAGGCGCGCGGCCGCAAGCAGCTGGTGCTGGAGACCACCGAGCCCGTCGTCAAGACCGTCTGCCCCGACAAGGACGTCTACACCGTCACGCAGAAGAGCGTGGTCGTGGAGACGAGCGACGAGCGTGCGCCGCAGCCGTCACCGCGCGCCTGGAACGGCACCTTTGTGCACGAGAGGACGAGTGCGACCAGCACCGAGACGCAGCAGTCCGCGGCGGCCGACCTCGTGACCAGACGCGAGGTCGAGGTGCTGGTGGAGGCGAGCGAGCCGGCCAAGCCGCGCGTCAGCTCCGCCTGGGACGGCACCTTCGTGCACGAGACGACCACGAGCAGCTCCGCGAACAGCACGGAGCTGCGGCAGAGCGGCGCCGGTGCGACCGATCGACCGAGCGACCTCGTGACCACCAGGCGCGAGCTGGAGGTGCTGGCGGAGGTGAGCGAGCCGGCCAAGCCGCGCGTCAGCTCCGCCTGGGACGGCACCTTCGTGCACGAGACGACCACGAGCACGGAGCTGCAGCAGAGCGGCGCCGGCACCGTTGAGCGGCCGAGCGACGTCGTGACCAGGCGCGAGCTGGAGGTGCTGGTGGAGACGAACGAACCGGCGGCCAAGCCTTCCGCCACCTCCGCCTGGGACGGCACCTTCGTGCACGAGACGACGACGAGCAGCATCACGACGAGCACGGAGCTGCAGCAGAGCGCCGGGGGTACCGAGCAGCCGACCACCCATGTGACCAGACGCGAGGTGGAGGTGCTGGTGGAAGCGAGCGAACCCACAAAGCCTCGCGTCACCTCCTCCTGGGACGGCACCTTCGTGCACGACACGACCACGAGTAACACCATGACGAGCACAGAGTTGCAGCAGAGCGGTGTCGGTATCACCGAGCGACCGAGCGACCTCGTGACCAGGCGCGAGCTGGAGGTACTCGTGGAGGCGAACGAGCCGGCCAAGCTTTCCAGCACCTCCGCCTGGGACGGTACCTTCGTGCACGAGACGACGACCACGACGAGCAGCATCACGACGAGCACGGAGCTGCAGCAGAGCAGCGGCGGCATCGAGCAGCCGACCACCCATGTGACCAGGCGCGAGGTGGAGGTGCTGGTTGAGGCGAGCGAGCCCACCGAGCCGCGCGTCACCTCTAGCAGCAAGCTCAACGCCTCCACCTGGGACGGCTCTTTCGTGACCGAGAGCAAGCCCACTGGGCCTCGGCGGCCGTCGATGCCCAACGACACGACCACCACCACCACCACCACCACCACGCTCCTCTACGACGTGGCCGACTCGAGACAGCAGCTCGACTCCAGCATCAGCTCCAGTCGGGACTACGAGCACACGATCGTGAGTATCGCCCATGCGCACAGCGTCGCGGCGCCGATCGCGAGCATTCTCCACGGCTGCGTGGTGCAGGCGGCCAGATAAGGCACTCGCGCGTGCGTGCATAATAAATCGGCGCGATAAGCGGCTTATCGGCGGCGTCGTGGCGACGTGGCGTCGTCGCGCTCGTCGAGAGAGATGCGCCGATTCGCGTTCGTGAGTCGCGTGCTCGAGGGCTACTGGCGCCACGCCGCGTCGGGCCTCGGTCGCGGAGCGGCGGAGCGTGTCCGACGACCTCGCACGCGCAGCCACCACTGCGGCTGTCAGGTAGGACCTCCGTCGCGAGCTGTTTGCTCTGCTGTGCACACCCGGCCACGCGGCGCACGCGAGCCGAGCCGATTGATTATTCCGCGGACAAAGCCGGCCGAAGCGAGAGAAAACTACCAAATCGGGACAATGCTCGCGGCGCGATGTGTCGAGTGCGCGCTTGCGTAAGCCTCAACCTTGCTCTCTCTCTCTCTCTCTCTCTCTCTCTCTCTCTCTCTCTCTCTCTCTCTCTCTCTCTCTCTCTCTCTATCTCTCTCTCTATCTCTCTCTCTCTCTCTTTCCTTCTCTCCGTTTTCAATTCCACGTATAGTCAGACTCGTGCGCAACTGCGATCGTCTTTTTCGTGGCTGTGCGCGGTGACTCAGCTGGCGACCGCGCGATATCTGCCGTCAGCCAGGCCGCGCCCCGAGGTGCGCCGTCGGCCGCTGTACTAGATCTTTATATGCGGACCATGCCAATTGCAGGATCACGCGGACCAGCAGCACGCGACTACGCAGGCTCTGCTGAGCAACCAGCAGTACGCGCGAGTCACCAGCTCCAGCTCGCCCGAGCGTCTGGAGCCCCTTCCCGCCATCCCCAACCTCCGGCAGGACAAGCCGCGGCCCGGTAGGAAACAGCCCAGGGACTCGACCAGACGGTAAACGTTGTCGCGCTCACGGCTGCCGCTCAAGAGCGCGCGTTCACTTTCGTATTCTCGCCCAGATCCTCCGGTCCGAGCAGATCGCCGCCACCAGAGCCGAGCGCCACCTCCACTCCCAAAGAGAAGGTCCCGAGCAAGCGCAGGCCCGACGACGAGCAGCTCGCCCCTCTAGAGACGCCAGACATCCTTGCAAAGATCCCCCACAAGGAGCAATGCATCTGCGAGCTGTGCACCTGCGGGTAAGTGGTTCGCCGCGTCGACGCCCGAGCGAAACAACCCACGTGCGTACTGATCGGTAGGCGACATCGGTGCCCGCACAACGACTTCGACGACCACCTGGAGATTCCGGACGAGCCGCTGCTCTCGGTTACCTCGTACAAGCAGGAATTCGACGAGAAGCACGTCGAGCGGCAAACCGGCTACTACCACAGCGACCATCTCCGCATGGAGGGTCAGTTCGTCGGCGAGCGCAAGACCGACTTCGTGCCCGCGAGGGCCGAGCGAGTTCCCGTTATCAAGCCCCAAGACAACTTGAGACCGGAGGGCGCTTTCGAGAGTGAGCCACTCTGCCCCCGACCCCGCGGCTATCGTGGCAAGCGCACTCACGGAGTCGTCTTTGCAGGTGTGACCACGACAGAGCTGGTTTTTACCGGGGCAACCGGAGAGAGACCCAGAGCCGAGCGGCGCAATACCTACACCAAGACCGAGGGAGAGTTTACTTCCGAGACCACCTCGAGAACCGAGTTTGTCGACCACCGGACCACCGTTCAGAGGGCGGAGATCATTCGCAGAGCCGATAACTTACAGCCCGAGGGTGACTTTGAGAAGCGGCCGAAGGAAGAAGCTCCGAAGCTAGCTCCCAGGCCAGCAATTACTAGGCCGGACGACAATTTAAAGCCGGAGGGCCCGTTCGAGGGCAGGCCGAAAGATGACTATGTGGTCGTTCGCGGCGAGCGCGTCGACGTCATTAAGCGTACCGATAATTTACGCATGGAGGGTGAGTTCACGGACACGCGGACGCGGGACGACTTCAAGGTCGTGCGCGGCGAGCGCGTCGAGATAATTAAACACGAAGACAACTTGCGACCGGAGGGCACGTTCGAAGGCAAGCCGAAGGACGACTACGTGGTTGTTCGCGGCGAGCGTGTCGATGTCGTCAAACGCACCGACAATCTGCGTATGGAGGGCGAGTTCACGGACACTCGAACGCGAGACGACTTCAAAGTGGTACGGGGCGAGCGCGTCGAAGTTGTCAAGCATGAAGACAACTTGCGGCCAGAGGGTCCCTTCGAAGGCAAGCCCAAAGACGATTATCTTCCGAAACGTAGCGAGAAGCCTCAAATGATTAAGCCGGACGACAATTTGAAGCCCGAAGGAGGTTTCGAGTGGCCGAAAAAACCTGTGGTTCAACCGGGTGAAAAGCGTACTCCCATTCGACACGCCGATAACCTGCAGCCCGAGGGAGATTTCGAGAAGCGTCCGAAGGAGGAAGCTCCAAAGTTGGCACCCAGACCGGCGATCACCAAGCCCGACGACAACCTAAAGCCGGAGGGTCCGTTCGAGGGCAAGCCGAAAGACGATTACGTGATCGTGGTCGGCGAGCGCGTCGACATCGTCAAACACACCGACAATCTGCGTATGGAGGGCGAGTTCACGGACACTCGAACGCGAGACGACTTCAAAGTGGTACGGGGCGAGCGCGTCGAAGTTGTCAAGCATGAAGACAACTTGCGGCCAGAGGGTCCCTTCGAAGGCAAGCCCAAAGACGATTATCTTCCGAAACGTAGCGAGAAGCCTCAAATGATTAAGCCGGACGACAATTTGAAGCCCGAAGGAGGTTTCGAGTGGCCAAAAAAACCAGTGATTCGACCAGGCGAGAAGCGTACTCCTATTCGACACGCCGATAACCTGCAGCCCGAGGGAGACTTCGAGAAGCGGCCGAAGGAGGAAGCTCCGAAGTTGGCACCCAGGCCGGCGATCACCAAGCCTAACGACAATCTAAAGCCGGAGGGCCCATTCGAGGGCAGGCCGAAGGACGACTACGTGGTCGTTCGCGGCGAGCGCGTTGACATTGTCAAACACACCGACAATCTACGCATGGAGGGCGACTTCACGGACACGCGAACGCGGGACGACTTTAAAGTGGTACGGGGCGAGCGAGTCGAGGTCGTCAAGCACGAGGACAACTTGCGGCCGGAGGGGCCGTTCGAGGGTAGGCCGAAAAACGACTACGTGGCCGTACGCGGCGAGCGCGTCGACGTCGTCAAGCGCACCGACAATTTGCGCATGGAGGGCGAGTTCACGGACACGCGAACACGGGATGACTTCAAAGTGGTGCGAGGCGAGCGCGTCGAGGTCGTCAAGCACGAGGACAACTTGCGATTAGAGGGTCCATTCGAAGGCAAGCCCAAGGATGATTATCTTCCGAAACGTAGCGAGAAGCCCCAGATGATCAAGCCGGACGATAATCTGAAGCCCGAAGGAGACTTCGAGCGGCCGGAAAAGCCCGTGGTCCGCCCGGGCGAGAAGCGTACTCCCATTCGACACGCCGACAACTTGAAGCCGGAAGGCGATTTTGTAAAACGTAAACCGGAAGAGTACACGCCGGTGATAAGACCGGCGCCGATAAAGCCTCACGATAATCTGTATCCGGAGGGTGATTTTGAGAGACCGAAACCTAAGGAGGCACCTAAGAAAGGAGACAGGGCTCCGGTTAAGAAGCCAGTGGATAACCTTAAGCCCCAGGGAGAGTTCGAGAAGCGACCGAAGCCAGAAGTGCCTAAAGCCGAACGAGCGCCAGTGAAGAAACCCGAAGATAATTTGCGCCCCGAAGGCGAATTTGAAAGACCTGAGAAGTCACCAGTTAAACCGGGCGAAAGGCGTTCGCCCATCAGGCACGAAGATCATTTGCGACTAGAAGGGGACTTTGAAAGACCGAAAAAGACGCCGCAGAGTCCAGCAGAGCGGCGCTCGCCCATCAAGCACGAAGACACTTTACGTCCCGAAGGTGAATTCGAAAGACCTGAGAAGTCACCAGTTAAACCGGGCGAGAGACGTTCGCCCATCAGACACGAAGACCACTTGCGACTAGAAGGGGACTTTGAGAGACCGAAAAAGACGCCACACAGCCCAGCAGAGCGGCGTTCGCCCATCAAGCACCAAGACACTTTACGTCCAGAAGGTGAATTCGAAAGACCGAAACGTAAAGAAGCGCCTAAGAAGGGGGAGAGAGCTGCCGTGAAGAAACCAGAGGACAATCTAAAGCCCAAAGGGGAGTTCGCCAAACGACCTAAACTCGAAGCCCCCAAGGGTGAACGCGCTCCAGTGAAGAAACCGGAAGATAATCTTCGCCCCGAGGGAGATTTCGATAGGCCCCGTAAAGCACCGGTCGGTCCAGGGGAAAGACGATCGCCGATCAGGCACGAAGACAACTTGCGCCTGGAAGGTGACTTTGATAGACCCAAGAAAACTCCATACGGTCCAGCTGAGCGGCGATCACCAATTAAATATGAAGATAATCTGCGGCCGGAAGGCGATTTCGAAAGGCCAAAACCTAAAGAGGCACCGAAGAAGGGCGACAGAGCTCCAGTGAAGAAGCCCGAAGATAATCTGAAGCCTGAAGGTCAGTTCGCCAAACGACCAAAACCGGAAGCGCCCAGAGGTGAGCGTGCCCCAGTGAAGAAACCGGAGGACAATCTGCGCCCGGAAGGGGAGTTTGACCGACCTCGAAAGGCACCAGTTGGTCCAGCAGAGAGACGATCACCGATCAAGTACGAGGATAATTTGCGACCGGAAGGTGACTTCGAAAGGCCGAAACCTAAAGAGGCACCGAAGAAGGGCGACAGAGCTCCAGTGAAGAAGCCAGAGGATAATTTGAAGCCCGAAGGGACGTTTGCCAAACGACCGAAACCGGAAGTGCCCAGAGGTGAGCGTGCCCCAGTGAAGAAACCGGAGGACAATTTACGCCCGGAAGGAGACTTTGACCGACCTCGAAAGGTACCAGTTGGTCCAGCAGAGAGGCGCTCGCCGATCAAGTACGAGGACAATTTACGACCAGAAGGCGAATTCGACAGACCTAAGCCCAAGGAAGCGCCCAGGAAAGGCGACAGAGCTCCGGTGAAGAAGCCAGAGGATAATCTGAAGCCCGAAGGACCCATGGACATACGGCCCAGAGACGACTACAAGCCAGCTCGCGGCGAGAGAGCGGAGATCGTTAAGCACACGGATAATCTGCACATGGAGGGCCACATGCAGACCGTGACGTCGAAGGACGACTTCAAGAACTTCGTGTTACGGGAGCGCGCCGAGGTGAACAAGTACCAGGACAACCTGCGCATGGAGGGCGAATTCGTGGACAAGCGCACTCGCGACGATTACAAGCTGGTCAAGGCCGAGCGCACGTCGGTGGTGAAGCACGAGGACAACCTGAGGCTCGAGGGCCAGTTCGAGAGGGTCGAGAAGGGAGGACCGACCGTACCGGCGGAGAGGCGCTCCCCCATTAAGCAAACCGACAATTTGAGAATCGAGGGCCAGTTCGAGAGGGTCGAGAAAAGAGGGCCGTGCGTACCGGCGGAGAGGCGCTCTCCCATCAGACAGACCGACAACTTGCGAATGGAGGGTCAGTTCGAGCGGCCCCAGAACGTGACGCACGCCCCGGGCGAGAGGCGAACGCCCATTCGGCCCACCGACAACCTGCGCCCCGAGGGCGAGTTCGTCAGGGCGCCGAAGAAGCAGGCCCCGCTGAGAGGCGATCGGGCCGAGGTGCGCAAACCGCTGGACAACCTCAAGCCCGAAGGCAAGTTGGAGATGCCCGAGCGGACGCTGCTGGTGAAGCAGCAGCAGCAGCAGCAGCAGCAGCAGCAGCAGCAGCAACAGACGCAGCAAGAAACGAGCGAGCGGCGCTCGACGACCAAGCTGGACAGGATGGAAAAGATGGAGAAGGTGGAGAAGGTGGAGAAGGTGGAGAAGGTTGAGAAGGTCGAGAAGGTCGAGAAGGTTGAGAGAATGGAGAAGGTGGAGAAGGTGGAGCAGCGCAAGGCGATCCGACACAGCGATCTGCACAACGAAAGCGAGTTCGAGAGGACGCTGCGCGCGGAGGACAAGCAGGTGGCACGGCGCGCGCAGGACTCCCAAGAGCTGCGCACGGAAGTCCGCCAGCAGACGAGCGCCGAACAGCACCGGGCGACGGCCGGCCAGAGCTACCGGCGCGAGGACCGGCTGCGCATGGAGGGCCGCGTCGAGTGCCACTGCGGCTCCGACGACAGAAGGACCGCGAGCACGACGAGCACGACGACGACGCAGCATCAGCATCATCATCAGCATCAGCATCAGCATCAGCATCAGCATCAGCATCAGCTGCAGCAGCAACTGCAGCAGCAGCAGCAGCAGCAGCAACGCAGCCAGACGAGCCAGACGAGCAGCGCCCTGCGGGCCAGCTACAGCGCGCACGGCGAGATGCGCGGCCGCGAGGAGCAGGTGACGCGCGAGCTGTCGCCCACGCGCGCGCACAAGCGCTGGAACGTGATCAGCGCGAGCACGGACATCAGCAACACGGCGCTGCATCGGCGCATCGCCGAGAGCGAGCGGCGCGAGGTGCGCGTGCTGCGCTCGCAGCCGCCGCGCGACAACCTGGCAGTGGGCGGCTCGTTCTACCAGTGCAGCGAGTCCTCGGCCGGCTTCGAGGCCACGGCCGAGGCGCGCAGCCTGTACCGGCGCGACTTCGCGCCGCGCCGCCAGGGCCCCTGCCCGGCCGCGCTGCTGCAGCAGGAGCGCGCACCCTTCCGCCACACTCGCGACACGCCCCGCCACAAGTTCTACGTGCCCGTGCTCCAGTCCAACTGACCACCCCCTCGCTTCAATCCGGCCTCGCTAGCTCCTGCACTCTTTTGCATCCTCGCTGCACCACTTTATTTAAGCGTTCTCTCGCGTGTATCGTTATATAGCCGGATATTATACGTTATACCGTATGTTGCCATAAATACAATAAAAATCAAGTTATTAACATATAGTATCTAACCGCTAACCATCTGCTCATTTTTATTTGCGCATTCAAGCTTCACCTTGAATCCCTAACCCTCATGTATTTGTTTCGTTTCACCGCAATAAAGCTTGATTTGAAAATGTATTTGATGTCGCACTTCCTTTTTATTTTCTTCCACCCCACCTGCTTCGTTATTTATGCCACATTTCAGTTGCATACCTATGCAAATTTGTCTTTTCGAGCGCCGATGGCCATTAGTCTTCAATCTCTTCGCGAAGCTAACGAAGAGCAACGAATTGACTTGAGAGCGATATATGAACGAGTCGGTTCTCCATTGCGTATTTTCACTGAATACGCGATCGGTAGACATTCTTTTCTATTTTTCCAATCGTCGTCGGAACGTGTGTTCGCTATTTATAAGCTTTTCTAAAGGATATCAGCAATGTATGCATTGTCAATGTGTGCGGTATTTCTGTAAATAAGATAATTTATTTTTTCCAGTACGCAATAAAGTGTATGAATTTTATAAGTGGCAATGAGAATATTGGTTATTTAGTGATTCGTGCGCGATAAACGAGCGAACGCCATGCCGAAGAAAACGAAGGACATGATTATTTTAATCCGACGCCGATGTATCAGCCGAATTGCAGCTGAGCCTTGGGGCGAAGGCTAACGGCAGCGGGAGAAAAGTGGTGCGTGAGCCAGACTGTGGCGCTGAAAAAGCCGCTCGCGGCCGACTTTCCCAAGGATCGCTCGACTGTAAATAGCAAAGAGAGCGAGAGACGCTGGGGCCGATGAATAACCAAGGCAAAGCAGCGTTTTTTTTCCTCCATTTATTTAAAAAAATCGATGTCTGAGAAATGGTGTTCACAATAATATGGTACGACGACATATCGGCAAATACAGATAATAATCATTTATAATTCTTAAATGTGTCTGTGTCTGCGTGTATTCGTGTGTCGGTGCGCCTCGTCGCTTGTTTCTGTCGTGTCCTGCGTGTGGGTGTGTGTCTGCCTGTCGCTTGTAATTTAACACAAATAACATTGGCTATATACAAATATTACAATCGCACATAATTATTCCTCTCGATCCTTTTTGCCGCCTAGCCCATGATTTTGCCTCGACTGATGCAACCTGTATAGTACGTCTGTCTCTTGGGCTCGAGTATTTTCTCGCAATATTTTGACAATTTTTATAAGGTACTGGAATACGAGCGATGCTTCGAACTGACGAGTCGAGCCAACGATACGGATCTCGAATAATAATCTAACAATGCAAGTTTCTTTTTCCGTCGGCGCTCTTATCCTTATCAAAGACAGAGAAAAATAGTGATATAAGAATGGAAGCAGCAGGTGTGAGAGACGAGATAAAGAGAAAATTGTGTGGGAGAGACAAATGATAAAACTTCAAAGAAATTTTTTTCTTTTTCACTTTTTGCTTTTTTCCATCTATTCTCATTTCGTATAAAACAAGTGAACATTTGATTTGACAAAGCTTTTGTTCTCTCTCGCTCCCTCCCACCCGTTTGGGCATCGAGACACTCAACATCGTAAACAATTCAAAACATGTGACGCCACATAATTCGTTTTTAATTGGTAACGCATTTACAACTCATCAATTCATGTTTTACAAAAGGTATTCAAAGACCAAATTAGATTTGTTAAAATTATACTAGTATTCATAATAATCATCATAAAAATAACAACAGCGACAAGAACAGTAAAAGTAGAGATAAAATTGTCAAATAATAATAATAGTCATAATAATTTAACCATCCACGTGCCAAGCGTGCATACGTATGTGCTGACATGTCTATATGATAGTAACTAGATTTATAATTTATTTATATTTTTTAATGACTATCTTTAAGTACTAGATGATAGAAAAAATTCGCTAATTTGAATGATTAACTACATTAATAGATTTTCCTCCCTAATAAATTTTATGTATGTATATAATTAATCTGGGCACTGCGACTCAGTCAAAGTTACTCGAGTAAATTGACATTACGCCATGACGTTGCGCCGATCCTTCGACTAGTACAGTCATACAATATGTGTGAGTGCGTTGTATCTTAGCAAGTGTGTCAATGTGTATTCTCGCAATCCACTCTCTGTACTCATTCTTCATTTATGTTTCTCTGTTTGTATTAGTCACAGTGTTTCCTGTATCAGCGCCTTACCTCGCAACTATTTACTCGAATCGGCGTTTATAATAATCAGATCTGCGCGTGTAATATAATAATCTTTAACATTATTAACGTAATCGACGGCTCCACAATTTGGCACATGCTTGTACATGCTCGCTTCCTTTTCCTTTCTTTCGAATACTCTATGTTACCGCTTTCCCGTTATCACACCTAGATCAATATATTTAGTTGTATCCACTGTTAACAATCAACATGTCTTGTAAGAAATCGAATTTTTGAGATTTTCTCGACAACAATTTTATAGCTTTAGGTTTAAAATCAACGGTCGGTCGTACAATTAACGTAATAAATTTTCATGCTAAAAACATTTGAGAGAAATTTGATTTTTAGTTTCTGTTTCTTGACATTAGCGAGATACCTACGACTTGGTCCATTGCGCTGTTTTCCTTGAAACTTTAGCGCTTCTATATTATAATTTCAAATATACAGGCCTTTTACGCGACTGTTTAACGTGAACATCGGACTAATGATAGAATGTAAAATACTAATGTACCAATTATATAAATGTATATATAATAATTACAAATTCGTCCAGACATTGCAACAAATAATGCATAATCATTTGGTTTACGCGTATGCGCGTCCAAACAAATTCGGCAACAAAACAACAGCAGCGACAGGACATGCGAAAGGATGGTTTTTACGCCTGTTTTCTTTCACGTAATTAATGTTTATACCAGTGTACATGTGCTAGTCCTTTATCCATATTTATTCGTCCTATTTGCCCGCGTGTCACAGAATTCTCGGCAATTGGCACTTTGTTGCATAAAATCTTAATAGACTTTGACAAATAGACAGAACAGACATATTTCATTTGTATACCCAATGACATTATACGAGAATGATGCTTGGGCACTTAAATATTTATATATTTATATTTATAACAAATTATTTAACGTGTATTTACAGCGTAATTAATTGAGTGACAATGACGATTGTGGATTTGCTTGCTCAACGTATCAGCTCCAATTATTTAGCTATGTTCTCTTCTTTTTATAATAATTCTAAAGTTACTTTCAAAAAACAATTGACAACCACGGAGGCCATACGAAAATGTAATCGAACAGCTTCTGATACTCTCCTCCTAGTTCATTGAAACCTCTCTTAACATGGAGAGCGTGAAATTTTTGTGGCCAGAGTGTGCGTGAATTTGACGAGCGTTAAATATGTGTAACGAATCTGTATCCCGCAGAAACAGTGTGAAATCACGTTTATTATACTTTTTCACGACGCCGATAAATTCAGATGGTCTGTAACGTATTACATAGCCATTCATGGCCTATTGCTATAGACAACTATCGCGGCTCATTCACTTTTGTTGCCATTTTCACGTTCATTATCAGTAAGAAGGATTTGACGTTCAATTTTCACATCGAGATTTGTAATAAGATTTTTACACAAACTTTTCTTTAATCTAAAACATTTTTAAATACACCGAGCATCGATTGAAAAGTTAAAATTTTATTTTTGCAGATTACGTTATTATTTGTACTGTAAACGAAAACATCCGATAGATGAACGTTATTTTGATAGTGATACTCTCAAGTCTCTCTCTTTCTCGTAAAGTGTGTGTGTTTGTATGTGTGTATGTTTGAGGGTGTTATTTATGTGCTGTATAAATAAAACTTTGAAATATAACGTATAAATATACATATAACAAATTAATTTGGCGAGTAGCGTTTCGAAACGAAACAAGTGTATAAACAATCATTTTCCACTCGTTGAGTGATGTCGACACGGTAATATTGTTCGTTTAACAGTTATTCCTCCTACAATGCGTTTTGTTTTTCAAATGAATAAATGATTCGTTTGTTTGTGCTCCTCAGAGATCATGTTCGTTTATCTAATCATTAGACAGTCATCACCATTCATTATAATAACGATAATCTTCACGAGTTACAGTAGTTTGTCATTGTCGTAATAGTCGTAGGTACCATTATCAGACGCGATACAATGTACAAAGTAGTATAAAAAAAAAAACAGTTGAATAATAAAATTTGCGATATTTCATGTGCAATGTCTGCTCCCTGAGGCATCGCAATTATTCCTTCGTAATTCGCAAAAGTTTAAAGCTCTTCGCGCTCGAAGAGCTGCGTCAGTAAATTTGCCGTACTCGAAAAATACAAAATAGATGGGGCGGGGGGAAGGCTGGATTGGCGTGTGAGTGACTCTCGGCCTCGCGTCGCAGCCGCTATGACACGATTGAAAGAACGTTCGAAAAAGTACGCGTTTGCTTTAACGCTGCTCTAGTCTAAAGTCCGCTTCGGTCGTTGGATCCGATATGACCATGTCGGCGTTGGCGAGCCTCTGTAGCTCGTCCAAGTCAAGAGGATCGAGGTCCTGTCTGAGTGCATTTATGTCTTCCTGGCGCAGCGAGTTCAGGTCTTGGCCGAGCGGATCGTCCGCCGGGAAGAGATCTTGACCGAAGCCCCCCGTTATCGACGTTCCAAAGTCCTTGGCGAAGTCCGAGCTGACTAGATCGTCTGGTCCCAAAGAGCAATCTGCGCAATCGGTTAACGTTATGTTCCGCCATAAAAGAACCGTCGAAATAAGCAGTTACCAGTGAGCGTGATGGTCGGGGTATTGGGTGTTTGTGGTGTCAGCTGTTGCGTCGTCGTCGGGGTTCTCGTAGGATACGACAACTGTTGGAGCGTGCTCGAGCTGAAATAGTCGCTGTCTGCCGTACCCAGCTCGCTCGTAACGTTCAGGATGTCGCTCTGAAAAATCACAATTCGAAATTTATGGGTAAATTCGGCGCTTGGTGAACTCTCCATTTGACTCACTTGTGAATAGGCACCGGTGTGGCTGGGTGAATGGATGTACGGGCCCATCGTTTGTGGCGCAGCCGGCGAATCCATCTGTTTTCAAGATAATATCGTATTATTAACACTGTTTGACATTCGAATATGATTTTCAAACTATCCAAGAACTTTAAAGATTCATTTTTTACAAACTTTCTTAATTAAAAGAATATCAAGTTTAACGAAAAATAAGGATATTCGTAATGTAAAATACCTAAAAAAAAACAAAATCATACCAAAGAAGATCATGTTTAAAAATAAAGGAAAATCAATAATAAATAAAGGATAATTATCAAAGACAACAATAATACAAAATGAACTAATTTCGCCTGCTAAGAAAAAGCAATGATTTTCTGCAGCCATCGAACAAGCAGAACATATCGACGCTTAATAGAAGAACAGATAGAGTGTGTGAGAGAGAAAGAAAGAGAGAGATAGAGAGTCAGAGAGAGAGAGAGAGAGAGAGAGAGAGAGAGAGAGAGAGAGAGAGAGAGAGAGAGAGAGAGAGAGAGAGAGAGGCAAAGAGAAACACAAGACGCGTAAAACTGTGGGGCACGAGTGAGAAGTGAACAGAAAGTAATATATAAAAATCGAAAGTAATGAAAAACGACGTAAAAATGTCTCTAGATTCGTAAGTGTGGTAAGGGGTAGGATTTGGTTTTCACCTCGTCCAGTGGTGCATTCAAGTTATAACTGCTATCTTCGAGCTGCTGCATCATTTGCGCCCAATCCTAACGACAGCAGGCAACAACAAATAAATCTCATGAAGGCCCATAGAAACAGGTTATTGAAAAAGTAAGTTTCATTGTTTCTTTATTTTTTCTTTGTCAAACCGAGAGCAACGCGCTCATTCTCAAACTGGTCTTACTATTTCGTCTCGTTCAATCTCAAGACATAGCGCGGCCAATTGAATCAACAAACGTCTTGGAGGCAAGTTGGGCATGTGAGATATTTAAGGGAGGGCGAAAACTCGACTCCAAGCTCGCTAGCAAAGCAACGTTTGCGTAATTGATTCGTCATACTTACGACTACAATTGGGGCCTTAAGAGTGCATGAAACGAACAGTTAAACGTGTAGTGTGAATGTTAGAGCACCAGTGAAATGTAAGATTAGCCGGCGTTAGAAATGCTTGCGCTTACCATACTGAATTGCTCAAAGTCTGCGTGGACCTGATTCATGTAGACATTTTGGTCTTGTGGATCGAGCGACAACGTGGGTGGACCGTGGTGACTCGTCGGACTAGACGGCGCCGAGATGTTGTTGCTGTAGCTCAAAGGACTCCCCTGGGAATTGCAATTTCGGGGCTTGATTACCTTAGCTAGTGCAGTCGCGTTTGCTGCCAGCGAGATATCTACCTGAAACGTAAGACTAGGCGAAGATTGAGGCGAGGGTCGGTTGACCATTTGCGAGTTTCTGTACATGGTGAGCGAACTCTGGGGTGAACTTTGGTAGGTGTATTGGCTCGGTGAACTCTGCTGCTGGTGTACTTGTGCTTGCGAAGCGTTCTGAAATTAAAGAAGGCATTGAGTGCGTCGTTGCAAAGCCATCCGCAGTCAGGGGAAACGAAAACTCACCGGACTGGGAGGTCCAACAGGACTGTGTTGTTGTTGCTGCTGCTGCTGCTGCTGATAAACGTAGTGTTGACCAGGACTGTGAGCGGCAGGATGAGTTTGTTGCAGCGACGGCGACGTCGAGCCGGGTATGTTTTGTGACTGTGACTGGGGCTGCTGCTGCACTTGTTGGGGTTGCTGCTGTTGTTGCTGCGTGTAGCTTATCCTTACGTCCTGCTGCGACGAGCTTGTGTTGTTTTCCAGCGTTATACCCTGCTTCAATTACAAACGAGTTGATGTTACTTTTCCTATTCCCAGCTATCGTCTTGATTCTCGATCCGACTACTCTCGCATTCGTTATAACTGCATCTTCATCAATATACACTACTAGCTACTTGATAGATCGTTTACCGTCTATTCTTCCAACAACAATCAAACGTCTTTTTCTAATAATAATAATAATAATAATAATAATAATAATAATAATAATAATAATAATAATAATAATAATAATAATAAGCAGCTAAACAATCGTTTGCTGTCAGATACGAACATGTCACTCTCGTTTCTGGTAAAGATATATATACATATAAATAATCGTGGTTTCCATACAACATACCATATCACCGAACATCAAATCTGCTCGTTGGTTAGCGATCGTCTTTACGTGAAATAGCTCATGTACAGCAATACATCGATAAAGGGTGTATTATATTGCGCAGCATTGGGCCACCGCAAAAAGTATGCTTAACAATTGATCGATCGTGTGGCTCAAGACTCGCAGTTTCGGTCGACAATGAACGAGAATAGCAGTGGAATTGACTAACAAGTTGAAAATGCTAAGCGTTTCGGGTAAAAAACGTCTACTAACCTTGCAGGAATGTAGAAACCTATGGTTAACAGGCACCGATAAATGATTCTGCAAAATAATATAAAACTTCTACAACCAAGGCAAAAATAAAAGTGAATAAGCTAAAAAGATAAATAAAAATTTGCACGAAAGCTGTTAAAAACTGAACGATTACTAATAAAAACGCGAAATAAAACTAGTATTAATAATGATGGTAATGACGATGATGACGATGATGAGAAGTGACGCACAGTACAAAAAAACAAACGCGGAAATCGACAGGGAAACAGTCAAGAAAATAGAGACACGGTGAAGATGGAGGCATGCACTGGTGGAGAGCGCGAGGGCTGACACAACCAGGGTAAGGAGCCCGCGTGCTCCTCGTTCGGTCGCTTTTCCTCGAGCGCTTGCGTAATCATCCGCTGTTCCGTCGTTTCCGCTGAGGCGGCGTAGCAAAGCCGCGGCATACAGCTACCATGTCTATCGGCATCGAGCGACAGTGAAAGAGTGTGGGACACAGGGCGTGTGTGTATGTGTGTGTGTGTGTGTGTGTGCGTGTGTGCGTGCGCGCGCGGCAGCAAGGTGAACGATCAGCGTGACTTCGTGCGTGAGTGTACGAGTGGAGGTGGGCGAGGAGCGGAGTCGATGGCGGAGAGAAGCCGAAAAGCTATATGCACAGTCTATTTATAAGCGTTGGCAAGGATATTTACTTGGACGCTTGGCGGGCTGTGATCCTGCGTTAAGGATAGCCTTCCAGCTTGGGCCAAGCTGGTTGGCGACAGGGTGGTGGGACTGCTCGTTTGAGGACTCTGCAATAGACGACAGCACAGACCGTAAATTCATTTGTCGATCAGTCGACTACGTCGTCGGATCTGCTTATCTATGCCTTGGTGGGTTCGCTACGTCGTCGCGTCGCTTTTTTTATTTCTCCCCTAACAACCGCCGTTCGACCAGTTTTCAATCACGCGGAAGCGCAGGCGCTCGTGTGCAAGGTGCAGAAATTTTCATGTGACATTATAGATACAATATGTATAAAAGTATAAATATATATATATATGTGTGTGTGTATGTCCTGTATAGTAATACGAAAACAGACACACTGGACACAAACGAAAGAGAGTAAATAATGAGTAAGCAATGACTCGTCAACGTTAGTACAAAATACCATAGAGAATGGAGTATATATATATAAAGTATTGCGAGTATAGATAGCATGTAGTAGATAATCGAGTCGAATGGCGGCTTTCTGCTCGACAAACGATGATGAGTAAATGCAGTCGTCGCAAGAGAGAGAAAGAGAGAGAGAGATAGAGAGAGAGAGAGAGAGAGAGAGAGAGAGAGAGAGAGAGAGAGAGAGAGAGAGAGAGAGAGAGAGAGAGAGAGAGAGAGAGAGAGAGAGAGAGAGAGAGTGCAAGCAAGCGGGGCACGTACGTTGCTGTAGGGCGAGCCGGCGCTCGAGTGGTCCTCCTGGTCGAGGGGCGTGTGCAGCGGCGCGGGGAAGTGCACGTTGCTGAGGTCCGGCAGCGAGCCCGTGTTGTTGCCGATGGGTATCTGCGCGCCCGGCTGCGTGCCGCTCAGGTGCACACTGCATGGAAGAACGAGACAGGGTGGTTAGCCGGCTATCGGTCGTCAGGGGGTGGGGGGCGGTAGGGCAGGAGCAACTCACTTGATGCCGGGCACGCGCGGCATGTCGCAGGAGGAGCGCGGCCGTTCGATGAAGGCCTGGTGGTGGTGGTGGTGGTGGTGATGGTGGTGCAGGTTGCCGTCCCGGTTGTCGGGGCCCGAGCCGGCGTGGCCGCCGCGCTGCTGATCTGTGGGGTCAGAGACGGAGGAGAGCGTCAGCGGGACGTTGGCTCGCCAGCCGCTCGGCCGAGTGGCAAACTCACAGGCGTCGCTGCCCCGGCGGTGGCCGGCCATCGACTGCCCGGCCTGGCAGGCCTCGTTGGCGCTCTGGTGCAGCGCCGAGTCGGAGTTGGTGCGCCTCCAGGTCTCGGGGTTGGGCGGCGACAGGTAGGGCACGCCGCTGTAGGGCGAGGTGTCGTGGCGCTTCTCGATCGGCCGCGAGCGCATCGGGCCCACGCTGCCAGTGCTGCGGCGCTCCTGCAAGCCGGCCTGACGCTCCCGCGGCTGATGCTGCTGCGACTGGTAGACCGCCGCCGCCGCCGCCGCCGCCGCCACTGCGGCCGATTGCTGGCCGACGCTCTGCTGCTGCTGTTGCTGCTGCTGCTGTTGCTGATTGTATTCCTCCAGGTTGCTCAGCGCCGTCTGCGGGGAAACTCGTGGTCATTGGCTGTCTCGCTCGCCGGTTGCCTCGAAGAGTCCGGCCGATCGATATCTGGCGCCGGTCACCTTCGAGCCAGCCAGCGCTTCCTTCGACGAACAATCAACAGTGCACGCACACATACAGCGCATGTCAATACAGCAAGTGTGTACGCGGCAATAATACAAATAATTCAACTGGAAGGCGAGGCGCAGTTCGGCAAGGCCGAGCGAGAGGCGGCCGAGTGTCGGCGGGCGAAGGGGCAGAACGAGACGGCGATGCCTGCGATTAGGCAGATAGCTGGCAATCGGGCGGTCGGAGCGCGGCGAGCCAAATTAACGGCCTGCCAGCCGTCGTAACGAGCGCGCGCAACGCTTCCGCCTCGGCGGCGCGCAATCGGGAGATCGGCCGGTGAGCGCGGAGGCACGTGGGCCAGGGGCAGCCAGCGACCAAGAGACGCCGCGGATCAATACTCGGTGCGGGTACCTGTGGCTGCACTCCCCCCCCCCCCCCCCCCCCGCCCCTCCCGCCACCGTCGCTCAGCCCCCCAATCCCGCGCTCGCCAACTCCGCTCCTCGTCGGCGTCGACCTTGGCCCTGAGGTCCGTCGCCGTTGCGCAAGCGACGCGCACCTTGCACTTGAGAGCCACGGGCAGGATGCGGCCAAGGTCGGGCTCGCGCAACGTCTTCCGCGCGCGACGATGCCTGGCATTAGCCGAGGCTGCCCGCCCACATCCCGTGGCGCGGCGCGCCTACAAAAGCGCGCACCGCGGCCGGCCGGGCGCTTGCTTCGCCTCGCTCCCGCCCGAAGCCACCGCGACGAGATGGACCGGCACCTGGTGACCCCGCTGGCGCTCACGCTGACGCTGCTGCTGCTGCTGCGCGGCCCGCTGCTCGTCGGCGCAGGGGTGAGTGCCCGGGGCGCGCGCGCCGCTCCGGCCAGTCTGACCTTCGAGTCTGTTGCAGCCGCCTGACTGGATCAGCCCCGAGATACTGGAGATGGTGCAGGCGGACAAGGCGCGCTGCATGGGCGAGCACGGCACCACCGAGGGTAACTATGGGCCCCGAGCGCTCGCCGCGACCCACTAACCCGCCGATCGTTGCAGCGCTTATCGAGGAGGTCAACCAGGGCCACCTGCCCGATGACAAGGCCATCACCTGCTACATGTACTGCCTGTTCGAGGCCTTCAGCCTGGTGGGTGGTCGCGCTCGGCTCCCCGCGAGAGCCCACCCTCCCGCCCCCCGCCCTTCGCGGCACGCGCGCGCGCTAACCCCCGTGTCTCTCGGCCCGCAGGTGGACGAGGACGGCGAGCTCGAGGTCGAGATGCTGGTGGGCTTCCTGCCGGAGAACATGCAGGGGGTGGCCAGCGAACTGATCGACGCGTGCGCCAAGGAGCAGGGCACCGACGTCTGCAACAAGATGTACGTGGTGGCCAAGTGCGTGCAGCAGAGGCGCCCCGACGTGAGTACCCCCCGGCGGCCCGGCCGCTTGCCCGCCGACCACCCGCCACTCAGCTACCCGCTTGCTCTCTGCGCAGCTCTGGTTCATGATCTGAGCGCTGCGCGCTGTCGCCGCCGCCGCTCGCTGAGCTGCGCCTCCGCTGCTGTCGACGCGTCGAGGCCGCGCTCGCCAATGTACAACCAAACCATGATCGCAATAAACGAGAGCAACAAACAAAAACCGAGAGAACGGGTGAACGAAAGAGGGGGTCCGGCGAGGGGTTTGGGGGGTGGGGGTCGAGAGAGGAGGCGGATAATGCCGAGAGCGAGTGCTTGGGCTGTGTATGCGAATGCGCTGCTTGCTGTGCTTTTGAGACCTTGAGCTCGTAAGAGTGCACGGCGAGCGCCTGGGCCGCCGCCGAGTCCTGGGCCGCGCGCTGGTTCACGTTGGGCAGCGAGCCGCCGTACTGGTTGCCCAGGCTGATGTGCAGGTGCTTGCCGCCCGACTGCGGCGGGCTGGCGCCGGCGCTCTTCACCGACAGCGGCCTGCCGCCGGGGGTCGTGGCCGTGGAGGCGGCCGCAGCCGCCGCCTGCTGCTGCGGCGCCGTGCCCGGCTGGGCCGCGTCCTGGCTGCCGCCGCGGCTCCGGCTCGTCGGACTGGTGCTGGTCGAGGCCGCCTTCTGCCGACATCCAACAAGCATCCGGTTCAGCGCCGATTGGCCGCGCCGGCGGTGGCTGCGCGATCGGCGGATCGACGAGCGCGCGGGGGAGGCGCGCGGCGCTACAGGGAACAGGTTCGCGCGCGCGTTGCGGCGGCTCCGGCGGCGCGGCCGCGGGGCGGGGGGAGGGGTGGGGGAGCGGACAGCTGGCGGTGCGGCAGGGCAGGGACGGGGGAGGGCATGCGCGGCGCGCGCGCAGCCCGACGGCACAACACATAGACTTACCCGGTTGGTCACGTCGGAGACCTCCTTCATGATCTGCTCGAAGCGCGCCGACTCCTCGGCCTCGCGCTGGTTCAGCAGCGCGATCTTCTCGCTGAATTTGCGCGGGCTCGCCATCCTCGGGGCCGCTCGCGGGCCGCCGCCTAGTCGCTGCGATCAAGCGCGCCCGGTCGGCCGCGAAAGCTCGTCGCTGCACTGCCGCCCGTTCGGGCCGCCGCTGGCCAGGCGCGCAGCGCCCTCTGGCCTCTCTGCGCTCGCTGCTGCTGTTGCTGCGCTGCTACTGCTGCTGCTGCTATTGCTGCTGACGGCGACGATGCCCGGTTTCCTCGCCGCTGCCTCGCTGACTGCTGCTGCTACTGCTGCTGCTAGCACTCCGCGGCACCACTGCGCGATACGCACATACGCGCGCCACGGTGGTACACAGTTCTGGCTCGCGCTCTTTATCTCTCCCTCTCTCTCGCGAGCCTCTCGCTGCTGCGGCTGCTGTTGGCGTAGCTACGACTCGACTCACTGCTGCTGCCGCCGCCGCCGTCGCTTCGTATCTGGCATCCTGCGGCACGACCTCGGAGCTCGAGCCCGCGATCCTCGGTCTGCCAGGAACTGTGCGGACGCGCAGTCTCGGGCGCTGCTGCTGCTGCTGCTGCTCTGGACTCGCAACTAATTGCAGTGTGCGCAGCAGGGGAACTCGCGCGACGACTCGACAACAACAACAAAACGAGTGCTGCGCGCGCGCCACAGCCAGTCAGCCACAAACAACACGAACACGCACGCACTCGCGCACTCCTCTCCACTTCTCGCCACGCCGCTGCTGCTGCTGCTGCCTATGTCTGCCCCTGCCTGCCAGCTCCTCCTCTGCGGGTACTGACACGCACTGTACATAACTGCTGCTGCCGCTGCGCTCGCCGCTGCCGACCGCCAATGCCCTACCGCCGCTGTCCCCACCGCCCGTCGTTTCCTTTATCGTGCTCCCGCGCAACATTCGTGCTCGGGCTGTCGAGTGTCGACTTCGTGCCTCTGCGCTTCCTATCCTATCGCACTTTTCAAATCCCGCCGTTTTCATTGTCCTTCCTTTACAATTCTCTCTTTCTCTTTCGCTCGGTATTTTTTCAATTCCTACTTGTTTTCTCAATAATCTCTTTTACGAAGACAATGTTGAAGTTGTTTCTTTTTTATAACTCGTAAAAAAGTGATAAAGTTAATACAAATCATTCCGCGAGATATGTGACGTTATCCCAAAACGTCAAGTTTTAATTTTTTTTCCTTGCGAATACAATTATTAACAATCTTATTCAGCCATATAATTGATTTTCTGTTTTATCGAAAGTCCGTCAAATATAAAACTTGCAAATAATGTATACAAATGTGATGATTTTTTCTTTATGTTTTTGAGTTTGTTTGGAGTTACTGATGGATTCACTTTATTTATATCAATTTACCTGGACTGCATTACTTCATAATCTCAAAGTTAATCCCATCACGCGACAATTAAGACTTGAATTTCAAATCATTTCTAGTTACAGTTGAAGGTTATGAATAATTTACATTGATTAAATATTAATTATATTCGAAGCCATATTTTTACATATACATTATATTTTGATTTTCATGAATGAATTTAGTCATTGTTAGAAACTGTCATTTAAAAATGGCGGATGTCTAAAATCGCAGACTAGAACCGCCATCTTCAGGAAAGCATGAAAAATTTAGAAATTGATGTATATATATGCATACATTTTCGTAGAGTTCCGCGTGATCTCTTTCTTTCTCAAACATCCACATGATACGACAATGTTTCGCTCTCTTTCCTTTTTCTATGGGCCAACAGGCGCGTTTTCATGGAGGACACTAAACTGTGAAGTGAAGGGATGCGAGGTGCCTGTATATGTATATATATATATATATATATTTGTAAGTCGTGAAAATGTATAGTGTTTACTTTTACAGCTGCCATCATAAGATATAGTCGCTTTTTCAACGTTCTTAAAATTTCATCGTTACGCTAAACGCTTAAAAATTTATTTTTTTTAAATAGTGTCATTCGGAGTGCAATTGAAGGTGATCTTGAAATCAAGTGCAATTTTTTTGAAAAAGCTTTGTTTTCAGTGGTCGCCACTGTAGCTTTATAGGTCATGTGCTAGTTTGCGAGGTTAGAATGGTTAATTTCACGCGTGTATACATTTTAATGTGAGAAGCTACTGTTGAGTGCATCGGTGCATCGAAGTCTACTCGGAATGACGAGGTGTAGAAACATTATAAAAAAGTAAATATTTAATTGCAGGTAGGCGGGCTAGTGTGAGAATGGGTTCTAGGGCACAAGCTACTCGACCAATGGATACGAGATCCAAGCAAACCCTATTCGGCGAGAATCGTGCATCTCTTTGTCGGCTACTTCATGAACAAGATCGCTGCAGAGAAGTTTTGGAGTTTAGGCAGAATAATAATAAAAATAGTAATTATAGTAATAAAGAAGAACGATGAAAAGAAGCAAGCAGAACAGCAGCGGTAGCAGTTTCGACATAACCGAACTGGACGAGAACCTTATTAAGTTGCTGGTCAAGCTGTCGCCGCCTTCATCCTGTGTCCAGGAGCTGATGGACGATAACGAACAAGCCTTTGGTGGTTGTGATACCACTTTGAAAACCCACGAAAGAGTGGCCACAGCCATTCTCGACCCGGACAACGATGACGGTGATGTGGACGAATTTTCAAGTCGATCGTTACACAGCTATGTCAAGAGTCATATAAATGACTACACCAGACCAGCTTACCAGGAGGATCCAGTTATTGTAGCTGCAGCTGCAGCTGCTGCAGCAGTTAAATTTCGTTCAAACTATCTACCTCCTATTGGAGTTTTTTGGGACATTGAAAACTGCCAGGTAAGTTTATCTTTACCTACTGGTAAACCTTTTCCCTTGTAACTGCTTATGTATCCATGTTTGTGTTACAGGTTCCAAAAGGTCGTTCTGCTATGGCAGTCACTCGAGTTATTAGAGACAAATTCTTTCAAGGTTATAAAGAAGCTGAATTCATGGTTGTTTGTGATGTACAGAAAGAAAATAAGCAGATCATACAAGAGCTAAATGATGCTCAAGTTGATCTAATACATGTGTCCTCTACCAGCAAGAATGCTGCTGATGAGAAGCTTAGACAATCTATAAGACGATTTGCTGATACGCATGGTAGTCCAGCTGCAATTGTCTTGATATCTGGAGATATTGATTTTGCAGCTGACCTAAGTGATTTGCGTCATCGTAAAAAGATTTATGTTATTTTATTGCACAAAGAAAATACTTCAGAAGCTTTAATTTTATGTTCTGATGAGCATTATGATTTTACCAAACTACTGGAGCCACTTCCAGCTAGGACGCCGTCCAAAGTAAATACAAATTCAATAATTATTCTGTTGGTTCTATTCCAAGAACTCTTAATAAAAATATAATTTTCAGATGGCAGAGTCGTATGACCTTTTAGTTTATAATCTTCCTGAAGACAAAGACGTAATTGGTATAAAACGCCGATTAAAACAATTATCAAATAATTGCGGTGGACGAGTTGTCCAAATTCGCTCAAACGTAGCTGTTTTACGTTTTTGCTCCAAAGAATCAGCTGACAGGTAAATACTGTAATCTTTTTAAATAACCCTCGCAAAATAAATGTCTAATGATAGCGGCAACGCTGCGTTTGCGCTACCTATCAATAACGATAATAGACGCTAAGCATCTATTTTGCTTGCTATCCAGCGAATCATTTGTCAGATTTACGGGTAAAGCAGATTTCCCGCGAATTTTTCTTTCCACCCGCGACAATGGCAACATTGCAATTGTTGTCTCTTCGAATCATTGGCTTACGTATCGAGGAAAAATCACGCAAGTGGGGACGATCTCTGACCGTTGGAGATTTAAAGTCGAATATCTTCTCAGCAGTCTAGACGATAAAACTTCGTGTGTTTCAAAAGGCTTGGCGTTCTCTTGCTACCTGGTCGATTTTTGTAACAAAGACGAACTGTAATAACCACATTTTTCACTGTGATAATCGTAAGTGCTGACGGATCTCACGTGCTTGACAGCAATCTCTTACTCGGTTTTTCGAATAACTAACATTGTAGTTGCGAAAACGTTTATGTTAACGAACTAACAACTCCATTTTTCTTTGTTTTTCGTTTTCAGAGCCCAGAAACGCATGCATGGCAAATACATCTACGATTCCAAGATTGTCGTAAAATTTTTAAAGGAAAACAACACCAACTGCGCTTCAAAATTACAAGGTATTTATCAAATTTATGTTTACTTTCAGAATTTCTTGCTTTGAGTTTACTTCTTGATGACCTTCACGTGATTTGCCCCTTCTTATTCTTCTACCCAAATGCTTCCAAGGCAATGTGTGTGTGAATCTGTATTTATATTGATTTGAATTGTAGTGCTTATGTAATTGTGTTATATTTCTCAGACAATAACATTGTTCAAGAGACTACAGCCAGTGATACAGAGGCCAACAACGATAATCCTAATGAAATGTTTGGAGTGGCAAGTTCAATGTTAGGAGCAAGAAGTCTTCCAGGGACTCCTCATTATCCAACTACTTCTCCAGTTTCAGTCAATTGTTCCAACTGGACTGGAATGCATTGTGGCCCTCAAGGGTAATTATTTGTATTTCATGCTTTGATATAACCAAAATGCAAGCCTAATTTTAATATGATGTTACATCGAGATTGAACTTTTGAGTCATGGGTTGATTCATTACCAAATCCCCATTGATTCGAGTAATGATCTTAGGAAGCTTTGATCTTATCTGATTTAATCTTTATTCTATCATTTGAATGAATGACTGTGTATAAGGTTGTAAAAGAATTTCATTCATTATTTCAGACTGTTTCCACCACCACCACCATTTGCTAGACCATACATGCCTGTGGATACTTGCAAATCTTATTCTGGATATGGTAGAAGCCAATCACCTCAAGTTTGGCAAATGATGAATTCTCAGCAGCAAGGAAATCGTTACAGAGATGAACGCTGTAAAGTAAGTATATTCTTAATAGACTACTATTTTTATGAATACTTTATTTTGTGAGATATTTGTTTCTTCAGCAGGCCCAAGAGTGCAGTAATGCTGAGCCAGGCATCTTCCGCTCTGGCAAAGGGCCATCAGCATATATGAGAGGAAATTCTGTTTTTTCTCAACAGGCTGACTGGAATGCATCCAGAGCACCATGGCCAGTACCAACAAATCATCGAGGAACAGGTATACAACATGATTATTTCGATAATAACTCTACAGAACATTGCAGTTCTTATACAATTGAAATACATGTTTAATTTGTTAATACAGTATTCAATCAATCTCACAAGCGCAGAAGTCCATCTCCCATGTATGCAGCTCAAAATCAAGATACCACACACTGGAATGGACAAGTAAGAAGAAATGACCGCACCCCATCACCATACGATTCTGCTTCTATGCCCAGTGGCATTCAACGAATTTCTCCGTATCGGCACAGTGACGCTGAAAGTGAAGAAGTTGAAAATTTCTTTAGTCCAATCAACAATCGAAATAACTGTGGTTCATCGAATGGTGCATACGTACCTATCGAACTTCAGGTTTCAAATTTGGATCAAAATATCGATCCAAAAGATATGAAGCGTATTTTATCGTCTATATTAATGGAACACGTTAAAGTAAGATGAGTTTTAAAAATTAAAAGAAGTATGTGTGGTAACAGTGATGAATGGATTGATTGATTTGCCATCTTTTCGTAGGTGTTGCAAGTTTCAGTTTTTGTACAATCGGATGGTAACTTGGTAGCAAATGTAAAAGTGCCTTCGTTACCAGAAGCACAGTATACAATATCACAGCTGCATCGCCGTAAAATAGGATTCAAACGGATATTGATATCCTACCTGCATAGTAGTGGTCCAAATCCACAAATTGTTCGATCGCAAATTGTGATGTTGCTGCAGGAAGTTCCAGGGCATAAACTGCCATTATTCAAATTTCGTGAAATGTACGAAAGCCGATTTATGATGTCGATCAGTATTTCTGAGTTGTACAAAATGAAGGACGTGTGCATAATTACTGATGATCCAAGTGGACGATTAGTTTCCCTCAACCCTGATCATCGAAATACACCGTCGCCAAGTTTAAACACTACCTTGGTAAATAACTAGCAATTATTTCAACTTTTACCCTTTTGTTGTATCTATATGATGAAAGCTGGCCGAGTTTGAGTGGTCGCTGCTCGGTAGGTTGAGCATTTTGTTCCCTGCTGCTTCGAATCGACAATGATTACAATTCCCTAAAGCGATTTGATTAGCTGAATTTCTAGAGTAAACTTTCGAAACAACTTGAGTACAATTGCAGGTTCATAAAAATTTTTTTGTTCGCTAGGATGCTCAATCGTCAATGGAATTGCCTTATTGTGTACTCCACGCCCAGAAGCCATGGACAGATAAAGGATGGGCAGAGCAAGAAATGGCTCCTTTGCCAAACGTCAGTATATCGTTGAAGCTGCTCTCTGAAAGAGTGCACAAGCTTTTAATTACGCATTCTGGCTGTTTACCATTGCCAACTTTTCCGAGTTGCTATGAAGCCGAATTTAATGAATCAATTCAAGTCGACGAAAACGGCGTGCCACTCGAACACTTGATGTCTTGTATATCAACAGTGGAATTGAAACAAGGCCTAGGAAGCGTGAAGCATATAGTTTGGTCAACCAACAAAAACAACGACGAAAGTAACGAAGGTATTAGCAAGTTTCCGATAATATTTCAAGGTTATTAAATGCACGCAAATATCTAAAAGAAGCGCTTTTCATGTTTACAGAAAATAATTCGCCGCTAGCCAATCAATTGGCTTTATTCAGTCGAGAATCAGTTGACCTCCTGAAAACGGCTCCGCATTGCCAATTGCCGTTCAATCGTTTCATCCCAGCGTATCATCGTCACTTCGGAAGACAATGCCGAGTTGCTGATTATGGGTTTACAAAATTGATCGAGTTACTCGAGGCTTTAACCCACTCCGTGCAGGTAAGACTTACAAGCTTATAAGCTGTTAATGCCGATTCAGTTGATAATGAATATGTGATTTGATATGCAGGTTATGGGAGAGGGAAATAAACGCGTAGTCACTTTGTCTCATCGTGCTCAAGTTCGTCGTTTCACCTCGGACCTACTTCGCATTTTGAAATCTCAAGCCAGCAAGCAAGTGACTTTTTCGGAATTCCCTAAAGTGTACACCAGAGTGTTTGGGAAACCGTGGGATGTCACGGACTATGGAGTCTGCGAAATTGATGACATCCTTAAAGGAGTTTCGGAAACCATCGTCGTGGTAACCAGTTGTAAAGATGGTAACGATCGTATGATTTCTATTCCCAAACGTGAACGAACACCGGAAGAAATTGAAAGAACTATGCAATTCGCTACAGAGGTAATTATATTTTTCTCCATATTCTAACCTTTAAATCGTATCTTCGGGTATTGTTTCCAACTCTCATGCGAAAAGGCTTGTTGACGAAACTCGTTAAGTATTCGCATTTAGCTCATGCCGTAAGCTTCTCGTTTCGTCAAAAAAGTCTTTGCGTATCCGTTAGAAAATGTACTATTTTAATTGCTTTATGGGGTTGTGCTACTAGTACTACATAAACTTGATGTTATAATTGTTTAGGTGGTCGAGCTTTTAAAACACGTTCCACAACAAAAAATGCTATTTACCAAGTTCGTCCCATCTTATCACCACCACTTTGGTCATCAATGTCGAGTTTCCGATTACGGATTTTCCAAACTTATCGAGCTATTCGAAGCAATACCAGAAGTTGTCAAAGTCGAAGAAGAAAATGGTGGAGAGAGAGTCATTTCGTTAACAAAAAAAGAAGGACTTCAAGTCTTGGGAGAACAATTGAATACATTGATTTCACGTTATGGCAATTCATCAACTGGACAGCTTAACGTATCGAATATAGCTCAAACGTTCCTCCAAGAATATGGATATGCCTTACGTCCGGAACATTTCAACTGCAACTCGATGTTGGAACTTATGGAAAAATTTGAAGGCACAGTCAAGGTAAAATCCAAGGTCTACTTTTAGTTAGTGCATAATCACATCTAATTTTTACTTAAATGTTTGCAGATTGTGAATACGAAAAGTGGTGTTGCTATTGAGTCCATTGACAAAGACCATATTCAGCAATTAGGTCTAGAATGTCGAAGAGTACTCATGAGCGCTCCTGATTTCAGTCTAACAGTCAATGACTTTAAACAAAGTTATCAAAAAATATTTAATAAAACTTGCACCATTGAAACATACGTGCACAGTCTAAGCGCTTTTATACGTGTAAGAACATGCTGAAAAATTCCAAATATTTCCGAACTTATATTTGAATTTTCTTACAGATTTTTTCACTAAATGAACAGTGTTTCATTGAATTAACTCCGTTGCAAAAATTTGCTTGCAATGTTCAACGTGTACTTATGCAGTCTAATGGCAAAATGAATATCTCGCAATTTGAGGGAGCTTATTTAAAAATCACTGGAGTTGCTTGCAGAGCTGCTATGTACGGTTATCCTACGGTATATGCTCTTCTACGCGCAATCCCGTGTACAGTCATTGTTAAAGATATGCGTTACAAGAGAAAAATAGTTCAGTTGAACAAGAAACTCATAAGTAAGTACAAAATTTTGTTTCGCGATTAGTACTAGTTAACAATAGACGTAAATAATTTTAAATTATTTGTATTTTACAGCAGCTGGATTATTACCAACTACATTCACAATGTCTCCTTCACCGGTTCAAGATACAGACTCGAGTAATGAATCTATCGAAAATGATTCATTTCTAAGCAAGTCCAGTTTATCTTCAAGTGTGAATGAGAAAGCAGAATTGAACAATTCGCATCAAATGTCTTCAAGTAAGGATTCAGGCACCTGGGAAAACAAATCGAATCATTGGACTCCTAATAATTCTGCCGATGCACAAAAGTGGCCAGAAGCAGAAAACAAAAGTACCGAGTTAAATAATGTGGACAAAACATCAAACACGTTTCCGCCACCTCCATTAAAACCGGATTCACCAGTAATATATTACTCTTAAGTTTTCTTATACTTAGTGAAAATGATATTTTTTATATAAACACGGTCATTTTAGGACTCTGTAGCTCCTTCTAGTCGTACTTCTATCTGGGACACTCCGCCTCAATTTTACAGCAAACAAAGGTCTAATTACGTTAAAGTGGAGGTGAGAATTTGATTCTACGTTTATATTAAAAGCTTAATTTATGACAAATAATTAATTATGTGTAGTTACCACCTATGAGTCTGTCGCCATTGAAGAAATACGGCCATGAGCTTGTTGGTGTAGTGTCGCCTTCGTATCTCAAATATTCCTATTACAATCCTTTGATTTGCTGGAAGACGCCTATTTTCGTTAAGGATTCCAATTCATCGTCTGTAGTTGCTCCGCATCCTTCTGAATTACCATTACCCTCGATGTCCTTTACACCGAAGAAGAGCGCCACTAGACAAAGCTCTCCAGTTAATAATACTATGCTATCCTCGCCTGTTTCCTCAAAGAAAGGCCAACTTAATGTGAATGATAACTCGAACAGAATCAATGATACTACACCTAGTAAACGATGTGAGTCTTTGTTTTTATATTGAACTTTCTGCTGCGATAGATGTTATGTTTTAGTGACTGCTTTTGGTTTTACAGTGTATTTTGGAAAGTGTCGCCTAGCTGCCCAGTTCAATCAGCCGTCGTTTGATTCATAAAATATCAACACATATGGGTAGACTAATCACTTTCATGCGTTCATATAAAAATATCAAATGCAAATACTGTTAAGAAAGTAAGTTAGATTTTATTTTTCTAAGTATTCGAAAACCAATCGTTGGAATAGTCTAACTATAGATACTTAGATTGAATTTTAATTGTCAACTTCTGTTAACCATCCATGATATTTCGTCTAGACTGTTGTTCTTGCGGTTACCTTGAGCGATATTGAGATTGAAAATAGTTCAAATGAGTTAATAAAGTCTTATTTATTGAAGATCCAATTTACGGATCAAGCAGCATTTCCTCGTCTGTGATAAACGATTTTGTACCGATTGATTCATGTATAAATTTAAATAGGCTTCTTAAGTCGAATGCGTGTTTGTTTTTGAATCGATTTTAGTTGCAAACTTATTTTTGTAAAGATATTTTTTTATTACTTTACTACGAGAGAATGCAATTTTTTAGTGACTGTATGAAGGTAACGTTTTAATACAATAATATAACCAATTACAAAACGATGTATGATTGAGCTAAGTTTCTCAAAAAAGTATTTAAATAATTATGAAAACAAACTTATATTGAAGTGATAATTTTTAATACTAAATAACTATGCGAATGTGGAAATAAACACAGACAATTTTAATTTGCAAATAAGTATTTTTTAAAATTTGTTTTCATCAGTTGTCCAAAACGGTGAAACGTCCAGAGCGATTGAACGTTTCCTTTGATTAACAAGATTCATAGTATTTTTTCTTTTGCGAAAAAGGAGCAATTATGGGATTGATGAGAATGAAAACATGTGTATTAAGAATGTGAGATTATGTGGTCATTGTTATTGTCTTAATTTAAATATCATGAACGTGTTCTTTTCAGGTTTTTGAATAATTGAAAGTGTACAATATTATTAATTGATTCAAAATTCTTTAGGAGATATACTTTTATAATCATGTCTAAATAACGTTTTTTATTATTTTGTAAAGAATCGATAAATTATCATGAAAAAATCAATTTTAGACATCTTGTATTTTAATAAATTATAAGGAAAAAATCAATTGAATATGCGTTATTTTAAGATTATTGCAATGTGTTTTTTTAATTTTATTTATTACCAAACGATATCGCCTTGAGTGTTTTATATATTAAAATCTAGTTCAATTGCTAAATGTGTAGCCTGTGATTATAACTTTTTTTATAGAACTTGTATTAACTTGTATTGCTTGTTTTAATTTATTGAGCAGTTTGAGGCTCCAGTTTTAAATAAGTGTAGATATTAAAGTTCATACGAGTATTGTTGAAAATTGTTTTATCTTTTAATAGGAACACTAGCATTGAACCTATTGTAAAATAACTCAAATCTATTTAAGCCAGAACAAGAAAGATTTTTGTAGTCCAAAGTGGACCTGATATATGTAGCCTAGATATTTTTATATTTATACATGGTATATTGTGATATAGAAAATAAAATAATTAGTTTTCTGTTCAACATCGTCTTTTGTGAATCCTTAATCAAACAAATCTTTGTAAGCATAATTTATTTAATGAGAAACTGTACATACGCTTGTTTCAAAAAACAAGTACTCTACAACAAGTTTTTATTTATCACACTAGATTGCGATTAATATTCTTCAGAGATTGTAAACTTTTCTTGTTTCATTCCTGTACCTACTGGCCCATGTCTACGTTCCCATGCCATACGATGTTTTTGTTTCATAAAAGCATATACAACATTAGGCTCAGGGCCCATGTCACCATCTTAAAATTTATAAAATAGTAAGTGAATTATTTACAAGAATATTAACAATAAATACATTATTAATGATTTACATTTTCCAAACCAATTGCCTGCAGCATCTTTATACTCTTCATATAGCTGTTCACATTTTGCCTCACCTCTCTGATTGAAATCCTCATGATTACAATGCTCATAGCGTTGCCTCAAAATGTGAAGAATTTCATTGTCAACGTTTCTTTAGAGGAGAAATGATAATTAAAATTAATTACCAACAATAATGATTTAATCAATTATGGTTTTAATCATACTTGTCTCGAATAAACTGTTGCTGTGCTTCAAATCTACAAACGTGATCTTCAGTCTCACACTCATCAATGGTTGGCACTCTTCGAAACTTTTGATGGTAGTACGGGTAATGTTTTTGATTGGGTTCGACGATCTTTTCTGTAAAAACAACAACGTGATTGCGTGACAAAGATGAAATATATCAAAGCAACCTAACCTTACGATGCAAAAAAAATACTAAAAATTTGATTAGATAATGGATTTGGAAAATTACCTCGAAAGAAAGTTACAGGCCCATCAAAGAGATTGAATACAAAGTAGCCAAACTTGAAGAATGGATTATTTGCTCGAGGATCGTCTCCCATGACTACGATTAACTGGAACGCGCGAGCACTCCAATCTATTCGCTAACGTCCAACTACTGTGATCCGTGACAGCATACGCAACTTGATGCGATTAATATTGAATATATCTCCTTGTAATTTACTAATTGCGATACTCTTCAGATTGCAGTGCAGTACACTTTGCTTTTCCTTTACACGCGCCCGCACAGATTCGCCGCCACATGTATTTTTGTGATTTTTAATTTCCAACTTTGATCGATGCTTGTTATCCTTTGCATAACAGCCAATATAGTAGAATCTTTTAATGCCGACGCGATTTTGCACTTTGTATTTCTTAATTATATTCTTTCATGTTTTATTTTTTAAATATCTTATTAATTTTATCCGTACATTGTATAAAAAATTAGTTTTCTTTACGATTTATTCAGTTATTTCGTAAAAGTATTTAAAAAATGATATGATTCCATTTTCCAGGCAATATCGTGTTTTTAACTCAACATGTGTGTGTCTGTGTATTTACTACTTTCAGTTGCAGACGATACGAATGCCGCGCTGTCTGTTGACTGTCGACTCCAAAATGCACTTTTAGTACTAGAATAATGTGTTGTAAAACAAAATTATTATAATTTGTTGATTTTTAAATTTTTAGTAACTTTTGTCGCATTACATTAATGACGACGAAAAATAGTAACGATGTTAAAGAAGCTATTTTTCATTATTTAAAAATCGAAATAATTACATGCGGTATCTTAGAGGTTAGATAATATATTTAAAGGTAATCGTAAAACAAAAATGTATCAAAAAATTCAAATGGGTAAAGACGGTGAGTAATAAACTGGTAAAAAATAAACAAGGTTTGTATAAATAGTTGACTGATTTTTCAGATCAAACAGTCGGTGTAGATGATACAAAAGCTAATGTAAAAGAGATTCGTCTGCTTTGCTTTGACATTACCCATTACAATGTTAAAATACAGTTGCTGCTGTGCAGTTTAGGAATATTTATTTTTTATATCCTATATGGCTATCTGCAGGTGAGCATTAAATCAAGATCAAGTGTGAGTTCGTGTCACCTTTCATTTGTTGTTTCTAGGAATTAATATTTACCTTGGATGGATTTAGACCATTTGGTTGGTATCTAACCCTCATACAATTTGGATATTATACAGTGTTTGGCTGGACAGAATGTCGATTAAGAAGTGTAAGCAGAAGAATCCCATTCAGCACATATTCTTTACTTGCACTCCTCACCTTGGGCACTATGGGATTTTCAAATTCATCCTTGGGGTACTTGAATTATCCTACTCAGGTTTGATAATAGGTTCATTTGATTGTCACGTATAATTCATACCATTAACAATTTTTTATATTCTGTTCTTATGCCAGGTTATATTCAAGTGCTGTAAGCTGATTCCAGTACTCATTGGCAGTATCTTGATTCAAGGAAAACGTTATGGTTTTCTGGATTTCCTAGCTGCTGGTCTCATGTGTTTAGGACTGATTCTCTTTACACTTGCAGATAGCATGATATCCCCACGATTTGATCTGGTGGGAGTAGCAATGATTAGCTGCGCCTTACTTTGCGATGCGCTCATCGGAAATATTCAAGAGAAAGCAATGAAGCAACACAAGGCCTCAAATATAGAGGTCGTTCTCTACTCGTACAGTATAGGATTTTTATATCTCTTTATTATATTAACGTTTACAGGAGATATTGTGAAAGGAGCTTCATTTTGCAGCAATGTAAGATATTTCTCTCGCAACCTCCTACGATCCTATTTCTTTTAATACTTTATCAACGTTTTTCAGCATGCATTGGAAACATATGGCTATGCCTTGCTATTTTCACTATCCGGCTACATTGGCATTCAAATCGTTCTCACCTTAGTCCAAACTTGTGGCGCCTTTGTAGCAGCAACAGTAACGACTTGCCGTAAAGCGGTGACAATTATAATTAGTTTTCTATTTTTCTACAAACCATTTACATTGCAATACGTTTGGTCCGGACTGCTTGTTGTTCTTGGTATTTATTTAAATATCTATAGCAAACAACACTCGTCGAAAATTGGCTGGAATGATATCTGGCGTGCTATTAAAAAGTGCATCAAGCGACAAAATCGCATACAGCGAAAACTCTTGTCAAATGTTTAGAGACGGATTTCTCTTAAATGTTCAATTGGTTTTTCTTTACTGACATTAAAAATAATGAGGTCTTGCATTTGCGTATATATTTGAAATGGTTCAATCGAATTCAATTAGATGAGCTTATATGCCAGTAGAATAGTGCCATTTCATTACCAACTTGATTGAAGCATAACTTTGCAAATAATTGCAAAAATTTTAAAGAAGACTTATTGAAAATTTGATTTTCCTGTGATAGATATGATTGTTCATATCCCACTTACTATTGAAAATTCGTTGTTGGCTTTAGAGAAGTATTCATTAGAAATTCATCTTGATGTTACTTTGTGCCCCACGTTTTTAATAATGGGCATCAGAGTCGATAAATACTTTTACACGTATTGAATAAAAAAAAAATCTTTTTTATAGATACATTATGATTACGATGATTTGAGTATTTAAACTTTTACAAATTTACATTGCAGACTTAATTGCTTCAACCTACTAAGTGATTATATATATTTAAGAATAAATTGCTAGTTTATTACATAGCTCTATACAGCTTTACTGTACTATTAATTCTTATAATCTTAAATTTTTGAAAAAATATGTAAAGATGAGTTCATCTTATAAATTTGTACATATAATAAGTTGATTACATTTTATAGAAATAATTCGACGTTTATAATAATATTTAAAATAAGTAAATGCAATCAAAGAAATTTTCAACGTGTCTTTATTTACCTTTTCCTCCTCTACAATTCTTGTACAGTCCTTAGAATTGGACGTGTCTAGTCATTTATAAATATGCAAGAACTATTCCAAGTAGAGCTGAATTAACTACTTTAATATATACATCTGAACGAAATATTTTTTTATTAGAAAAAAGTAATAATTAAAAAAAAAACAAACAAAAGAAGAAAGAAGAACCTTCTGATGACAATGGGCATATGAAAGGACTTACATACGTGTTATCTGTGTGTGCGAACGCAGTTGTTGAGATCGAGAGCTGAAAGAGCATGTTGGTAGTCACTGGTGTCCCAGTGACGACGTAATACATCAAACAGAAATAGAGACACGCTCGCGAGCACGTTACTTAAAATAACGCAATATTGTAGCTAAAATCTTGATTATTCGTTGAATGCATTTGTCCGGAATCCAGAGAGAAAAAGAGGGGCGAGGGTGGGGGAGGGGGGGGGGCGGCGATGAAATGGGGTGACGGGGCAGTGAGCGTCTTCGCGTGGCTTATCTCTTGCGGTCGTTGGAGCCGCTGCGGCGCGATCGCGACCGTCTACCACGGCTGTCACTGCGCGAACGTCGAGACCTGCAAGCAGCGAAAGAGACACATGGTTAGCAGGAGGAGGGCAAGCGGCGCCGAGGGAGACGGGCCGGCGTGGTCGTCAGCGTTGATCGCCTCGGCTGAGAGATCAGGCGAGAGGCCGGAGAGGAGACTCCGGGGAGTCGATCGACTCGGCCGGCCGCACGTCAGTTCGGCCTTCGAGTGTCATCAGGCATGTGGAGGGGGAGCGGCAGGAGGCAGGGGTTGAGGGGAGAGGCGTCAGGAAGCGCTTACCTCTTTCCTCGACTGCGGCTCCTGGACCTCGAGCGCCTTCTGTCCCGGTTGCGGCGGTCGCGATCGCGGTCGCGGTCCCGCTCGCGGTCGCGGTCCCGGTCGCGGCGCTCCCTGTCGGTGGTCGCGGGCCGCTCCCGGTGGTTGCGACCGGCGCGCGCCCGGTCGCGCTCGCGGCTGCGGCTGCGGCTGGCGCGCTCGGGCCTGCGCTCGCGGCTGCGCTCGGCCCGGCCGCCCGAGAGCGCGTCGCGGCGCTGTCGGCGGCGCTCGTCCACGGTCTTCTCGAGGTCGGCCAGCTTCTCGCGGATCTTGATAAAGCCGAGATGCAGCTTGCCACCGAAGTGGTCGGCCAGGCGCCGGTCGTTGTCGTGGATGCCCAAGTAGGCGCTGCAGACCTCGCAGACGCGCAGTTTTTGCTGTTGATAGCTGGAAGCGGGCATGCTGTTGCGGTACTCCTGCTCCGCCTCGTTCTTGCGCTTGCGCAGCTCGTCGATCTCGCCCATGAGCTTCATCGACTCCTCGACGAAGCCCTCCTCGCCCAGCTGCTCGGCCTTGGCCAGCTTCTTGCCGATCTCCTCGGCCAGCAGGTGCACCGCGTTGGCCTTGGCCGCCACCTCGGCCGACAGCTCCTCCTGCGTCTCTGCCAGGCGCTGCTTGGCCTGCTCGGTGCGCCGGTCGCAGTCGGCTATGAAGCTGGCCAGGTGCTCCATCGCCTGCGGGCAGAAACCGGCGGGTTAGACGGGCCTCGCGGCGCCCCGACCGGTTCGCCGGCCGCTACTCACGTCGATGTCGTAGAAGTGGTCCTTCTTCTTCTGCGCCGCCTCAAAGTCAGCGCGCAGAGCCAGGTCGTGAATCTGGGGGCACTCGCCCAGGTCCATGCGCTGCGAGTCACAAAGCAAACTCCATTAGAATGGTCCGGCTCCGGCTGCCCCGGCTAGCTCGCTCGCCCTGCGACCCTACGCGCCCTATCCTCTCGCCGCCTGTCAGCCCATTTCCTGTCTTGCTCTTGGTTTTCGGGAGGGGTAGGGGAGACCTTTACCGCGACTCGGTTCACCGGCCTAACGCGCCTCTCGTCGCTCTCACGCACACTCTCTCGCGGCGGTCTTACGCCCACGCAACATGTATGTACACACACAGAGGCCAGAAAATAATAATCGATAAGGTGTCAGAGAGAATGCAAAGGCAATGCAACAGACGTATGTACTTGGAAGGAGGAAACGGAAAAAAAAGAACAAAATAGACATGTATGCATAAATACGTATCGTTCTATAGATAGAGAATACTTGGTTGATGGTCACTTACAGAGAGCGGCAAACCACGCACCTCTCCGCCTGCCTGACAACTTGCGCTCGCTGGCGACTCTCGCAACCTCTAGTTCTCATAGACACACGTTCAGCGCTGAATTCAAAGTCACGACGGGCCCTCGGCTCTTATCAAGATCTTGGCCCGACCATCACAGTTTCACATAATATACGCACTTCCCACTCTCCGTTTCCCTCCTGCCTATCGATTTTGCCTTTTTTTCTTTCTTTCTTTCTTTCTTTTTCTTCCCTTCTCTTTCTCGGGATCACTCGTGAACGCGCCGATTGCCAAAGTTCGCCGTCGCGGTCGTCCGTCGCGCGCAATCGAGTCGGCGATCGTTTGCCGCGGAGCGCCTCGACCCGTCGACAACTCGCTTGCGAGAGGCGTCTCGCGCTGGATAGCGACGCTTGGCTCGGACTTTTGGCAATCGACTGTGGCTTACTTACAGTCTGCTAATGCTATCCTGTAATGCGCCTCTGTGAGAAAACATAAACAAAATGTATCTCCCTTCCTCGAGAACACATCCATACTCACGGAGATCATTAGCATACGACTTTTTTCTCTCCAGCCTGGACGTCTGTGTCTGCGCGCGCGTGTGTGTGTGTATGTGTGTGTGTGTGCGTATGTGTATGCGTGTGTGTGTTATGCAAGCAAAACCTTGCACTGAGATTCGTCTAGTTTATCATGAGCTCTTTCATCAAATTAATTCTTTGATCGTTATCGCTTTACTCACCAAAAAACGCATGACACACAGGATTGTTCGACACGTGTACGATGGGTCGTGGGATTTTGGACAAATTTGACTCCGCTTAACTAAGCTGGAGCAGCCAAGATGACAATCCGATGCTTCTCTCCCAAGCAAAGTCACAACATAATCAATGCATATGCGTGTCTTGGTGAAAACTCGTCAGAACGCACGACTCATTGACCGAGGCGGGATGAGTCACAAAGCACTACGAACCATACGCACAGACAATAATCGACAGACTCCCGGTCGACGGTCAATGAATCGCCGCTCCGACATTTTCAGCCAAAATGTGTCAATTTTTTTAAATGTATTATCATAATTATAGCCAAATAGTTTAATTATGTTATATAGAATCAATGAAATGTAATACGTACGTCTCATGTTTCTTTTTTTCAATTATTTCATATTTTTAGTACTTACGGACTTAACGCGACCTTACTCAACTTCTACGTACGGTACATTATTTGACAGGGAATTGCGTACAATTGGTTCACAATTGCTTTTCCAGACGCTCTGGAAATAGAGAACTGCTTATTAGCAGTTCAACATTAGTTAAATTTCAAAGTTTCTACTCAGTAAGACGGTTTGAAGAGGGTGTCAAGAGAATCAACTTGAAAATTTTCATCTACAAAACTTAATGTCAGCTCGAACAATCATTGCACTTGATTTTTGTGTCTGTACTGGTGACTGCAAAAATCAGTTGAATGTTTATTCGAAAGAAGAGCATAGTCTTTTGTCGTTTTCAATTCACTTTTGAATGTATGTTTGACTCGAGATGGTATTTTCATAATCAAATAGTATAATCAAAAATAGAAGTGGTTTTTCAAAGTAAAAACAAGGATGAATGCCTTTTGCCCGAATGTACTGATAAAATTTAGTTATTACATGTAATATACTCACTGTAGATGAGAGAATCTCATGTGGGCAGCATGCCAGTAAGAAACTCTTGCAGACCTTTGGATCATTGTACTTTACTTGGAATTTGTTATTTTCACCTGAAAAACATAGAGCTATCAAATTTTATGTCGATTATCAACAAGAGTATAATATCATTCACACAATCCTAAAATACCTTGCTAATTTCAATAATCCATCAGACTTTCATAGTAAAATGCAGTGAATGTTAAAAAGAGAATATGCGAGTAACTCAGGGTTTGATAGAAAAACAGATAATGATTACAAATCCTGCCCTATAGAAACTAGAAAAAGAGAGGAAGAGGGAGAGTGAGAGAGCGAGAGAGAGAGTTGAATTGTGTTAAGTTGAATTAAATTGAGACGAGTTGAGTTGAGTTAAGGTGAGATGAGTTGACTTGAGTTGAGTTGACTTTATTTCACCATGGGGAGGGACTCTGATGTGTTAGTAATATAATGAAATTATACAATAGGTGTACATTATTTACAACTAATTTTTACATTACTTACAATTTACTTGCATAAACCATCTATGATAGACAAAAATAATTACATATAATTGAAACTAGGATAATGATTGGTGTAATAGATAATGATGATTGAACGACTAATAAACTACAAATAATAACAATCGGCATAAAGTAATAGAGAAATATTAAATTAAATGACGCCAGCTAAACATTTATAATTTTACATATTATTTGACAATTTAGTTGTTGGATGGAATAATAAAAGGGTAGGGTATAATAGATCATAATTAAGATAATGAATAAGTATTAAAAAAGCATTATTTTAAAAGCATTATTTTAAAAGCATTATTTTAAAAGCATTATATTTGAAAATGAAAACTGAGCCATTTGGATAGGAAGTATAGGAGAAGGGAGGCCAGCCATACAGAGCAGTCATGAGTGTAAGATTTTCAAAAATTATCCTAGACCTCCATGCTTATATTTGAAGAGCAAGAACTACAACTCTCAATCATGATTTAAGCTCAAGAAAGCGATCAAAATTGAAATCAGTTACTGAGATAGTTATCAGTCTAGCTCCAGTTGTGGTAAACAACCGGTTGCAGGCCTCATTGAGAGAAACTGATTGAGAGAGCTAGAAGGGTTATGTTTGATCTGCGGTAAGAATGGGCTTTGTAATTTGAAAAAGAAGTGTCAAGGTAATTAGGCATTGACTTAGAAAGAGCTTTGAAACATTGTACTAAATGAATGTAACTGTTTATTGGTGAAAGCAAACAAATATAAGTGGAGTCTATAAGTGACATGTCAGGTAATACTTTGAGAGAGAATAACAGGGATAAAATCTATTACAAATTTAACATAGGTATCTTGTATAACCTGCAAGTTAGACACTAGTTTTATCAAGATCTTGATAAACTATAGGACAATACTCAAAATATGGGAAATTTTGTGCTTCTACAAGTTGTTTTCTTAAATTAAAGCAAAAAATTATACAATTTATAAAATTTTATGAAGTGTGGTGACACAGATATTCCAAACAACAATACCAATATTAAATTTCTAATCAAGAGTGTTCGAAATAGTGACACTGAAATTAAGAATAGTTGAAAAATAGGGAATGGTAGTTCCATTCAAGGTAATGTCAGGAAGCAACAAAAAATCTATTTTGGCAATGTACAAATCACTGCCAATAATAATTACCTTTGTTTTTAATGCATTTAAATCTAATCTATTTTGAGAAGCCAACTGAGTAATAGCATTAACTTCGAGTTGAGATTTTCCAATGGCACTGCAGAGATCGTAGTAAGCACAAGGCAGATATATTTGTGTATCGTCTGCATAAATGAAATAGCAAAGTACAGTATATTTGGTAAGTTGTTTATGTAAATAGCAAACAACAATGGACCAAGAATATTACCCTGAGGAACACTAGAGGATGTACAGAGCCATTCAGAAACTATAGTACCACCATCAACAATCGCCTGTAATCTATCTGTTGAATAAGAGAAAAATCAATCCACAGTAGTATCAAAGAAGTTCGAAGAGCAGAATTTACTTATTATGATATCATGCAAAAACAAATACTTTTAAAAAATCGAACAAAATAAAAATTGTGAGTTTTATATTACAGATAGCATGCCTAATATCATCAGTCAGTTCTACTAGAGCCGTTTGCGTGCAACAGCCGCTATGAAATCTAGTCTGACGTGGGTTCAAAATATGATTAGATTCAAGAAAAGTAATAAGCTGTACATGTACTAGGCATTCTAATGTTTTTGATACCGTGCAAAGTTTAGCTGTAGGGCGACTGTTTGACGGTGAAGAGAAATTACGAACCTTCAATAGTGGACGAATTTGTGTGTGTACGCGTGTGTATGTGTGTGTGTGTGTGTGTGTGTGTGAGAGAGAGAGAGAGAGAGAAAGAGCAACGTAGCCGTGTGCAGAAAATCAATAACTCTGTAATAGATTATAATAGTATGCGACCAGAATGTCGCTACAAAAATATTGAGAGGCTTCAGGAAAAATAAGGCGTTAACAATGCTACCTTAAGCACGCAGACAAGAAAAAAATAAACTAATCGAGTCTATAGTAGCCTGCCACGCGGGCTTCCATGTTGGATTTTCATATGCGAATACGGCAGCTGTGGACGCCTCGCGCGCTCTGGCTTTCTCGTTGGGTTGCGTTTTGCTCTCGTCCAAGAAAAGTAATCAAACAAGGATACGCGCACTTACCGTTTCGTCCGGTGCCCATAAGCTGGTCGAGCATAGCTCGCATCTGGTCGTGGGCTGTCATATTTGCAGCAGCCTCACCTCGACGGTAGGGCAGCAACGACGACAGACGATGACGTCTAGCACACTACGAACGATACTGACGACACGGCTGGACGAAGCGCACCGCCAGAGATTAGACCGCCGGCGCAACGTAGGAACGCAGATCAGCGACACACGCGCTGTTCTACCGAACTTCTGTCTGTTTTTGTATTTTCCTTTCAACGGCGCACTTGCTCTCTCTTACTCGATGTAATTTTCTTGCGTTATGCGTATTTGCGCTATTATGTTCGATTACTTGCTCTCTCTTGTTCGCTTTAATGTTCTCTGACCATAGATGCGCGTCTGTTTACACGGTGCGACTAATGTAGGTAACGTAAATTGCAGCTTAGCGTGACCAGCACTCGGTAAGTTAAAAATACCTATTTTCATTTCAGTTAATTTAATACAATATATTATATTATTTTGAAATTTACCTTTTACTATTATACTAAATTTACTTTTTATTATTAAAATTGCCCTTTAAAACTTTTGAGCCAAATGAAAATAATAAGAGTGATGATTTTACAATAATTACAGACTTCAAACAGTCCAATTGACAACTACGTTCGTAAGACATATATGTGTATGTGTATAAAATGTTGAAAATACGAGGGAAACGAAGTAAACAATTATTATGTGAAATTTCTTATTTCATTTATTTTTAGCAAAGTACAAAATATTTTTTGTTTGCTTAAGCTTTGAAGTTACAATTTAAAAATACGTAGTTTTAACAATAGGCGAGAAGAAGTGAAAATAGATGGATTAAGGAATATATTATTTAGAAAATTTATCGAATATACTCTATAAATTTCAATAATTTAATTAAGGCAACTTTGTTCTTTATAACTACACGCATCTCACATCTTTGCATTATATTAATATTATATTAAATATAATTATAATTTTTGATTCTATCGAAATACGTTTCTTTCTGAAAAGGCGAGGCGTGGAAGCAACAAGCGTTCTCGTAATTTTTCGATGATGCGTGGCATCATCGTGTAAATTCCTATCAAATAGGATTGCTCGCGCTCCGATAAATGATGAGTCACAATAACTTAAAAGGTAATTTATTTAATCCTACCCAGGACTAAGACTAGATAGCAAGTAATCAAAACTTTCAACTAGCTCGCGTATATGTTGAAATGCATACCGTATTTCATAATATTATTTACAATTGAATTCCATGATGTAGCAGAATGTTCGATTGTATATAAAACGTAAAAGATTCTTTTGCAGTGTTTGTCGGAAGGCCGTCGACTGACTCTAATTTCAAGGTGAAAAGATTCCTAGATACGAAGAGAAAGGTAATGAAAATCTATACGCACTGCAAATAATCGACCAAACAATTGACTTGGAAATGTCCGCGTCTCTATTGGTACAATCCCTATATATACAAGCTTGTTTACATTGTACAAGTCGCGTTATTATTTGTGCCGAGTGAAGTCGCATTTTTGGCGAGAACAATGAACGCAGATAAAATCGATGAACGCGGCGAGGGCCGCGCCGACTGGCGAATTTCGAGCGGATCCAACGAAACTGCGCGCTCGACAAAGCCGTAGAACACGATCTACGTGATTGCGAGGCTCAGAAGTGAAGCCGTCGTGAATGTGGCAGGCGCAACATGTACGAACGAACGTGTAGCTTCGGTCGGGTTGCGCGGGTCGTACAAGACAGGCAAGATGGTGTGGCGCCATTGCTAAAGCTTAGGCGTAGGCACGAGGTGGCAAGAGGAGCGAGGAGGCGGTCGCGGTAAGGAGTGCGGGGTGGGAGAGAATAAATAAGGCAGCACGTGCGGCGGCGGCGCATTAGAGCGCGGTCTCGAGGGCGGGCGCGCTGGGGCAGCGCGCGACCGCGACCTCCTCGGCGCCGTAGCCGAGGTCGGCGGGCTTGGTCCTCTGGGCGTCGCTCTGCCGCGGCGACTCGGACCTGGCGCGGAAGCGCTTGCCGAAGGGATCGGCGCCGGGCCGAGGGCCGGTCGGCCCGGAGCTGGCGAGGAACTGCGCCCTGGCCAGCTGGTTGCTGATCCGGCGGTGCTCGATGGCCTTGACGGGGTCGACCTCGGCCCGAGCGTCGATCAGCTGCAGCCGGTTCTCCAGCTCCTTCTCGCGCTTCTCCAGCGAGCGCTGCTGGCTCTTCAAGTCGTTGATGCGGTTCTTGAGGCGCTCGAAGTCGCCCGAGCCGAGGTCCAGCTGGCGCCGGGCGCCGAGCTCGGCCTCGGGCGACGGCTTCATGGCCTTCTCCTCGGCGGCGGCGTCCTCGACGATGGTCGAGGAAAGCACGTCGGTGCGCGGCGTTTGGAAGCGCCAGGCGGACCGCGGGCTGAGCACCTTGGCCAGCTGCTGCTGCTGCGAGGCGCTCTTCGTCGGCGTCTGCGGCGGCGCAGCCGCCGCCGCGGCCTGCTGCTCCTGGCACTGCTGCCGCGACAGCTTCAGCTGCTCGGCCGCGGACAGCCGCACGGGACCGGACTTGATGCTCTGCTGCAACAGCAGCCGCTTGAAGTCCATGCGCGAGGTGGCCGACAGCGGCGCGGTCGACGTCCTGGGGATCTGCGGCAGAGGAGGCCGAGGGGGCGGGTGAGAGCGGGCGGCGAGCGAGCGGCGAGCGCGCTCGGGGGGACCGACCTCCGGCAGCTTGTGGGACTCCGGGCTCCAGCTGTGCCTGGTCCCGACGAGCCGCTGGTGGTGGGCCCGCGGCGACAGCCGGCCGGGCTCGTCGCGGATGTTGAGCCGGCGCTTGGACTTGTGTATGGCGGCGAACAGCTCCTCGTTGGACATGCTGCTCTTGATGGGCGAGAGCAGGCCGTGGGGCTGGCCGGGCGGAGCGGCCGGTCGGTCGGCCACCAGCGGCGTGGACGCGCCGAAGCCGTTGGACCGCTCCGGGCCGATCGGCGACGGCGGCACGCCGGCGTCCTGGCCGGCCGAGGCGAGCAGTCGGTAGCCCAGGGCGGAAGCGCCAACCGGCGGGGCGAGCCTGCAACGAGGAGGCCGGCGATGACAGAGGCGTGCCGCGGGCGGCCCGCGGACGTGCGCTCACCTGCGGCGCTGTTGGGCGGCGAGCTCGCACTCCAGCTCGAAGCGCTCGAGCGGCCGGGCGCGGAGATCCGGGCGCGGCGCGCGGGCGCGCTGCTGGGCGGCGAGCATGTGTGCCGAGCTGAGCGGGCCGCGGGCCAGGCCCCTGGTTATGTCGGGGGTAACGCTCCTGGGCGGCTCGTGGGCGCCGTCGCGCTCCGGCCGGCGGCTCGGCAGCGTGTGGAACTGGGTCGGGCGCTCGTCGGGCTGTCGGCGCTGGGCACTGCTCGTGGGGCACTGCTCGTGGGGCTTGCGCACCCGCGGCGGGCCGACGTAGGGCGGCGGCTGCGGCTGCGACTGCGGCGGGCACGCTGCCGTCGAGACCTGCTCGTTCGGCTGCAGCGCCAGCAACGCTTGATCTGCAACCAAACCAAGGGATCGTCGGCTGAGCAGCGTCGGTGCGTGTCGCCCGTCCGCGCGCCCACCCGCTTGCGATCGTCGCTTTGAGAAATCGTCGGGACTGGGTTAATCGCTAGCTCGTGCTAGAGAGCGGCAGCTGCGCTCAAGCGGCAGGTTTTAGTGGCGCAAGCAGCTAGTTCTACGTGTGGTTAGTAGACGTGGCAAATGGCCGTGCGGCAGCGGGCGAGCGGGCCTTCGGCGGATCGGACGCATGCGGGCCGCTCGCCGAAGTCACGCTCGCGTCCGGCCGCCGGCCGAAATGAGATTGAAAATTAATTGATGTACTCACCGAGGACGTGGCATTCGACTATGGTAATTGATGAGAGCTAGGCTACGGAGACGCTGCGAGAGCACACACTGCTCGTCAGCTCAAGACAAATATTTGATCACGCGATCGTTCAGCGCACGCAATTCAAACCAACAAAGCCAAACAACATTCCGACTCATTAGCGTCTATGATTTGTTATAAAAAAATCAACAAACAAACAAACAAACAAACAAACAAACAAACAAACAAACACTGATATTAGCTGTGCAGCGTGCTCGATGGACGATGAGAGAAAAGTGCGGGAAATTAATAACAAACAATCAACCAATTGCGTGGATGCAACATAATATTTAATGCAAACAATCTATTCGCATACATGATTGCCGGTGCGATATCGAGAGATTCTTGAACGCAGTAATCGTCTAGCTAGGTGCATTGTCAGTGAGCTTCATCGGTAAACGACGGAGAAAAAAAAAATGATCGTCTATGTACAGCAGGAGAGGCACAAACAGTGAATAACAATAATAGCACGTAAGACGTGTACACTGTGCGCGACATGTGCAGCGAGCGCGCGAGTAACAAACACACGCAGGCGAGAAATAAAAATTGCCGTTAAGTCTGGATTAAAAGTAGTACGCGTGGCTTATATATGATACAATGAGCGTACGAATATGTTGGGCCTCGTTCGCGTTGTAAGCGCAAGCCTGTACTTAGCGCAGTCACTGTACGCTCTCGTGTGCTAGCAATAAATAAGTGACTCCCGCGTGTTGGTGCGCTTCCATCGTCGTCGTGAGTGCTGTTAAAACTGCCAGTTGTTAATGTGCCAACCAAGCCACAGTGGATTATTGTTCGCGGTGCGATAGTTAGTCGGCCGAGTGTAACATTGACAGCGCAGAGCACAACTTACAACGCGAGGAGGCCGAGAGGCAAAACGATACATATATTACAGTTAACACTAAAAACACGCGCGCACACACTCACATACTACGTCGTATTAATAATTTTACAATACTGTCTGCTATGGCTATGTACAATCAATCGAACGCTCGTTCGCCTTACTCTATAATACTAAGATGCTCCGCCAACTGCACTGACAGAGACTTGGAAGCGAAAGAAGATCAAACGGCGAAGATCATCGCGCAACGGCCAGTTTGATCGAGTCGCGGACAGCAGCAGCAGTGGCAGCGGTGGTAGCAGCAACTCCGTCTAACCGTCGGTGGGACGCGTTTCGTTCCGTTTGGCACCGTCCGCGAAAGCGCCGAGCCCCCTAATTGCCATGGTCTACGACATCGTCGCAGCCGCTGTCTTCGCTTATCTCTCCGCGGCCCGAAAAAGCTTCCACGTAGAGTTCTTTGACTATCGGCCGGTTGTTTTCTATTCTTTCCTCTTGGACGCACGACGATACGAGCCGCGAATAAAACGAAGCTGGCGAACGCTCGTTATCTGGTCAATTATGAAACGCCGGATAGCGAGGAGAAGCAAGAGCGCGATGCAGGACCGCGCGCCTAGGCGTCCCGGGGAAAATTGCCGGGGATCATGCGAGAGAGACTTACTGGGTCGACGCGTTGCCAGGAACAGGAGGTGCCTCGCCAACATGACGCCGGTGGCTGGCCGTGACGAGTGCCGCTGGAAAAACGGACGTCCGCGACGCGATATCTCGCGGCTGCGACTGGCTTCGCCTCGCGGGCGACCGAGTGTCTAGCTGCGGGATTCCCACCAGCGGCTCTCTCGCGCGCGATACGCGCGACCATCGTTTTCGCTTATCTCCGTGCCCCAAATGTTGCTCGAGCGGCCCTTTCCTCGCCCCGGCCTCCGCCCACCTTGCGTTGCCTTTCCATCGATTTTTCGCGCTGCCATCGCCACCCCCCCCCCCCCTGCTATTTACCGCCAGTCCTATTTACGCGGACGGCCGATGCGCCGAGATGGCATCGTCGGCCCGATAAACATTGTTTGCTTTTCAGTCTGACGCAACAATGCACGACTGTTGAGCGATGCTCGCTTGTTTGCATCGGCCAGATTGCCGCCGCGGCCTTTTCCACCGGACGACTTTCGACAAAGGAACGAAGACTCGACCGCTTCCTCGTGACACGCTCGTGCTCCCTTTCCCTCCCACCCTTGCTCGCTCGCTCTATCTCTTTCTACCTCTCTCCCTCTTACGCATGGATTACGCGCCACTGCCAGGCTCGATAAACTTGGGGGAACGACCCCGATAAGAATTACCCCATTATTGTTTTCGACGTCATCGGCCAGTTTTCCGAAACGATGGGTTTTCCTCGCTTCGCTATCGCCGTTTATCGGCCCGAGATTTCGCAATCAACGCACCGCGCGGAATCGTCAGCCAATTAATGGTCGTATCGGAGTCGGGACGAGCATCGCGCCAATCTGGCCTGATTGTCGCTGGCGTCCTTCGGCGGAGTGACGCTCGCTGGCCCGATTGGCGTGGATCGAACGTCTAATTAGATAAGCCGCCGATCCGCGCTGCACCGCTCGCTCTCGACGAGAGCTCGGCGTGCCCCGAACGCGCGCGCATCGCTCGACGACTCGACGGCTATCCGTCGCCGATTGATTTCTCCGCTTGTCCGTCGAACGGACAGGAGGTGTGGCTGGCCAAGCGCTGTGGCGCCGAAAGGGAGCCGAACGACGACCGGCGATAGCTTATCGCGGACACCTTGCTTACTTTCCCAACCAAGCACGACAGTGCGCGCCGCGTCCAATGCGAGGCTATCGTCGCCGCTCTCGCATCGGGCCGTATAGACCGCGATCGCGAGCAATCGGTTGCCGCGTCGGATGGACAGGTGGCGCACACTGTGGTATTATAGTAAAATATCAAAAAATTATATTCAAAATGAAATATCTCAACTTAGAATTGACGGATTTTGATAAAATCGATTTCAATGTAAAGCTAATTACTTATAGAATACAGGAAAACCTACAACGAGTGTCGAAATAGATTTCCTATCCTTCAAAAAGTTCGTGGAAATGCAAAATTTTTTGAGGCTGTAGATCTTAGTAAAAATTAAAAATAATTGTTTTTAATAAGAAAATATAAGTTTAAAGATAATTTACTGAATAAATAGAAGTTGAAATTCATCATATATTTTTATAGAATTTTTAAGTACTTTAAACACCCAGAAGTATAATTAAAAGTTCAATACTGTGATTTCCTTTGTGTGGCTTATTAAATACTTTTCAACTATCGGCCAAATAGAATTTTCATATTTAAATACAATTTTACCACCAAGAATTTGTTATTACCTGACATTTGATGAATTTCAACTTCTATTTATTCAGTAAATTATCTTTAAACTTATATTTTCTTATTAAAAACAATTATTTTTAATTTTTACTCTAAAGATCTACAGTCTCAAAAAATTTTGCATTTCCACGAACTTTTTGAAGGATAGGAAATCTATTTCGACACTCGTTGTAGGTTTTCCTGTATTCTATAAGTAATTAGCTTTACATTGAAATCGATTTTATCAAAATCCGTCAATTCTAAGTTGAGATATTTCATTTTGAATATAATTTTTTGATGTTTGAATATAATACAACAGTGTGTGGCGCGTGCGGGCTGGCGCGGCATGCCGTGGCGGACTCGGGTGGCTCTCACCAGATGTCGGCGTCGAGGCCCGAGCACTTGAGCACCCGCGCGGGCTCGAGATCTACGGCCCGGGGCCGCGGGCTCCGCGGCAGGCTGGCGGCAGCCGCCAGCTCGTCCACGCTCGCGAGGCCGGCGTCCGGCTCGGGGCTCGCCACCGTCTCCGGGTAGTTGATGCGCTCGCGCAGCAGCTCCTCGCGCAGCTCCTCCGAGGCGCTGCGCTGCATGGCCCGGGCGGGCTTGTCGGCGCCGGCTGTCGAGCCGAGCTTGCGGATGAACGTCATCGGGCTGTTGGCCATGCGGTAGCTCTCGCTGCGCCGCAGCCGGCGCTCGACCGCCGTCTCGTTGGCCGCGGAGGCGCTGTTCTCCTTGTCGCGACACGCGTCCACGCCGGGCCCGTCGGCCGACAGCCGGCGCGCCAGCTTGGGCGTGTTGCCGCTGACGCGCAGGCTCGCGGGTACGAGGCTGCCCCTGTCCGCGCTCGGCAGTCGCTGCTGCTGCTGCTGCTTAGCGCTGGCGGGCAGCTTGCCCTCGAGCGAGTCGCTGGGCTTGGACCGGAGCCGCGGGCGCGGCTCGCTCGGCACGTTGGCTGCCCACCTCTTGGCGGCGCCGTTGCGAAGCTCGCGCAGTTTGGCCACGCGCGGGTCTAGCTTGCTCGAGGCGGGCTTGAGCCTGCCGTTGCGCGCTCGCCCCGTCTTACCTTCGCCGCTGCCCTCGCCGCCCTGCACGTTCACGTAGGCGCCGTGTCGCAGCGTCTGTCGGCTCGGCGCGATGCTTGTCGCAGCAGTCGCCGCCGCCGCCGCCGTCGTCGTCGGACCGACCACCCTCATTGGTATTCTCACGTAGTCCGGACTGGCCGCGCGCTCCGGAGATTTGGCCGCACGAATAATCACTTTGCCGGGTTGCTGCGAAGCTGGGGATGGCGTCGTGGCTGACTCGAATGGAGTGCCCGATTCGCCGTCCACCGTGTCGACTGCGCCCGTTCGAGTCACTGCTCGCGGAGTGATGTTCGCTCTACGAAGTAGTGGCGACTGAGCTGGCGATGAGCTGGCTTCTTTCACGAAAGGTCCTAGAAATCCAATGCACAAACGATTGTTTCACAGCTGACGAAGGCGCAGCGTTACGTTGGCAACTCGACTAACCCGGAATAAATGTCGTGTGCGCTCCCTTCCTCCTTTTTAGACTGTCGGATGAGTAAACGACCTTGCCATCGGAATCGAGAGTCACCCGGGCGCCCTGTCTACGCCTTTCCAGCGAGGAATCGGCTTTCTTGGGCAGCTCGCTCAAGCTCACGTATTCGGCGTCTCTTCTGAAGAGATCGGCGTTGGCGTAGGTGACCGGCGCGTTCGGCTTGACGGGCGTGCCATTGATCGCATTATCTTGACGCCTCCTGCTGCTACTCCTCACGTCGGCTATAGTCACGTAGTCACCGAAGTCCGGCTGCGCGGCCTGCTGAGGCCGATTGTCGTCTTGGTAGGTCTTGTGCTGGTGCTGCTGCTTCCAGCCGGGCAGAACGCCACGCAGTCTTTCGAGCACGCCGCTCAGCGGGCTAGTTTTGTTCGGGTTCTGCGCAGCGGCTGCAAAGCGAGAGAGTCCGATTAGCCAACCGAGAGACAAGCGGCGGTCGACGAAGCATCAGGACGCTCACATTTGTCGGCGCTGTACGCTTGACTAGACGTCGTGACGGTCTGCACCGTGGCGTAAAGATTCTTGTCCTGGCCGTTGATCACCTCCATCTTGGAGCTGCCTACTGTGGCGGACATGAGCACGGAGCCGGCCGCGGGCGCGCTGCCGTTGGCCTGCCTCGGCTTTTGCTTGCGCTCGGCCTTGCAGACGGCCTCGCCGACGTGGGCGTGCTCGTCGTCCGAGTTGGACGGCGTGATCACGCACATGGAGGGTATGCGGCTGGTGTTGATGGCGGTCTTAGAACGGATGCGCTCGATGCGGTCGCAGCCCTCGAGGTCCGAGGACTCCGAGTACTCGAACTCGGAGCAGGAGCGGCCCGTACAGGCCGGGCTGGAGGCCGACTCGACCGGCGAGGACGAGGTGTTGTGGCCGCTGTCGGGCGACTCGCCGCCGTCCTGCTTCTGCGCGGCCCCTCCGTGCACCTGACGAAGCGAGAACGCAGCGATGAGCAGCGCCGTCGGCCAGCGTACCATGCGACCACCACGTACCGTAGCGACAACGGCGAGGCTGGACTTCCTCTCGGGTGGCGGGGGCGCCATGAGGGTCGTGCACACGGTACCGGCCGAGCTGGTAGTGGTGGAAGTGGAGCCCCTGCCGTAGAGCTCGTACTCGTTCTCGGCGAGGGGCGAGGTGGCCTCGGTCTGCAGCTCGTTGGAGCGCGTCAGCGGGCTTTGCGGCTGCGCCAGCGGCTCCTCCTCGCGCAGGGTCTTCAGGCCCGAGTCCACGTGGAAGGAGGTGTAGTAGCCCTCGGTGTCGCAGGAGTACACCGACGAGGTCTCGCCGTCGTCGGAGAACGGCAGCGCGCTGATGTCCTGGATGATGTCGGGCGTGAGGGTGCCCTCGGAGGTGACCGACGACGAGGCCGAGGTGTCGCGGCAGCCCTTCAGCCGCCTAACATGCGACAGCGAGGTGGACGAGGTGCCGATCGAGGCCGTGGTCGTGGATCTGCAAGCAGCCGGGAGGCGATACAGTGGACGTCTCCTGCGGCGCGCACGCGCCGAGCGCTTACCTGGGCGGGTGGGTGGTACTGGTGGTCTCGCTGCCGATGCTCGCGCGGCCGCTCTCCGAGGAGGCGCTCCAGTTGCCCGAGCTCGAGTGCGGCGGCTCGTCTGCCCTGGCTTTCCGCCTCTCGCGCCGCTCGGCCGCGCTCTCCCGCAGCCGCACGCTGTCGCGCGACTTCGAGCCGCCGCAGCCGCCACCGTCGTTGCTGCCGGCGCCACCACTCGCCACCTGCTGCTGCTGTTGCTGCTGCTGCTGATGATGATGGCGCGACGGCTGCGGTTGCTGACGATCCCGGGGCTGCTGCTGCGCGGCCAGCGCGTCCGCGGCCTCGCGTCGCTCGCCGGGCGCCTCGCCGCTGGCCAGCTGCGTCCGGGCGCTCGAGCTCGAGCTCTTGCCGCTGGAGCTGGACGAGCTGGGCTTCCGCTCGTGCGCCTTGCCGGACTCGCGCCTAGAGCGGCGCGCGGCGACGAGCGGGCCGTCGTCCAGCGATTCGTCTCTCGGCGCCTCGGCACCGCCGCCGGCGGCCAGCGAGCCGCTCGACCCGCGGCTGTGCCGCGCGGACTTGGGACTGATGAGCCGCAGCCGCGAGCGGCCCCAGGCCTTGAGCGTGTCGAAGTGCGACCGCTTGCCGGGCGGCGGCGAGCGCTTCTCGCTGTCGAGCAGGTCGATGCTGGCCGAGCGCTGCGCCTCGCCGGCCTCGGCGCCCTGCCTGCAAGCAGCACGAGCGCGTGAGTGGGGCGGACTCCGGGGACGCGCCGTGCGGGCCGCTCGTACCCGTCCACCGCCTGGCGGATCTCCTTGTGGTCGGTGCCGGCGATGGTGTTGCGCCGCTTGCCGCGGGCCCTGCGCGGCCGGGAGCGCCGCCGCACCGGCGCCGCCGCCGTCTGGTCCGCCTGGCGCGCCGACTGCTGCTGCTGCTGCTGCTGCTGGAGCGAGCGACGCCGCGTGGACATGCGGTGGAAGCCGCGGCCGCTGACGTCCACGGCCACGAGCTCGGCGGGGAACCTGAGCGCGACGACCTGCAGCTGCTCCTCGGGGCTGGGCAGCTTGTGGTCGACGGGCTCCGAGTCGTCGTGGCTGGCCTCGCCACCAAGGATGCGCGAGGCGCAGTCCGGCGCCACCGTCACGTCGCCCAGCGCCTCCGCCGAGGTCCACCTGCGCAGCTGCTCCACCGCCCGCGGCTGCGAACCGGCCAACGGGCAGAGCGTGAGCCGCGTGCCTTCCTGAAAGCCGAGCCGCCGCGGCCGCGCGGAAAAGTCCGGCCGTTCTGGCCGTCGGTTCTCCGGTTACCCGCGGCCGCCGCGACTCGGTGTCAGCCGCGGCGGCCCGATTCGGCGCGGGTCGGGCCCGCCGCGCGGGAGCCGCGGAGGCTCGGCGAAACCTGTTTGCGCGGCGGGGCCACGACGGGCCGCGGGAGCGCGAGGGGGATCGGCGCCGGGAATTCGGCCGAGACGCGAGGCAAGTGCGCGCGCTCGGCGCAGTGACGCAACCGCTCGGGCCGAGCCGAGGATAGGTACGAAGGGGACTCTCCTGTCGCTCCGTGCGTGTGTGCGTGTGTGTTGTGTGTGCGCGCGCGCGCGCGCGGGGCTCGGAGAGAGCGAGCGCCTGGAATTCCGGCGTTGCCAGATTTGCTCTCTCGGGCTGGGATGCTGCGCCGAGCGCGCACGAGCCCGTGACTCAGCTTTGTTTGTCAACACGCGGCGGTGGCGACGGTGGCGGCGGCGACGACGAAGACGGCCGAAAGTCGGAGCAGCGTCGTTACCCTTCGGGCCTCGATGTCGAGGCTCTGGTCGCGCCTGCGGCGCCTGCTCGTCACGGGGCTGCAGATGAACAGGTCGCTGGCCAGCCGGTCCCTCCTCAGCGCGTCCAGGCTGCGCAGGTCGATGCTGGCCGCGGCCACCGCCTCGTACATGCGGCGCAGCGCCGCCGGCCGCGTCTCCAGCGTGAACAGCCGCGACGGCGAGCGCTGACGTCCGCGCGACCGGAAGTGCAGCCTCCTCGCCGCGAACGTGCAGATGTCCGACTCGGCTGCAATCAGAGCAAAGGCCGCGGCGGGTCAGCGTCGGCCGCGAGCCAAGGCCGAGCCGGCCGCCGTGGGAACGCCGGCTCGCGCGCCACGGCTGCGGGCCCCGGCTTTTCCAATCGGAGAGCCAGGGCCGCAGCGCGAGAGGCGCGGGGAGAGAGAGCGAGAGAGCGAGAGCCAGCCCATCATTTGGTTAATGGCAGCGCCGTCTCCCGATAATGTCCGAGGCCTCGGCACTGGCGGCGCGGCGCTTTGTTGGAAGCAGACCGCTCCTTTGTACCTGCGAGGCCGCGGCGTACAAAGGGACGGGGGGCCATCTGCCGCTGCGCGCGCGTATCTCGACCTTTCCACCGAGGAGCCAGCTCTAATTTTAGCCGGCGCACGACGGGCTGGGGCCCCGCCGCCGGTCGGCGGAGTCGCGCGCCGCGGGCTGAAAGCGAGCGGCAAACTCGCGATCCGATTGCACGTGCTGCTGCTGCTGCTGCTGCTGCTGCTCGCAACCCGATAGCCCCGTTGCGGTCGCGCGCTCGCGCCACGGCGATACGCGCCTTGGCTTCCATCGCGCGGCCAATTTGCACCGAGAGCCAGCTGACGCGAGCAGATAGCGGCCTGGCCGAGCGCTCGTATCTCGAAGATCCACGCGCGTCGGAGATAAAACACGTCGCGGCGCGGAGTCGCCGGCTTACGAGGCGACGAGTGGACCGCGCCGTCGACGGCGAGGGTGCGTCACGAGGCCCCGAGGAGTGGGAGGCGGGGGAGGCGACGGGCAGGCAGCCTCGCCTGATTCGCCGCTTCCGGCTCGCCGCAAGACAGTGCGGGCTCGTTGTCCGTCAATTAGCCGCGGCGCGAGAGAGCAGCGCTGGCAACGCCGCGAGCGCGCGGCCGTTAACTCTCGCGACCAGTCGAAATGAGCCGCAGTGCCTCGCCGCTCGCGCCTGCACTGGCAGCGGGAGCGAAAGAGAGAGAGAGAGAGAGCGCGGTGGCGAAAAAAGCTCGATAAAAATGCCGCGGCTTTGGAGGCCTTCCAGACCCGGCGGAGCGGCGCCGCGCGAGCGCGCGGAAAATCGCCGCCGCGCTGCGCGGCTCGTCCTCGCGGGGCTTCCCGGCGGCGCGCGCGCGACGCCAAAAAACGCCCGCTTTCCCCGCGTCGCAACCGGTTGGCCGGCTGCGAGCCGCAAGCTCCATAACTGGCTGCGGCGCAGATCGATCTTCGTCGTGCCGTCGCATCTAATGCCGACGCCTCGGAGCATTGCACTCGGTCGAGTTGCTCTCTCTCTCTCGCTCTCCAAACCAGTGGTTGGCCTCGACGTTCGACATTCGGCTCGTAATGGCCGCTACGTGCCGCGCTCGGTGGGGCTAGGGGAACGAGCGGCGCTTCCGGTCCTGGCTGATCCGAGGCAACCCCCGAGATAACGCGGACCAGCCGGGAAGGGGGTCGCGCCCAAAAAAAACGAAGCAGCAGCCTCGCGCCAACCGACGGGCGCGCCAGCGCGACGCTCTCCTGGCGGCGTCTCGCGCGCGCCATACATGGTCCGCTCGGCGGCTCTTTGCGCGCCGCAGGCCTTCCGGCCGATCGAATCCGGCTACTGCAGCGAGGACCCGAGGCGTCAAGTGCGCCAGCTGCCGGCAGTCGCCACTCGACGCCGCGAAAGGATGCGGCGCATCCGAGAGCAGCGGGGGAGCGCTCGGCCGGACAATGGCCCGTAACCCGCCGCCCTCGCGAGATCGGCTCTCTCCGATCTGCCTCGCGGTTCCGGTCGTCGGAATCCGGCACGCGCCCTTCCGCCTCGCTCCGCGCGAGACGCGACCAAATATAGCCGAGGCGGGCGCTCCCCGTTTTAATTTTAGAGAGCGGCCACGTGGCCACCCTCGGCGGCGCACTCCAAGGCGAGCCGTTGCGCTGGAGACTCCAGCCGCCGCAGCTGTCGATCCTCCCCCCAACAGACAGACCCGCGAACTCCGGGCGAAAGCTTCGGCTTGCCGTTCCGTCGCTTGCGCGGACGGCCAACGGAGCGGGTCGTCGTAAGTGCAGCGCCAGCTCTGACTGCGCGAAGGCAAAAAAAAAAAAAAACAACGAGCAAATACATAACATTCGCGCTCGCGACGACGTTCCGGGCTCGGCGAGCTTCTCGCTTTGACGACGCCCGCTCATTATTTCCGAGAAGCGCGCGCGGCTTCGATTCCGACTGAACGGCCGCCTTTGTTGCTCGCGTCGGCGCCCACCGAGCAGCGCCGAGGCCAACTTCCAGGCCGCTACGTCGCTCGTGGCTGGAAGCGCTCCATTGAGTCGGAGGAAGCATATGTCGCTCGTGCGGTTTCCGAGAGGATGTCCGAAAATTACCGAGGCGATTCATCTCCGAATCCGGCGGGGCTCCGAGCAGCAGTGAAAGCTCCGGCCCCCGCCGACGGGTTCCGTTTGTCGCGCGTTTCGCTTTCAATTAGCCCGTGCGCGGCTCTCCTCCCCGAGCCGCGCGCCGAGCTACGCGTCCACACGGCGATTCGCAGAAGAGAAAGTCGGCAGGCGGCAATCGGACACCGTCGGCGGCCCACACCGCGCTCGGCGTTTTCTCTCTCTTCTTCGACTGCAGCCCGCTCCCGTCCGGTCGCTCGTAGCCGGCCTATCGCGCGCGCTCGTTACGCTCAGCTGTGCGACCCCATCGCCGCCGCCGCCGCCGCCGCCTGCCTGCACCCCTCGGCGGCAGCTACGGCTGCGACTGGCTGAAGCCTCAGCTGTTGGCAGCCGAGAAGCCTCGCAAGCCTCGATTCCATTCCTATCCGCCCTTCCCCCTTTCGTTTTTCCCTACTTCTTCCTCGCGACTCGTTATCGTCTCACGACGACGCTACTCTACATGGCTGCGAGTGTCCGACCGGTGAGCGCGCGGACTGCGACGCTCCGCGCCGACTGCAGAGAGCATTATGACCGAGGCTTTTTTGCTCGACGGCGCGCGACCATAGAAAAACGAAGGCGACGCGCAGCCTCTCTTCTTTCCCTTTCTTCCCTTTGCCGTCGCCGTTGCCTCCTCCTCCTCCTCCTCCTCCTGCTAGCTCGTCGATTTTTACTGGCATTGTGGAAAGACCGCACTCGACTCGCCGCGCGACCAAGCCGACGAGAAAATCAACCTACGCGCGCGCGCTTGCTCGCTTCAAAGAACCTGACGAGACTGCCACGGCGCAAAGAGAAAGAGAGAGAGAGAGAGAGAGAGAGAGTCGAAGACACAACAAGCTCGTTCCAGGAATCCGCGCATTTGACTTTGTACGCCTCGACACTTATAGCGGTCTCTCCGCTCGCGCGATCGTCCGCACCCGAGCGCTTATTTCTCCGACCGCGCGTCCTCGTCCAGCTCCCGCTCGAGCACTAATCGGACACCGTTGGGTGCGCACACGCGCTGCCCACGCTCGGATCGCGGCGCGTTGCTGCGCTCCGAACCGTCAACGGCTATTCCGCCCAACGGAAGTTGCAGCAAAGCACGTAGCCTACTTTCGTCGCCTCGAAAAATAATAAACGCGCGCGCGAGCAGCTGCGAAATTCGGTACCTGGGAGCATTCGACGGCGAGAGAGAAAGCGCACGAACCGACAAACGGGCCTCGGCTGGGATTAAAACCGAGCATCTCGCGTATTGCGCGCACGCTCTCGCACAAACACCAGCGAGTGCTCGCGCGCGCGCACACACACACGTACGCACTCGGCCATGGTTGCGCGAAGCGCTATGCTGCTTTCCCACGGCACGCGGTTGCAGGTACGGAGCGCGCCGGGTGCGAAAAAGCCCACTGCCGATCAAACATCCCCGACCCCGCGATCGTTCAATATTTGACCTGCACTCGCTGTCGCGCCGCGGGCCCTCCGACGCGTCGTGCCACGGCAAACATTTTTTCCGACACACCTGTTGATGAGATAAGCGCTCTCGCAGCGGGATAGATAATCCGCCGCTCGCCACCACGCAAGTCCAAGGCCGGACAAAGGCGGAGACAAAGAGGCGGGCGGCAAGATAGGCATACTCACGAACTGGAATCTTCTTGGGGTCCTGCGCAGCGAGGCGCTCCTCGAGACCGCTGATCTGGCCGCGCAAGCGGTCACTGCGCTCGGCTATGCCGGCCAACTGGTGCGTCAGTTCGCCGAACACGTCCTCCGCAGCACCCAGTAACGAGGCCAGCTGCCTTAGCAAGGCCGCGAGCGTGCCGTTGGCCACAGCTTCCAGCTCGGCGCCCACCGGCCAGTTGGCCGTACCCGCGGGCACGTGGCCCCGGCACACGAACCGCGGCTCCAGCTTCCTCGCGACGAACGGCATCCTTGCTGTTCGCAATCAGTCGGTGCACTTTCGCGTATGACCGGCCACACTCGGGCCCTCGAGACGGCCCATCTTCACTCGCGAGCCGCGGCAACGGCGCAACGATGACACAACGCACTCAAACTCAACTCGGCTGACACTCCAACGCCAACCAACATACGCTACTGTCGGCGGTCATGCGCCAAATGCTGCCGCCGCCGGCCGGCTGTCCAATGTAGCCCGCAGCCGCCTTTTTCTCTCTCTCTCTCTCTCTCTCTCTCTCTCTCTCTCTCTCTCTCTTTCTCTTTCGGGCTGAGGCACGAAGCTTATTTGAACGGACCAATCGCGACTCGAAGCCGAAGCAACGAGCAGACCATCGTCTCCATGACCAGACCCTACTTGTGACATCTATTAGACGATCTTCTACTCGCCACCCGTCGATAAAAAGGGCTTCTTGACTACCACTGATCGTTTTTCTCAAGCTCGATTGCTATAGATGACAACCCGGCCTATCTACGGTAAATTAGTTTAGTTTGATTGTGGGTCTTATTATTACCGCCACCAGGGGAGACTCTATGTCAGTGCTGAGAATCCGATCATTCTCTCGCAAAAGCAAACTTATAAGTATAGTCGTGGCGTTTCTAGATTTTCTTTGTACCCGTGACCGTCGTTTGTTTTGATTCCACGCTTCTACGATCCCCTTCATTTTTACATTTTCAAGCCGAGCCTTCGCTACGCACTAGATACTTTGCTTGAAGCTTCAATAAATAGCGAAGAATTTTTATAATAATTAAAGTGTAGTCAAAAGTAAGAAGATTATTTATTAAATCATTGGAAAACGGAAAAGCTGTAGTTGGTTTAGTAAATATAACCTCTTTTTTACATTCAGATATGTATACTTTTTTATTCAATTTTATTTAATCACATCAGCTGGTTGATCAGATACTTTGTTTAAAATTTTATTTTAGAGGTAGACTGAAATAAAAATGATAACAACTGATTCCTGCTGTTTTCTAAGATCAGTATATATTTGAAGGAATTTATTCCAATTAATCAGGTAAGACATTAGTTCATCATCAAGATAGATCTATATTTATATTAAATAAGTCTTTCATGACAAAAGGTGCTCTGTACAGATGCTACGTTCATCAAAGATGAATACAAAAAGGCACTCCTAATGTGATAACTGCAGGAGCGAACAACAGTAAAGCTTCATTTGCTTCATGAAAAACTCAGTCTGCAAGTAGTAATCTGTAAATATATATTAATTGTCTATGATGGCGGATTAGATTATGTGTTTACATTTCGAAGATCTTCCAATGTTGGAGTTACATCTTGAGTCTGTATTTTATGAGTTCTTGATGCAGTAGAAGATGCCAGGAAGAAAAAAATATTAAATCATTTATTAGAGATGTCAAAATTTTTTTCTAAAAAGAAGATAACCTTAACGTACTTACCTAAGATGAACCATATAAATTAATAATTTTATACAAACTTTTACTGAGATACATAAATAATCATTGACATTGTTCAATTTTCATTTAAACATCTATCAGTGGGCCATTCAAATATAGATTTACCAAAGTGGTTTTGTAGAGGAACTGTTGTTGATGTCTGTTCAGCTGAACAAGTAACGAACTAGTAACGAACAAGTAATCTCTAATAAATGATTTAATATTTTTTTCTTCCTGGCATCTTCTACTGCATCAAGAACTCATAAAATACAGACTCAAGATGTAACTCCAACATTGGAAGATCTTCGAAATGTAAACACATAATCTAATCCGCCATCATAGACAATTAATATATATTTACAGATTACTACTTGCAGACTGAGTTTTTCATGAAGCAAATGAAGCTTTACTGTTGTTCGCTCCTGCAGTTATCACATTAGGAGTGCCTTTTTGTATTCATCTTTGATGAACGTAGCACCTGTACAGAGCACCTTTTGTCATGAAAGACTTATTTAATATAAATATAGATCTATCTTGATGATGAACTAATGTCTTACCTGATTAATTGGAATAAATTCCTTCAAATATATACTGATCTTAGAAAACAGCAGGAATCAGTTGTTATCATTTTTATTTCAGTCTACCTCTAAAATAAAATTTTAAACAAAGTATCTGATCAACCAGCTGATGTGATTAAATAAAATTGAATAAAAAAGTATACATATCTGAATGTAAAAAAGAGGTTATATTTACTAAACCAACTACAGCTTTTCCGTTTTCCAATGATTTAATAAATAATCTTCTTACTTTTGACTGCACTTTAATTATTATAAAAATTCTTCGCTATTTATTGAAGCTTCAAGCATAGTATCCAGTGCGTAGCGAAGGCTCGGCTTAAAAATGTAAAAACGAAGGGGATCGTAGAAGCGTGAAATCAAATCAAACGACGGTCACGGGTACAAAGAAAATCTAGAAACGCTATGACTATACTTTTCTAAGTTTGCCTTTGCGAGAGAATGGTCGGATTCTCAGCACTGCTCTATGTGCTATATCTTGAACGTATGGGCAAACTTAAATTCTATGTGCATGGATTTAGTGATAAAAATAATAGATTAGAAGAAATGAAACGCACGATTAACTCTAATGTGTAAATATTGTACCTTGTTTTCCTAAAATTTAATTACAAAAAACATAAACCACCGAATTATTTATTTATATATATGGTGAGTAAGCCGCTGACTATGGACGCGTACAATTGATTCGGGGAATATAATTTGGCACAATAATTGATATGGCGGCACTCGAGTTTCGTATCATCATTTTACCATTTCTTATTAATTGTATTAATTGAATATTGACTCCTTGCTTCTCGATTCACAATAGTAATTTAAATAAGTGAATTATTGTTTGTCACCGTGAGTATTTTTCATTTGTCCGATTAGAATAACTTTGATTCCAATGAATATTGCAAAAAAAAACGTGATCCACGAAAACAGCGAACAATTGAGGTACCCATATAGCACCTATGCTTGCGATCAATATTTGTTTCAATTTTCAAAGAACGATATAACAAATTTGCAGCAAATAATGAAAAGAGGCCTCTTCATTTGTCTTCTTTCTACGTACTAATACAATCGGTTTAGCTTCGTCAGCTGCCAAATTACAGCGTGACTTGCAATCTCGTGAGCCATTGTCCTGTAATTGTATTGTATTACATTATAATAAATTGCTTGCCCCAAACGATGATTACATACTATATACAGATATCCAATACGTAAAGAACAAAAGAATATTAGATCCTTCTATTTTTTACAAGTAAAGTTCATGTTGGAATTCAACGTTGCTATGCACTTTCACAAACACATGTACAACAGAAGTCGCGAAGACGAGCGAGCAGAGATGCAGATCTAACCCTGCAATTTCTCTTTTTTTACGACACCCTTCCGGCCACTTAGGAGGCCCATCGATCTTTAAGGCTAGTTATTCGGTTTGACGCTGCCTGTCGAAGCAGAAGCATCGAGCCGAGCAACTGGACTTGTTACAGATAGCAGACTTATAGTGCGTTTGCATTTGTATTCTGTAAAAGACTTTGAAGTAACTTGTAATTCAAGTGTGAATGAATAAACATTTATAACAAAATCCTACAGTTCATCATCTTTGTTATATACTGTTTATGTTAATTCGCAGAGCCGAGTTTCTCAACGACAATAGTGTTCACGTAAAGAATACCGTTAAACTTGTTCAATGAGAAACACCTATTATGGACTGCGCACGATTATTTTGGCCAGAGATGACACCAGTATAAATATTCAACAGGCTATTCTATTCAATTGCTTAATTCCGAATTAAAAAGAATGTGATGAGCTCAGCTTACACGTTTTTTTAAAAAAGGAAGTGTAAAAGAATTCGGAAGAAATGAAAGATATTGTCTATAATATCTTCTACTGTTAACGTAAACTGTGGCAAGGATAATGTAAAAAACTCAAACGAGATATAAATGTACATGTTTTTTTATTTTGTGACAACGAATTCTCACTGATACCAAACAAATTCAGTATCCGAATATATATTTATATAATATAAATTGGCGTTTTTTTTCGATTTTATTAAATACACGTGTATTATTACAAAAAAAGAGAAAAAATCATGATAACTTCGTTGGCAAATCAAAAATACACTTGGCAAATTTACAGTAAATGTTGATAAGATGTAAAGATAACTAGTAATGATGATGATGATAATAATAATAATAATAGTAATAATAATAATAATAATCATAATGATAATCATAATGATAATCATAATAATCAATAATAGTAATCAATGATAATAGTTCATTCATGAATATCGTATAAATCAAATATACTTTCGTTCTACCCTTTGCCAATGACTCGATAAGACCCTTTTTACATAACTAGAAAAATTCGGAACATCGTTTCCACATTGATTACCATAGATTTGTCGTAATATCATTGCATACCAATCATTCATTCGTTCTCTTTCTTTCACTCTCATCCTTGCGATGTCTCCAATCATAAAAGACCGACAGTGTTGTATCAAATAAAATGTTTTTATAATTTTCGATAAAATCTCTCGTCATCGTGTAGTCCGGCACGTAAAAAGGAAGAAGAACAAAAAAGAAACAATAAAAGAAGACGTCAAATAAAAGAAAAAACCAAAAAAGAAACGAAATGTTGTGAATGTTCTTTTTCGATTGTATTTGGATTGGCAGACATACTACATAAGCGGCTGCCGCTCGCTAGACTAGAGATTTCACTGCATATTATTGCGCGCTTTCAGTAACACATTTCCCGCTCTCTATCTGTCCATCTGCATGAAACCGTTGCTTAAAAACTCGCTCGCTCTCTTTCACGCTCTCTATCGCTCGTTACACATTATATTCATCGAAATCTAATAGTTTCTCCTTTATTATCAAGTCGAGTCAGCTATTTAATTATATAAAAAGGAAAGATTGGGCGTCACGGTGTGCGTTCAACGGTTCGAATGTAAATAGCTGTGACGGTTGGCTGGCTGTTGTCGGTCACTCGGCGAGTCGCGTACATCGTACGTCTTTTAAGGCACGGCCTTTCACGCAGGAAAGAGCCTCTCGACTATGCGTTGAAAAAATAAAGCGGCTCGGTAGGATAGAAGCGCGAATCGTATGGTCGCCCATCACCCCGGCGGTGACGGCGCGCCGTCTCGACGCCGACGACTCAACTCGCGCCCGCGAGGACTCGCCACGCGCAATCTCTTTGGTTGATGCGGACAGCGACACTCGAGTCAGCGCAGTGTGCATCTGCATTCGTGGACAGTCGGTGTGCGCGCTCGTGCGTTCGCGGTAGATACAATTTCGCCGGCGCACCGGGCGGAAGGAATACCGGGTCTCCCCAACGATCTACATCTAGTGAGGCACGCTGCGCGCACACTGGTCGGTGGCGCAGTTTAGCATCGGACATTCGCTCGGCTCTCACTTGCACTCTCGCATACGGACGCAGGCGTAAGCTGTACAAAAAGACGGAGAAGCCGAGCGCTCGCGCTCGTCGGCGCGGCTTTGGCACGGGCGAGCTCGACCGGCGGCGCGTGCCTCTTCAGGATCGGTAGATGCGAATGACATCGCGGATCTGCGCCCTGCACAGCGGGCAGTGGCCGCCACCCTTGCCGCGCCACTGCTGGATGGCGCAGGTGTAGCACATGCACATGTGGCCGCACATGTAGAGCACGCTGTCGATGCCGCGCTCGTAGCAGATGGAGCACTCGCTGGGCTGGCCGGCCATGGGCTGCAGGCCCTCGCGCCACTGCTGAAGGTGTGCCGGGGCGGCGGAGGCCGGCGCGGCCGCGGGGCTGGCCGCCTCGAAGGCGCCCAGCGGCTCCGCGTAGGCGGAGGCGGCACCGTCGGCGGCCGGCCGGGCGGCGCGCCGCGCGTGCCCGTAGAGGCCCTCGGCCGCGGCCGCGTAGCCGGTCTGCGGTGGCAGGCTGACGACCAGCACGGTGCCGCCACCGGCCGCGGGCTTCACCTGCATCTCGAAGCGCGAGTGCTCGGCGGGCGGCAGGGCGGCCGCGGGCAGCGCGGCGGGCGCGGGCAGCGGGGCGGGGGGCGCCGGCTGGGCCGGGCGCTGCGCCCGCGGCGGCGAGCCCGGGCCCGGTGCCACGCGGCTGTGCAGCATGCGCACGCGCTGCGTGCTTCCGTACACGTCCACAAAGGCCCACAGCTGCAGGCTCTGGTCCACGTGCATGACCACGCTGGTGGGTCCGCCGTTCTTGCTCATCTGTACCTGGCCGGCGTGCGTGACCGTGAAGGCGATCTCGTCGCCGGGCTGCGGCGAGGAGGCGACGTCCTTGCTGACCACCCAGTACTCGGGCCGGTCGAGCAGCTGGTCGCTGTCCTCGGGCAGATCGTCGGCGCTGAGAGTGGCCGGGTCGCAGGACGTGAGGCCAAGCGCGAGCGCGCCCATGTACATGGGCTCGACACTGAGCACCTGCACCACGAGGCGCTCGCCGAGCAGCAGCGGCCGCCCGGTGAAGGCGTAGCCGTGGCAGAACTCGGTGTCGGTGCGCGTGGCCACGCACTGCTGGTTGCTGAAGTGCACGTTGCGCCCGCGGGTCCTGCAACGGGAGAGGGGGCCGGTTAGCGCCGGTTAGCGCCGGTTAGGGCCGGTTAGCGCCGGTGAGCGCCGGTCCGCGACGGGCGCGCTACTCACGGGTGGAAGGGCAGCGGCGCGAAGAGCACGCCCTGCGGCTGGAAGCGCAGCCCGGGCAGCTCGAGGTCGGGCTGCTCGGGCACCGGCGACTGGAGGCTGAGCTGCTGCATGCCCGGCACGACGAGGCGCTCCTGGCTCTGGGCGCGCTCCTGCAGGCGCGCGTGCTGCGCCGCGTTGTCCTCGTTGCTATGCGCCTCGGCGCTGCGCCGCGCGTTGTTGAAGTGCTGGCGGTTGGGGTCGAGGAACTCGATGGCCGTGCTGTTGCCGTAGACGTCGATGACCGTCCAGAGCGGGCCGCGCGTCTCCACGCCGCTGAAGAAGACGCCCTTCTCCTCGCCGTTCACGCCGAAGTGCACGTCGCCGGCCGAGGTCACGTAGTAGAACAGCACGGTGTCGCGCTCGGCGAAGCGCTCGGCCAGCGCCTTGGCCCAGTATCCGGGCTTGTTGGTGAGGTCGGGGCAGGCGTAGCGGGGCAGGCCGTTGCGCAGGTTGACCGGGTCATTGCTGGTGAAGCCGAAGCGGATCACGCCGCTCCAGTTGTTCGAGATCTCCAGGAACTTGACGCACACCTGCAACGGACCGGACGTCAGTCGCGCGTCCGGTACGACTCCTCGAGCCGCGCGGTCCGCGGCCGCAGAGGTAAACGAACCTCCCGGCCGCCGCCTCGGGCTTACGACACCGCGGCGAGCGCGCGCGCGCTGCGCCAACGACTCCTTTGTCCGCGCGGCGCGCTCGCGGCGGGCCTAGGCAAGTAGGCCGAGCGCCGCTCGCCGCGTAGATCGAGCGCACCTTCGCCGCGCTAATTACCTTCTCGCCGACGCGCACAGGCCTGGCGCTGAAGGTCACGCCCTTGCAGAAGCTCTCGTGCCTCTTGGCGATGGTGTTGCCGTTGCACAGCCGTATGTTGTCGCCGTGCACCTGGTGAAAGGTCAGCGGCGGTAGGTTGTTGGTCACGCTGTTGCTGGACCTGGGCGCTGAAACAGGCGATAGCAAGCGCACGGTTCAAGTCCCGTTTGGCTTCGCGGCGCTCGACGGCGCCGAGGAAGGAGGGCAAAGCTCGACCGAGCGCGCCGCTTTCCCGCTGGAACAAAGGCGGCGAGCTTGCGAGCGTCGGGTCCCCGCTCTCTCTCTCTCTCTCTCTCTCTCCCGCGGCGTCTCTCTCGCTCTCTCTTTCGACTTTCTAACGGCGCGGCGCGCGGCCTTCGTCGTGGGAACGCTTCGGTCGAACGGCCGAGCGTGAACGGCTCGAATTCGCGGCGTCGACGCAATCGAGCCGCCACTTCCTGCCGCCGCGGCCCGCGAAAAACGCAAGCTCCGTTAGCCGCGCGGCCGGCCGCGACGCGCAGGCGCGCGCGACGCCACCGCGCCGTTGGAAATTCGAAAATCGAGCCGCGCGACCGCCGAGTCGACGGCGGCGTGGGAATGGGCAATTGGAATTGCAGCGTTCCCACGAGCGCCCGACCGCGGAGATTCCTTCGCCTGGCGGCGAGCGATAGGCGAGCGTCCGTGCTTGGCGCACCAAGAGAGAGAGAGAGAGAGAGAGAGAGTGCAGCGCGAGAATGCACCGCCGCGCTGCAAGTAAATAGTTGGGTGATCGAAAGAAAATAGACGCTCCAGCGAGCAAACGCAGACGTGGAAAGGAGCGGCGGGTCCTTTGTGCGGGTGACGTGCTGGTATTGCGCAACGCATCAGAGCAGCTGGCGGAGAGGGAGGGGGGGAAGCAACTCACCAGCAACGGTACGGGAGAGCCGCAGCCGCGCCACCCTGGTTGCCCTGGCCACGGTGAGGAGCCGCATGGACCTGGACCTGGGGTCCGTCCAGTAATATTGCACCATTGACATGTCACTGGTGGGACGCGCGAACCGTCGAGCCCATCGGTTCTGCGTCGAGGAAAGCGAGAGCGCGCGGTGCACGGGCCGCGCGACGCTAGCGAGCGAACTGTCGACAGCCGCGCAGCTGGGCCTAGCGAGGCCCCTGCGACGCTCGCGCCGAGCGTGTGTTGCCGTACGGTCGCACGCGCGCGCGCGCGTACGCTCTCTCGCACACAGACGCACGCGCACACACACAAGAGCGAGTCAGAGCAGGGGAGCGCTCGTCGCTCGGCACAGCCGACATCCTGCAGCTGAACGCGCAGTATAAACACAAAGGCGCGGCCCCTTGCTCCCTTCCTCCCATCCATCCCTGCTTCTCTGCTCGACTGCTCGCCCGCTTCCTTCCTCCCATCCCACCCTTCTTAATTCCTTCAAGATGCGATTACCACGCTCTGCCTGGCCGAGCGCGCCTGTGAGAAAAGTCGAGCCGAGTCGTGGCGGCGCGCGGCAGCTGGCCCGAGAGCTCGAGTGTTAGGGGATGGAACGGGCGGCGCGACGACCGTTGCATCGGCCACCTGGCCCGCTCCGACGCACACGCGCGCATCGCGACGCGCGCGGACGGGGGGAGCCCTCGTCCCACTCGGGCGCCGGTCCATTGTCGGCTGCGCTGGACCGCGCCGCGCAGGCATTCCCGTGCAGAGCAGGCCTGGATCCGGACGCGGCCGAGTGCAGTCGCGACTCGGCGAGCCGGGGGGGGGGGCGGCGGGCCAATCGATCGCGCGCCGCTGTCCCCCGTGACACGGGCGCGCGCGGAGCCGAGCGGGGGTGGCGGCCGGCCCATGGGGCTTTGTGTGGCAATCGAGGCTGTATCGATCTGCCGGCGCCCGGAGACAGCGCCGTCGTCGGGCCGGGGCCCCGGGGCGCGGGTGGCGACGAGCGCAGCTGGCCGAGGGGCCGCGGCCGGCGGCTCTCGGCGGGATTGGCGCGGCGCCGCCGCGGCGTTCGTTCCATTAGCGGGCGACCCGAGAGACGGCGAGTCGCCCACGCGCGCCGCGGCGCGCATCTGCCGCGCGCCGCTCGACGGCACTTCCGCCCGGCGGCCGAGCTTCCTTTCGTCGCGCTTCCTGCCCGAGAGAGGCGGCGGTGGACTCGGCCGGCCGGACGTCCGCGCGCGGCGAGCCGAGCAGCTGATAGCGAGCGCGCGGAACCGGTTCCGGCGCCTCCCCCTCCCGCCGCCCCGCGCGCTCTCTGTTTATCTTCCGCGACGCACGGCGCAGCTGACCTCGCGCGAGCCGCGGGCGAACCTACCTAGGCCGATCTTCTTCTTGATCTTCTTCAGCACCCGCATCTTGCTCTTGATCGGCGCGAAGATCTTGTTGTTGGCCTCGCCGGCGGGCTGCGGCAGCGGCTGCGGCAGCTGCTGCAGCTGGGCCTGCTGATGGGCGTGATGATGGTGGTGGGCATGCGAGTGGCCGAGGGCCGACTGGCCGGCCGCCGCGGCGTGCTGGTGCGGGTGGTGATGGTGATGGTGGTGGTGGTGGTGCAGCGCGCTGCAGTGGCAGTGCTGGAACTTGGCCTGGGCGGCCGAGCTGGCTGTGCCACGGATCGCGCACTCGGTCGACGAGACGCCCATGCTCGGACTGCGACTCGACTCACTACTACTACTGCTGCTGCTGCTGCTGCTGCTGAGCTGCTGGCTAACGGCACTCGCGCGGCGGCGGCTCGTGAGCTGCTGTTGTCGCGCTGAGCGGTCTGGCTCGACTGAGGCCTCGCGGGGCCGGCGGCGCGCTCTCTATGCTCGGCGCTCGGTGGCGCGCGGGGAGGGCGCGTTCGGGCGCGCTCGGCGCTGCTCGGCGAGGCTCGGGCGCGCGCCGCGTCCCGTCCCGCGGGCTGCCGGCCGCCCCGCCCGCCGCCCGCACGTGCCCGCGAGCCAGCTGACCGCTCGGCCTGCGTGCGTGCGTGCGTGCGCGCGTGCGTGCGCGCGCGTGTGTGCGAGGGTTGCGGCGCGGAGGAGGGGAGGAGCGGCGCGCGACCGGCGCGTCGGAGGCGCTCCGGCTGCAGCTGGCGTCGCGCCGCAGCTGCCGCGCCTCGACCGCTCGGGGCGAGGGCCGCGGGGTCCGCGGGCGCGGAGGCTCGCGTCGCTCGGCCCTCGCCGCTCGCGGGCGCAACAGGTGCGCCCGTCCGCGGGCCGCGGCTCCGCGTCTTCGCGGGCGAGGTCGGCGCCGCTCGGCTTCTCGTCTCGCTTTCCTCGTGTTTTTCCGCTTCGTGTCGCGCGCCGCCCGCTCGTCGCTTTCCCATTCGGCTCGCGTGCCTTCGTCCGGCCGCTCGACTCGGATTGTTCGGCCCCCGGCTTGGCGGCCGTCGACCGGAAAGGGAGCTCGCGCGTGTTGCCGGTCGCCCGCGAGATGCGTCGGTTGAATGGGCCAGTCGACGCGACGGGTCTGATTCGAATGCGAGTGGCAATCGAAGAGGGAAAGACAAAAAAAACGAGCCTCGCTGGCTACCTGCGCGCGCCCTCGTCGCTCCGGATACAGCCTCGCTTTCCCACGCGAGCGCAACGTCTGCCTGCGAGGCCGCCCGGAAGCAGCAGGCTGACGCGTCTCCTCGGCATGTTCGGGATTCGGGCTCCCAGAGCTCGAGACGGGGCCGCCGCGATCGCAGCTTCACATGCAGTTGGCGTGCTCGCATGCAGGTAGATACGCGCGGGTGCTGTCGCGTGCGAGACACACCGGCGAGAGGTCGTAGGAGATGTTTCAGCCAGGAAATGATAGTATAGTGAGAGGGGCTCACCGTTATCCTCGGCCTGCTGGTAGCTCTCGATCGAGTACTCTTTCCGATGGATCCTTATGTGATCCACGTACTTGGCTACGCCGCCGCACAACAACATAAGAACAGTCTTTCAGATAAATATTCAGAGGCTGGCATGCCGCGTCGAAATTGTCGCGAGATTACGTAAAGATTATCGGGCGGGCCTGTGCTGTCGCGCGGCAGCTGCAAAGGGCCGCGCGCAGCCGGTATAATGACTGCAAATAAACGTCGCAGCTGCGCGCCGATCGGAGGGAGAACGAGAGAGAGAAAGAGCAACTTACCTGAAACAGACAAGCGCAATTTGCCGGTTATAGCCGGCGACGAACAATAACGCAAAAAGTCGGAAACTATAAATTTGAGTGCCAGCAGCGGCTAGTCAATATCGGCACAATGCGCACTCTCTCTCTCTCTCTCTCTCTCTTTCTCCGGCGAGCTGGCCGCGAGGCCAGCTGATGCGCGAAACGCCATCCGCCCGACAGCGAAGGAGCGTGTCCTACGGCCGGCTTGGCTACGCCCGACAAAGCCCGCACATGGCGCTAACGAGCCCTCTCGCACGGACGCGCGCGCGGCCCCGCCGACTTGGCTTCCTCGCGGAGCCGATTGCCGCTCGGCCCGCCGATGTCTGGCCGCTCGCCTGCGCCGGAACGATTTTCCGAGAAACGGCCCCGAAACCGTGGGAACGCCTCGGCGGAGTCGTGCCAAGCGCGCGATAGAGAGACTACCTGCCGCGCGAGGCAGCTGCCGCGGCATCGATCGACGACGCTCGGCGACGCGAGCAAAGTGCCACGCGACAAAGCCGTGCACGCTCGCGTAACTCCCCCCCCCCCTCCCCCGGTGACCGCGCTGGCTTCTCGGAAGACAACGCGCCGGGCCGCTTTTCCCCGATCGGAGGACGGCCGCGCGACAATGACCGCCTGGACAAAGGCCACGACGCCGACCGGCCGATCGGCGTGGCAGCGGCGCGGCCGCGATAAGGCCGCGGCCAGCTGCGCGCTCGTTGCCGATCCGCCACGCGACCGCGGCGACGCGACGCCTCCTCCCGACATCTGCCTCGCGCGAACCGTCCGCGACGATCGGCCGGCGGCGATCGCGGAAAACAAAGACGGCCGAGGCTGCGTGCCGAACATCTGCCGCCGCGAGAGGGAGAGAGCGAGAGAGAGGCAGGTGGGCCGCGCCGGGCCTCGGGCGTATGGGGCCCGGGCCCCCTCCCCCGTGCGCGTGGCACGCGCCGCAGCCGGCCTGTGTCGCGTGCCGCACACGCGCCCGCCGCGTCAAAGCTTCCGCTCTCCTCTCCCGCCGCGCTCTGCCTCGAAGCTGCGCGCGCGCACACACACACACGCACACATACGTCCGGCGAGGGCTCCACGCTTACGATGCCGCGCGGCGCTATCGAGGCGCGAGATGCGCGTTCGCGCGCGGGGGCGGGGGCCGCACATCTGTGCACACGTGCGAGGCAGAGTCGGTCCACACCCACGCCACCGCCTATCCGTCTCGTGAGCCTTTCCGATCCCGCTGTGCACGGCCTTGCCCCCTTTCGCGGCGCGCCGAGAGCCTCGCTTTTCCGCCGAGCTTGGCCCCGTCGGCGGGCGACACGTGCTCGCCAGACCGGACATCGGCGCGCACCTGGCCGCGAGGAAGAGTCGTATGCGCGGTCCACGGCACACGTGCGGCGCAACTGCGGCCCACCGGCCGCGGGCTCGCCCGCCGTAAATCACCTGGTGGGCCCCGGGGCGAACCGTCGCCGCGGCGAGCGAAAACATCGCGCACGTGCGTCGCGGAAAGCGAAAAGAAAGAAAATCCGTGAGACTCGGTCGGGGAAGCGCCTAGAGAGAGAGAGTGAGAGAGAGAGAGAGGTATTTTTAGGGGGGTACTCCGAGCGCGAGATGCCACGAATCGAGCGCTCGTCGGACGGACCCGCGGTGCAAATAGCACCGACGGCGCGAGTGCCGCCTCGGTGGGTATATATAAGCGCGCGCCCTTTCCTATTGACGTCATTGCCGCGCTCCTTTCGCGCGAGTTTTCGTCGCCGCGCCGTGCCAACAATAGCGAGCGAGCAAAGGGCAAATCCGAGCGGGCGAGCGCGGCCCGCGGGCGTCGGCCGGTCGCGGGGGTCCTTGCGGCGAGTCCTCGTCGCGGACGGAATTAGACGCGGGGCCCCCCGAGACAAAGAACGAGCAAAGGCTTTCGGCTGGCTTTCCAGACGGCCAGCTGCGCGCCGGCGCGAGACTTCCCTCGCTCGGCTTTATCGCTATAAATGCATGAGCGCTATAAATAGCCGAGTCGCTCTCTCGCGATGGCTGAATTGGGTCGCTGCCCTCGTGCGCCTATTATACGCCGAGCACTTCCTTCCTCCCTCGTGCGCGCACCTCGGCCCGACCTCTCTTCCTTCGTTTTTCTTTTTTTTTTTCTTTTTTCTCGTTCGACGACGCCACCGCCGCCGGGATCGGTAATTCGGAAGCCCGAGCTCCCGAGAGCGCAGCGCGCCCGAGGCAAGCGGCTGCTGCTGTTTGCTGGCACGCAGATGTTATTGTCATATGGCAGACAGCCGACTCGGCGAGCGAAATCGCCGGTCTTACCGGCCCTACTTCCAGCCCCGCCGATCCGCTTGCTTAGCCTTGCGCTCGGTGCGTGCTGGTATCGTAACGCTGACGGCAGTGCGAGAATGTCGTCCGAGCGCGAAGGGCGACGCGAGGGCGGGGTCGCGCCCGCATCCAACCTCGACCCTCGCCGCGACTCGCGCGAGACGAGACTCCAGGCGCGCGTTTGTTTTTCCCAGCGTGCGCGAGGTACAGCTGCGCTTCCGCAGCGTCTCACACCGCTGGGATTCACGCTCACGGGGGAAAAAGCGGGCATCTCGGCTTGCGGGCGTTTTTCCCTGCGGACCTACCTGTAACACGTGCTCTCCAAATGCTGCGCACGGCTGAGGGATCCTTTGTTCCATCGATTTCCCCGGCAACATGTGCAGTCGACCGACCAACCGTTCCACCGATTTCTTCCCGTCTTTTCTCTTTTTTTCTTTTTCACTCCGCCTTTCTCGTTACCTTTCGCCATCGCCTTCGCAGCGCTAGTCCGTTTGCTCGCTCTTTCGCCCCGTCGAGCCGATCATTTTTGCACGTTCGATCGTTTTATTTTCAAATATCGCGAGCGAGTACGCAATTGCTCCGACTGATCGTACGGCTATGTAGCGGTCTACCTGAGCGTCGGCCGATAACGCAGAGGCCTCAATCT